AAGATTCTTAACAAAACAAAAATCGTAAAAATATAAAGAATGATTCCTTTAATTTTTATAAATTCTACAAGTATTAGGGGTCTTGAACATCTTAGTTATTATCTTATACATCTCAGAGATTCTAAAGATTCCAGAGATTCCAAAAATTTCAAAGATTTAAAAACTCTTGGGGTCTATTAATTTTAGAAAATCTGGAAATGTCTAGAAAGTGTGAAAAATGTGGAAGATCTAGAAATCGTGAAAACTGAGGGGAATGTTGAATTCTGGCATATCCGAAGACTGATGTTGTTATAACATTTAGAAAATGTGGAACTTCTGAAAATATCAAAAATGTACTCAATTCTAGAAATTCTAAACACGTTACTGAATTTGTGAAAATATTCCAAATACTGTGAAAGTTCAAAATCTTCTCTAAATTTCAAAGATTTCGAGGATTTCAAGGGTGTAAAAATTCTAAGGAGTCTATTAATATTGAATTGAAATATGTGCCCTTGCTAAAATGTATATTAGGAATAGTAAAAAGTAAAAATTTTACTAATCATCTCCACCAACAAATCGATGACGTCTCATAAAAATTGTTTGGAAAAGGCCGTTTCACTTTTATAAAATAACATACTTGTAGTTTATGAATCCGTCTTGATTCCTTACTCCATGTCCATGTATCCAGATTTTTAAACAAAATTCAAATTGCATCATCTCATTTTAAACTAGGCGAATTGTGTGGCTGTGTCGTAAAAATGTCGAATTACTAATGCGAAAGTCGCTGATTCATCGGTAACAATTTTTTTTTGATCAAATTATGAACAATTCACCCCAATTTCTTCAAAATTTGAAAAAGTTAAAATTTTAGTCATTCTAATCGCCTCCGCTGTTTCCATTAGGCAGCTTGATTCGTGCTTAATAGTCATATTCTTTCGATGATTAAACATAAACAATCGAAGTTAAGCATTTTGACCTGATAATATATTTTTCCCGTTGCTTATTTGCTTTAAATATATTTGATATTGTCGATATCTGTGTGGACCCCCAATTTGTTTATTGTTCGAAGGAGCTGTATTTGTTCGAATGTACTTCAGGGGCGAGGGAAGTTCTATCTAAATAACTTTAGACCAGTTTTTAAAAGAATTATATCACTAATTTAACACTAAGAAAATTAACATCCAACAAAATCTTAAAAATTGTAAAGATCTTGAAAGTATTAAAATTGCTAGACATTATAAAAACTATAAACTTTATAAAATTTCTAGTAATTCAGAAGTATTCAAATTTCCAAAGATTGTTAAAACTCTAAGGACTCTGAAAACTCTAAGAATCGGTTTTTAAAATTTCGAAGATTCTATTATTTGTAAAAAACACATGAACTTTTAACATGACAAAAATTTTTTAAAGATTCCAAAGACTCTAAACAAAACAAAAATCGTAAAAATCTAAAGAATGCTTCCTTTAATTTTTATAAATTCTACAAGTATTAGGGATCTTGAACATCTTAATTATTATCTTATACATTTCAGAGATTCTAAAGATTCCAGAGATTCCAAAAATTTCAAAGATTTAAAAACTCTTGGGGTCTATTAATTTGTAAAATATGGAAATATCTAGAAAATGTGAAAAATGTGGAAGACCTAGAAATCTTGAAAACTGAGGTAAATGTTGAATTCTGGCATATCCGAAGACTGATGTTTTTATAACATTTTGAAAATTCTAGAAATTCTAAACATTTTACTAAATTTGTGAAAATATTCCAAATACTGTAAAAATTCAAAGTCTTCTCTAAATTTCAAAGATTTCGAGGGTTCCAAGGGTGTCAAAACTCTAAGGAGTCTATTAATACTAATTTGATGTATGCGGCCTTGCTAAAATGTTAATGACGATATCAAAAAGAAATATATGGAAAAACCGACTATAAAGATATAGATACGATGAAAAAAAAAAGAATTCTCAAAGTTAAAGTTGATAACAATTTTTTGAAGTTGTATTTGTTCGACTATACTTTAGGGGCTAGGGAAGTTCTGTCGAAATAACTTTCAACCAATTTTTTAATGACCAAATTAAGAACGAATCACCCAAGTTTCGCGAAAAGGTGAGAGCACGTCTTTATTTAATAAGAATTATAATAATAATAATATTCAGAACATTCTGTTCGACTATGGCTTCATTAATAATTTTAGTTCTCCGTTTTGAGAGGACAAAATCATTCAAATCAAACAAATTTCTGCGTGATATTCTTCCGATGTATAAACAAACACTTGAAGTTAACGCTTGGTATTATTACTGAGAGGCCATTTTGCCCGTTAGTTATCTGATTTAAATATATTTTACATTGTCCGTACTTGTGCAATTTTCATAATCCCTTAAAATTAATGAATCAGTCAATTTATTTTATTGAATAAATCAAGAATTGCAAAACTACATATTTTGAAACTTGCCAAAGTTTTAAAGTTTTTGTAAGTGTGGTAAATTATTAATCAAAATCTATCTGTTTATTCTCTCCAAAAAATTGAGAACGTCATCTCAAACTTTTGCCGAATAAATTCTACCCAAAATGTGCAAAATATGATGAGTTTTTACTTATGATTTATCATTGCAAAACTGAATATTTTGAAATCTTGCAGACGTTTTTTGAACATTTTTTTATTATAATGTCTGTCGCCACACATGTCCGCATAATCACAACAAATCTACAACAAGAATGAGCCGGAACAGTAGTTAACGAGAGCTAGAGTTGCTATTTCATCCTAAATTGTGCATAACCGTCCTGAAGATACCTGTTTTCTAACCAATAGCAACGTTAGGTGGTTGGTCACGCCTTGACCACGTACTTTTATTACTGCAACTGATCCTTTCAAACATTGAGAAATGTTGTAGGTACAATCGTAATGTACCTACAAATTGAATTAATCTTAGTGCCAGTAACACATGAGATGTAAAATAATATATAATTCAAAGTTCAGTAACTCGAAATTCTTGATAACCGTAGCGCTACGACTTGATAAGAAGAAAAATAATAACATAGAGCTAGTTCTTACAAGAGTAATAAATTTGATTACAAAATAGACGTGCCATTGAATCGATAATTATATTGAATTTAACAGCTAAACTAAGAAATGAATCCGTAATTTAAATTTACAACAATCAAATAGGTACCACGGGAACAATGATGTCAAAATTAGTTATCTAAAGTGTTTCCAGAATTTTCAAGAAAAAGTAAGCCGTTTTTGAAATAATAAATTCCGGTAAAAAATCCTCTTAAAATATAGACCCGGGGCAGTCCGGCGTGTCACGGAATGTAATTTTCTCGCTCACCCAATACCACACCATCAATAACCCCCAATGTCACAACTCGTCCAAATAAAGTTGTTCGCCTATACAAAAAATAAAAGAAAAAACAAGGTACAATGGAAAAGTGTACCACTTTCTTGGTTCCCCTTGTCGTGCCGTCCAACGTGTGAACGTCTCATAATATAGAGGAATAAGATAAGGAGGTGATAGGAGGCTCTTAAATTAATCGAACCGATAGAATCTAATTAATCCCAATGCCATCTCGGCCGTTAGAAACGGCTTATGATGCGTGCCTCCGTATATGAAACTGCCCCATCCGTGTACCTGGCGTTCATAATTAAATTGGTCTGTCACTGGCGTGGTGGGAACAGGATGTGGCATTCCTCAGCCGTTGGGAAAAATCATTTCCAAATTTCGGTCACTCGTACAAAAATGACCATTTGTTGTAGACATTTGTGGAGGTATTTTGCTGTCGGTGGGACAAGATTTACTCACTAGAGCTGCTTACGTGAGGCGCTTTAGCTATGTTATTTATGAAGGCAATGATGGCAGTACTTGAAGATTATAAATCCTGTTATTAGAGGACTAAAATAAGGTTGGAATCTGATCTACAGTAACAACACCTGTCGATTTCGCCTAGAAATTTGGCAGTGTGAGCCTGGCTGACGCTGATGTGAACACGGTTTTGGTTCCAAATGTGTCATACTTGTCAAACTGATAAATCACCAACTTTGACTCTAGGATTTATCCATTCTCGAGAATCGCTTTTATTAAGTCATAAAACATATCGTTATAACTGTGTGGTTTAGTTCGAAAAGTGGTCCACATGTGCTGAGTTGATGATAAACGTTTAGCATATTTGCAAATTCGAGTAGCCCGAGTTTTCAGGAAGTGAAAGAGAATTTAACGACGTGGGTTAAATAACAAATTATTAAAATATTCATAATGTAATCAAATATATATAATTCTCTTTTATGTAGCGGCAGCTTCATTTTAATTTCAAAACAACTTTATTTATTTACTTTTAAATTTATCACAATTTGGTTATTTCGGACATAGCTTTCGCTGAGTTAGCACCACGATTTACAGCTGTTTACAAGCGAATTATACAGATTTATGTAATAATAATTGGTGTTTGCTAAAAAGTGGCACTTTCTATGAGTCTTTGATTAGACGATTTGACATTTCATTTCATTTTAATACAGTTAACATTTCAACGTTAATTTATTAAATTAATATCGTGTTTAAAACTTCCTGTTGTGTTTTCTCCATAGTGCGAGAATCTTGGTCATCTCTTACCCACCGATGAAACATCACGTTCCACTTTTTCTCTTTTTCGTTATTTCTTTTTATCTTCGGGGAACGTCTTGTTCTTTTGTGTGAGAGCAGTGCGTGCAGTAGCGTGCCGAAAACAGGAAGTCCCTGCTATAATTTGACCACAATTGTGTATTTATGTAACAATGCAAATTCTAAACACGCTCAATTATGCTGGAGGAATGTAAAAAGTTTTATTTCTTTTTAATTACCACAGTCTGAAAATCGTCTGTGAAAAAGCGTGTAATCTGAAATCATCGTCTCTAATGTGAAATAAATTATAATAAAAATGCCCACGAATATGTCATTATCCCGATAATTACACCACCGAGTCACATCATCACGAAGGATTAAGTCCAGGATCATCCGTAATTACCTCTCAGCGCTCACTCAATAAAACCAACGAATGCAAAATTAATACCAAACTTTATTAACTTAACTAATCATCGAATCTTAGGTTCAACGGAGTGTGGGGCCAGTGGGACAGCTTGCCCGCATCCTCCAAATGCAAGTCGTAGTTGAGCTGAACCGCGGTCTCCATTCCCATGATTTTGGAAGCTTTAGCCCCATACAACTGCTCCATTTCTTCTCTGCGTTTTTTTCCCACAGGCTCCCTCGTTTCTTCCCTTTTTTCTTCAACTGGAGACGCTTCTTCGATCTGCTCGTGCCCCTGATCCTTCAAGTAGTTCGCGTAATCTTCTGTTTGTTTCGCGTAGACGTTTCGGATGTGCTGCAGCAACATCTTGTTTTCATATTCGAGGCTTAAAGCGCGCGACTTCCAGTAGGCGATTTGTTCGTGTTTATGCCACTCAGCGACCTCTATCGAGCTCGCTGGAACAAACGACGACCACTCCATGTCGGTAACATCAACCACTGGTGTAAACAAACACAAATCGTCAGTGTTACGTTTGGAATGTAAAGCCTCCATATCAATAATACCTTTGCTGGTCCCTATTTTTTTCAAAACTTTCCATTTAACACAAAATTTTCGCTGTTTTTTTGAGAACACAAGCCTACTTTGGCACCTTACCAGAAACAACAGCTGATCCACCGGCGTCCTTGACGAGAAGGCTAATTTTGATTGGTCTTGCGCCCAACCAATAATGCAACAGTTATGGCGCGCCACCTACCCCGAAAACGTGAAAGCTTCTACAAATTCCTAAATTTTTAAACAAACTCCCAAAAACGTTTCATATTCATAGGTACCATCGCTGGACAAAAAAAACTGGGACACAATAGGTAACTAGATAATTTTGAAAATTCGAAATCTAAAACGTGTAAGTTGGGCTTTTCCTGCCAAAAATATTATTTATTAGGTTTGTGGAACATTTTCGCATATTTTATTTATTGTTTTCAAGAAATTAGTCGAAAAGATAAAGGCGTAAACGAGAGCGTAAAATTAGGAACGTAACTTTATTCAAGAGAAAATAAAAAACTGGAATTATAACTAGAAACATTATACTGAAGATGCCAATTCAACTGATCAGTATTTTGTCATTGCACCATTTGCATCGATCACATTCTGTAGTCGACGAGGCATGGAAGCAATTAACTGCCTCATATATCCAGGTGTTACAGTTTCCCATGCTTCGACAATTTTTTCTTGTAATTCTAGTGGATTTCTAGGTCGAAAATCACTTTGATAAATATATTTTTGCATTTCTCCCCAAACATTTTCAATTACGTTTAAATCTGGGCTCCTAGAGGGCCAAGGCAAAACATTCACTCCCTGGGCTTCCAAATACCGACTTACCAGTCGGGCATTTTGAACTGGACAGTTATCCTGCAATGGGTTTTATAATTATTAAAAAAAAAAAAATGAAAAGAAGAATAGCACAAACTTGTTGAAATATAAAGTTTCGTTCTCCAAAAACTGGTATTACTGAGGGGAGCATAAGTTCCTCTAGAAGCCTTCTGTATACATTAGCGTTTAATCTTTCTTCTACTATTGCGCAAATTCCACGTCCTCTGCTGCTAACCCACCCCCAAACATTAACGGAAAAGCGACCGGATTGTTTATATTTATTGCAATAGCGTTCATCATATCTCGTTCCTGGGGGTCTATAGACACGACGACGCCCATTACTATATGATTTGAAAGTTTTTTCGTCGGAAAATATCACATTATTCCACATATCTGCAGGTTCATTGACAAATTCCTGAGCAAATAATACCCTATTTGCCTTGTTTTGCTCAGTTAAAAATATTTTATTGGCAGCAGCCCGATTTCTTAATTCAGTTTCGTGGACTCTCTTCCGGGCTGTTTTCAATGATGCAGGGAAATTCGTTTGCTGCCTTGCGTTAACCACTGTTTCGAAAGGATATTCTCGAATGAAATTTGCCAATTGAATGTTTTCGTCTGCAGTCGTTTTTCTTGGACGACCCGACCCCGCTCGTCTGATAATTCTACCATATTCATTAATTTTTTTTTCGCCAGTAGGACAGTATTCTTGCTAATATGCAGCTCAGTTGCTATTGTTCTAATTGAGACCCCATCCCTTAAACGTTGGGCAATAGTTTGCTTTTGAACTTCATTCAAACTTGGCATTTTTGAATTGGCACTTGACATTAATCAAGGTGACATTTTTTAAATTTCATGTTGAATTACATTTTAAAGAGCTGTTTACAATGCAAAAATTTTCAGTGTCCCAGTTTTTTATTTCCACCGATGGTACAATAAATTAATTTTTTTTTTGATCAATTTATTTATTAAAAATAATTACGAAAGGAATACTTTAGCGACAGGACGCCATAATGGCCCCCACGCTATCAAAATCGATTTTTTCATTAATATTTTTCGTTTTGATGTTCTCGTCTTGGTTGGCGATGAAAATCAGATGACCCTGCTCCTTCCAGCCATATTTATTCACCCAAACTTTGAGTGTGAGATCATCCACGTCTCCCAACAATTCAGCTAAATGCGCTTTTTCGATGGTCTGATACGTGATTCCAACCACGTGACACACGAATTTTCTAATAGAGTCTAAAAATCCGGTGATTTTTTGGGTCAATTCCGGCAACGAGTGGATTCGCGTCCAGAAAAGCTGGAAGTCACACTGTTCCAAAATGTCCGCCAAATAAATAATTTCGTTGATGGGTTCTTCAGATAACTAAAATAAAACTAGAAGAGTTTGTTTATGCAGCGGAAATACTTACCTGTCGCTCATTTAATAAACATTTACACAAAATGAAATTCGTGTTTGGGAGATTTGTTAAAGCCTTCAGTAAAATTTGGCTGGTGATGTCTATATTGAAGCTATTGGGGTTAAACTGATACAACTTGAGAACAGCTAAATTGGCTTCAAGGTCGTAGGCGTTCTCGCGGGACTGAATTTCAACGTAGTGCTCCAACGTGGGTAAATTGTCTGGATTGTACCTAAAAGTGAGGTTATGTACCAGATGTTTGACGTTTTCGTAAGAATGTGAAAAAAGGGGGTTGTTTTTACCGTTCGATACCCTTCAGCATTTGTGCCACGGTCTGTTTCATTGCTTCTGCCATGTTTTTTCCGGTTTTTTCCAAAAAATATGATATTTACAGCTTGCACACACGACCAAAAAGAGAACTTCGATTTTACGTCACAGAGGGCGCTGTACAATGACAATTGACATTTCGCAAATTTATTACCACGAAAAATGAACCCGTTTTTTTTTATTTTTGGATTTTAAGTTTTTTTAATGTAATTATCCTTCATAACAGAAATATTGCATTACTTTCACATAGCGCCACAAGCGATTGAATGTGAACGTCCGCAAATGCGACCAATTTTACGACAACTAGGATTTGGGAATCATTACAGCTAAATAAATGGTAATATAAGGGACACTGGGTCGGGACCACGCTGCAAAAATACCACTCTCTTCTATATTTCATGTGGTTACTAATTCACAATAAATATAAATTCTATAATAGTTACTTGCTATAAAAATGTGTATACTGTATATAAATGTAATAACAATAAGCAACTTAATGTCACGCAGTAACATTAGTCTTAAGTATGATAATGTGAAGCTACTTTTTTAATTGCACCACCAATATTATAACAATTATTGTGACAATTAATAGTCCGATGAGCACCAAGAATAGCAACTTACGCCTATACTTATTCTGATAACGTGCTGCCGTGGCCAGCTGTTCAGTCGCCTCTTCTACATTGCCAGCTGCATGATCTATGCTATTCTCAATAGTATCTAAAAAAACAAAATCAGTAATACAGTTGTTACAAACCAGAAACCCAGTCTACCTATAGTTTCAGTTTGTGCATACACCAGAGACCCCAACTCTCTCATAATCTCATTCACATCAAGTACATCTGCTTCAATTTGCTTAATCCTAGCCTCCCTTTCGAGCAACATGTCTTGCTCAAAAGCCATTTCCCGCGCTAACTGCGCCTGCCTCTGCTGCTCAGACTCCTCCTCCGGTGTGTAATCATTCTCTATACTTACTGATACCAGCAAATTTGACTTTTGTTTATTTGCCAAGTCCTTCTGTAGAGAGTAATACCGCGTGATAGCTTCTTTGAAGTTTTCTTCCAACTTCTCCACTTGTAGTTGTTGTTGCTTTTCAGTTTTTGAAACCAGTTGTTTGAGCTTGTGGATATCTTTACTGGTGACTGAGGCTATCTGATTTGTGCTGAGTTGAGTGACATGACTGTAACGCATTTAATAGTTATACAAAATTTGGTGATAATGCGACACTCACATTGTGTTTCTGAGTCCTTGATTGTCTTTGCGGGTTCCTATGGTTTTCAACGCGTTGTCCAGCGTTTTTAAACTAGAGTTTATGGTGTAAATGTTTGTAACTACATTGTCGCACAAATTGTTGAATTCTGGCGAGCGTTTACCGATGAAACCCACTTCGGTGGACGCGGTGGCGCCGTAGTTGTAGGGCTGCTTACTCATTTTGGAGGTTCGAACGCCCCTTTCGCTTGTGACGTTACAACTAGAATGACTGCAAAGTGAGGTTATGTTGACATAAAATGGAAAATTCTGGGGAATACCTACCATACTACGGAGAAATTGTAGGAGTACAAACACAAAATTTGGGGACTTTCACGACGAACTACTGATAAAACCTAGATAAAACTAGTTGATGAATCATAGCTGAGGAACTCTATTTGTTTTTTTTTCTCGGTATTATAATCCGTAATCCGTATGTTGAAGACTGATTGGCGGTCATTGACAAGTATTAGTCATTTGTTTGCAGACAACCAATCAGTAGACGACAACGAGTGCTGCCAATCTAACAAAAAAGTTAATTCTTGGGCTGGATGGAGGCTGTGATGGAGGATATTCTCGTTTCACGATTTTAAATACCTCAAAAATTGCCGCGTAAAGCGGTATATTATGTTCCTATAGAGATGTGTCGTTCGCGAACGAACGAATCAAATTGAACGGGTCGTTCGAATGAACGAGTGAACGAAATCGTTCCCAACGCAAACTAGTCGTTCTTTCGTTCATTTCGTTCACTCGTTCACTCGTTCACCGTTCACATTGTCTCGACTGGATCTTGGTTCCGTTGGATCTTTGAATCATGGCACCAGCACAGTTCTATGTTCTGTATCCAATACTAGGAGCACATGCAATGCTATTTATGGAATTAACTAATAAGAACGTAAGTTTTCCATACAGATTAATTCCAGTAGTATGAATTGAAATTAGGAACCGGGAACAAAAATGACAATTTATGACGATAACTAATATACAATGTTCATAAACGTCTGAACATTAGAAACTAAAAAAAATCCGTGTTATTTTTTTAGAATACAGGATTGTGTGACGTCAGATTAAATCGTTTTAAATATGCTACGACCTGATTAATTAAGAATATTTAACATTTAACGTTCATTTGTTTTTGTCTATGACATTCAACTTTTTTTTTAATACACCGTATACATTGTTTAGAGATTCTTCTAGTTTTTTTTTTTTTAATTCTTTGATTTAACATATGCCATATTTTACTCAAAAGTTGCTTGGAAGCTGTGATAAAAACGAATTTAATTTTTGTGGCAAAAGTGCTATTGATGTGTTTATTAACACAATTATTTGCGTCCACAAATTCGTTACTTTTTTTAAATATTAAATTATTATTTATACATCACAGAATTCAGAAAAAAATCGTTACATGAATCTCTAAAAAAATGGGAGGCATTAAAAAAAATTAAATGTAGACAAAACCAAATAAACGTTAAATCGATTTAATTTTACGTATCACACAATGCAGTATTCGAAAAAAAAAGACAGCAATGGGCCGGGGGTTTTTTTTTTTTTTCGAATACCTATGCGATAGTTCTGAGCATGACCTTCCCTATAAAGTGATCGGATTCAAGCAAAAGGGAAACTAAGACCATTGACCGAAGTGCCGAAAGACCGAATGATTCATCAATAGATCCCTGAGCCTTGAATGATTAAGAACGAAGTGAACGGTGAACGAAGTGAACGAAATGAACGAAATGAACGAAATGAACGACATTTGACGACCGGGTCTTCGTAAGGACCGAACGATGAACGATCCGTTCGTAGTGATGACCGAATCTGCCCATCCCTAGTTCCATTGAAACAAAATTGATTTGTTTTTGTATTTCTTTTAATGATCACAGGATATATTCATTGTTCTCAACATTGTATTGTTGGTTGCCTACATAAAAAAATTTGAGTTATAGACAATAATGTAAAACGATAATCATTGCATCTAATTAATATTTCTGAGTGCGAAAGTAGCGATACACAACCGAAAGGTTTTTCCTGTCAAAAAATCTCCATTAAAATATGTTAAAAATGTCGTTTATTTGAGTTAAATAAGTTCTGAGGCAACAATACTACAAATCCGTGCATACATAATACGAAAAACCTTAACTAAACTCGCCGCATATTAAAGCCCTTGCGCATCATTCGGTGACCTGACATCATCAATCTTCAAAATCATCTTCACCAACTGCGTCGCCAGCAACAACTGCTGCCTCTTAGACTTCAGAGATTCAATAACATGTTGTTCCCTCATATTCATATTTCCAGTTGCCATACAATCAATACCTAAAGCCCCGTCTCCAGTGGCCACCTGCTTCGCTTTTACCTCTCCCAACACATGAATAGCCGACATTCCGCTATTCTCAGCGAGAGCCAGCGGGATGCTCTCCAAAGCCTCAGCGAACCCTCTGAACGCGTACTGTTCCAGAGACGCCAACTGATCGGCTTGCGCCGCCACCGCCAGACTGCAGGCGATCTCGGCCGCGCCGCCGCCGTACACGACTCGGGGTTCCTGGACCAAGCTTCTGACCACACACAGAGCGTCGTGGAGACTGCGTTTAGCCTCGGCGACCAGCATCTGGTTGCCGCCACGCACCAGGATGGTAACGGCGCGGGAGTTTGAACAATCCTCGATCACCATCATGCGGTCTTTGGTGGTACCGAAGGACAGTTCGCGGACTAATCCAGCGCTGCCTAGCTTATCTGGGCTGAGTTCTTCGAAACGGGGGACGATGCGACCTCCCGTGGCTATGGCGATGAGCTCGATTTCTGGGCCGCCCACCCATCGGACCGCTGGGAGGTTTTGTTGGAGGAGGAGGTGGTTGGCCTCGTCGTCGAAGCCCCATTGGCAGATGGCGAGGGTGGCGCCAGCGTTTTTCACAAGGGAAACCTAAATTTTTTATAGTATAATTTTTTTTAACACGTTCATTTAGTTCTAAGGTAAACGCAAAAAAAAATATGTAGGGTTTCCGGGTGATGCCGCCGCAATCGTAGTGAATTAATTTACACTTTGTGGGACAGAAAATAAAAGTTTCTGCAACGTAAGAACCCAAAAACAAAATAAACCGCCAATTAATTTCCTTTCAAAATTATTTTCCAATGTTTTTTCAATTAAAAAGAGCGAAATCTTTGCAAAACCGGCCTCTGACACCTTGTAACAAATACTGATACCCTGTTTCATTTATTAATACTATTAATAAAAAATCCTTAGTTACCATTTCCCTAAATTTGTCATGTTCATACTGACGCAACTCCTTGAAATCTTCCACATTAGTAACATCCAACTTATGCTTAGTTTTGGGTTTTGGTGGTTCAAATGGGCATGTCAAGATCGCCAACTTAACATCTTTCAGTTCTTTAGGCATCTGAGGATGACTCATGGTCTTGTCAATAACAACACCCTTGACAAGAACAGTATCTTCCAGTCTTCCCCCAACCTAATCAGAAAAATCCAGTAAAGAACGTCACATCAACCAAATTAAACTCACTTTTCCTTCCACTTTAATAAGCTCAAAATTCACATCCTTTTGCGCCAAATCCGCGACCGCCAGAACCGCGTTCACGGCAATTTCGGCCATCTGCCTATGACACCTGTTGATAATTTTCGAACCTAGCGTCGTCTTCGCCACTTTAATCAAAGGCTCGATATTTTCAGCAGATACTGGGAAGAGTTCAGCTATTTTGTCTAAGTGTTTAACAGCGGTTTGACAGGCCATTTCAAATCCATCTGCTATTCTAATGGGGTGGATGCCCCTGTCCAGCAGAGCACCGGCTTGTTCGAGAAGAGCCCCCGCTAGTACTACCACACCAGTGGTACCATCACCAATCTCATCATCCTGAGACTGCGACAACTGCACCAACAATTTTCCTATTTCATGATCCACTTCCATGTTTTTCAAAATCGTGGCACCGTCGTTGGTCACTGTGACTTCACCGTCGGGCGAAACCAACATTTTGTCAAGGCCTTTGGGGCCCAAAGACGTTCGGATGGTGGAAGCGATTTGCTGCGCCGCCAAGATGTGCGACTACAACACCAAGCGCTAATTTAGTCTTTATTGTGAGAGACAGAAGTGTATTTGAGGTTGTTGGGGTTATTTTGGGGGCTGAATTCGACGAATTCGGAACACATGTCATTGGGAGTGGGCGTTGGAGTTGGGTGTGAAAATTGCTCAAGGTGATGTTTGGTTAATTTTGTCTTGGTTGTTGGATGAATATAAGGGTAAAGAGCGATTAGGGAGGTCCAAAGGGTGGAATTAAGACTAAATAAAAACACCTGACAAATGTCAAAACTTTGACATAACCTACCTTCAAGGCATCGACTCCGGTTAATCGCTTTTGGTTCTCTTGGTCGCGCAAAATGATGAAAGGCCGGCCGAATTCATCGAAAGCGATGCTTCCTGGGAAGGCAGCCATCGTAGATGGTTATTTTTCGTGAATATTTAGACGGATTAGAATGGATTTACACTTTTTTGCAACCGGCAACAAATGACAATTGACAGATGAAGGAAATGAGCAAGCGCAGCACGCATGCGCCTTGATGACCATAAATCTATAAAAAATAGACGACTGTTGTTTCATGACTGCTAATTTTTCCAACTGTGATTAAGAAATCTGATCAAAAATGAAAGATTAATTGACATGATAATAAAAAATTTAAGGAATGTCTCAGAAGATATAAATGACGTTAATAACATTACAGTCTACACGATGATCTCAAAGTACACATCAAATTTTATAGCAATCAATCAAGTTTCGCACATAATCTGTGTAATAAAATCGCCTACAGCCTACAGACAGATAATCGACGACATACAGACGGAAATGACAACATCCTACTTTACGTTTAGGAAGTAAAAATATAAAACGTCTTAGAATTCTTGCAATTCATGCTTGGAGCATATTTTGTAATGTTGATTTAATCATTTGTTGAAATGACAATTAATTTTCCGTCTACTGTTCTAATTATAAATCTTCTTTTTTTGCCTTTTGTATTAAATCAGAAAGAGATAGCTATTAAGTATCAAAATAAGATCTAGATAGGGCTAACAATAGCTATTAGCCAACAATGATAAAATCGGTTGTAACGGACGGTGATTTTTTTTACATAACATATATTTTTGCCCTAGTTGGTCCAAATTCTAACTCTTATCTGACAGATGTCCAAAGGTGGCTCTTTTCTGGTACTTCTTCTGCCTTGCTAGATTGGGTTTGAAAAAGAAAGCACGAAAGATCAGTCACCTCAACAGTACAACCGCCGTACCACCCAGAAACCATGCTTTATCGTACTTCAGTGTCTCCCCTGCCCAATAAATACACTGAATAAATTAGATTTTGTTGAAAATGAAGAATTAAAAATCAAAAAAGGAAATAAGCTAAATAGTTTATTAAAGAATCTAAGCAGATTGTCTTATCATTTTGGCCCAGACATTTGTTGTAGTAGTTCATTCCAGATTTTCAATCGTTTCAGTCTTTAATAGCAATTAAATTGAGATTAAACTTATCTGAACTCGAATCTTAAAAGAGTATACTTGAAACAGTACGTATATGAAAAAAATCAATGAAATAATTTTGTTTCAAAGCTAATTTTAAATTCAAGTTAAGCTAATTAAACTATCTAAGCGTAGTCTTTTTTCTCAAACCACACACTTTCGTCAACCTTTATAATCTTCATCCAAACACGCTCTTTTTAAAATTTTCAAACAGTGCCGAAACAGCCCGACCTTTAGACATTCCTGACAAAAATGAGTTCAAGTGTATGATAACCACACAATACCTCAAACACTGTTGTTAACAATTATCAACTTTTATCGGATTTCATAGATTTACTTTGCGACGTGTGTTTACCACACCAACCCATTATATTGATTTATTGCGTGGTTAATGAGCGTAAACCAAGACCATGAAGCTGATTTTTGTGATTGTAGTCGTTTTCTTGACCAAAACCTGCAGCAGCCAAACTCTTTGCGAATCTCTGGAGGCTCAGGCAGTGAACGACGTAACCCCGGAATGCATGGACCAACTTCTAATAATGTGCAACAACGGCTCTTTGTGGTGGCGCAGTAAGTACCATCTCTTCTTTATAGTACTCGTTCATATCTTCCTTTACCAGTGGTGGACGCTTCCTCCAAGTACCCCATCTCTGGAATGTCATACGGCAGCAACAAAGATCTCGGAAATTACGACGAATGCATAGACATAGACTATGAAGATTTCGCGGGAAAGGTGAAAGGGAAGTACTGCGGCTACAGTGTGGCGATTGTTAATTTATACCTTGAACCAATACCTAGTCCTTTTAATCTGGACATTAAACCGAGATTACTGGCAAATGTTCCACAGGTACTGCACGTACTTTCGTACACAAGAAGTTTTACCAAAATTTACAGGTCAACTACAACAAAACTGTCCGCGACGCGACTGACGATTACTCAATCAGTCTTCTGTCGCTGTGTGTACCGGATAAATGTACCCCCAAAGAAGTTGGAATGTTTTTCGTTTGGGGTCACCTAGCTGACATGCAAATAGTGAATTTCCCCGAAGTTCTTCCTTGTATGATGAAAGACTCCAACACTACGTTTCGGGCAGGCGATATTGTATTCACGTGGGTACTTCAACTGCTCACTTTTCATCGAAAGTACTACTAACTTTTGTAGGTGTGTACTCGCGTTCTTCTTATGTTTGATAGTATTAAGTACGGGCTACGACTTCCTGCTTTTGAAACTTGAAAGAAGTAAGTAGTACCGGTTGTGTTCTAACCAATTAAGAGTACTTTTAGAGCCGAGCCACCCCATTTATTTGGCGTTTTCGTTCATAACCAATGGAAATAAACTCCTACACACGAGTCAGGGTAAGAACCCTAACCAAATCACTTGTTTGAACGGGATGAGATTTATTAGTATGATGTGGGTTATCGCTGGGCATGGGTTTGTGGCCATGGAACAATTACCACTGATTAACTATTCTACTATTGCAAACGTAAGTACGTATGAGAATTCGTGGATTTTGATTAAGTTTGGCTTTACAGTACTTGAACCAAATGAAAACCCAGTATATGCTGTCAGCACCAATAGCAGTAGACACTTTCTTCTTTCTGTCTGGGTTTCTACTGAGTTACGGGTACTTGAAAAATGCTGTTAAACTACCAGTACGGGGACAATTGAAGAGTATTCCAATGATGATAGTACATCGCTACTTGCGACTAACACCAGCTTTAGCGATGTTATTTTTCACCACAATCAGCATATATAGAATGACTGGTACCGGACCCATGTGGGCCTACATTGCGAATGATTTCAGCAGACAATGTACGGAACACTGGTGGTCATTTTTCCTCTACATTCAGAACTATGTTAACTACGACGACTTTGTAAGAAACAAACGAGGGATAATCACCTTTACAGCACATTTTTTTAGTGTTTAACCCATGCGTGGTATCTCTCAGCCGACATGCAAATGTTTATTTTAGCACCCATAGTACTAATCCCGTTAGCCGAATTGTCAAAGAACAACAAACGCAACGAAGCTCTCATCGGACTTGGGGTTCTAATCGTGATCTGTGTTTTCTTTCCAATGGGTATCCGCTATGCCGATGATACCATCGACAAGTACTACCTCCGGCGTCATTCTTTACAACTCTAACTATGTTTATTACAGCGTATATGACACCCATTCGCGTTTTAACAACTACCTCATAGGAGTTCTTCTCGGATTTATCATGCGAGATCCTCGCTTCCAGAAATTTCCATTCTCCAAGGTACGACTTCGACTCACACCAACAATGTAATTTCATTTTCTTCCAGCTCACGAATTTAGCCATCTGGTGCTTTGTTTTTAACGCGTGTGTGGCGTTTAATCTCTATTACCACAATATCCTACGAATATATGACCACATTTCCGATACTACCTTCTATGGGTTGTACCGGCCCGTATGGTGTCTTTCTCTAGCTTGGTTGGTGTATTCGTGCTATCACGGGTACGGGGGTCCCGTCAACTGGTTTCTTTCTCTACCAGCGTTCCAGATAGGAGCTCGTTTGTCCTATTGCATGTACCTTGTGCACGCCGTCGTCGAAATGTATTTCGTGGGGTTGGTACGAACTCCGTACAACGCGGATGACTACACTATCGTGAGTACTATCAGGTTTTTGGCCACTTGTAGGTTATTTTTTTTATTATGTTTTTAGTTTTATTTGTGGTGTGGCCATTTTATCGTTACTATGATTCTGTCGACCATTTGGACCCTGGCCTTCGAATCTCCGATGATTGTAATCGAAAAGTTTATTTTTGGAGGGGCAGGTAAGTACTCGGGGTTGATTTAGCGACGGTTTCAGTACTTTGTTACAGGAAGAAAACCGAAGAAGGAAGGGCAAGCACAATAGTTTAATTATTTATTTTTTTAGGACAATAAAGTTATTTAATTTTGAAAGTTTTTCATTTCGATGCGTTCGATTAATCTTGCTGACAGGTTTATTAATTTTTCTGTCTGCTTCATCACAGTTTATCGAGGGAAATGTGATTATCGTGTGATCAAAAAAACAATTTGTGCGTGTTGCACCTGAAATATCGGTGATAGACAATCAAACTTGAACTTAATGAGTGTCGTACTTTTGAACACCTGGATGTGGAGTGGTTTAATTAAAGTACTGTTTAAAATGGTGATAATTTCAAGCCTCTTTTATTATAAACGAAGACGGCAAAAATTATTTAAAAAATTTCTAACCTTGGCTCATAAAAGAGATAAAATCATATCGCTAAAATTAGCTTAAAAACATAGATTCGCACTTGCTAACTTAAATTAAGGTCAATTTGGGTTAGATTAGAAACAGCCTGAAACTCGTAAATGTTGAAAAAAGCCTTCGAAAAAGGCTTCAAATCCAAATTTGAAGCTAACTCCAAGTACTGCAGTGATAAAAATATATATGAATAAAGACGCTGTTTTCAAAAAAGAACAGAAAATAAAATAGCAAAAGAAGACGTAAATAACAACAAATGCAAAGAACAAAATTAAAGAATTATAAAAAAATTCGAGACGGCAGACAGACGGACAGATGGACAGACAGCCGGAAACGGGAGACCTATTTCTTCGTACTCTAGAAGTCGTGAAAACATAAAATTAGAAAGTCGGCCGACGCTCAGGAAGTAAAAAGAAAGTTAAAACACAGAAAAATAGGTCCAGCCAGTAATAGATATATTAACATACTATCTATTTGGCAAATTTTTTCAACCTTTTACCTTTCAGTGAAGAGTGATCATAGGTCTGATTAGAGATAGCAGCAAAACCGATTTAATCACGATAAAACACAGTTCTCCAATTATTTTATTTTGATACTACTAGTATTCATTTATTACACGTGATAATCGCAACGAAGATGATTCGCTTGTTTAGTGCCTTTTTATTATTTTTCTGTTTCATACAAAGTAACAATGGTGAAACTCTTTGTGAAATGTTTGAACATTCAGCTGCTAAATCCAACATTAGCAAAGCTTGCTTGAAGCAAATGCACACGGTCTGCAATACTCCGGAACTGGGATGGAAGTGTATGTATATACCAAAAAAAAACCAAATATATACTAACCAAACACAATAACATTTTTAATCACAGGAATTCAAATAATTCACCAGTAATTAAAAAGCAATCTGAGTTTATCTCTGATTTAGAACGCGGTCCCTAATTGCTATAAAATTAGTAGCAAATTGATAAACTTAAACAGTCTTATCGCTCCATATTTCTAAATTACTTATCCATGCATTTCAGTATATGACGCTACATCCAAATTCCTCACCCCGGGAATGTCATACAGCAACGTCATCGACTATGGCAACTTCCCGGAATGTCTGTCCATTGTCCACGAAGATCGGAATGGTCAAATCCGTGGGAAATTTTGTGGAATATCCACAATCATAGTAAACATATTACTAACACCAGGAACTCACCAAATTTTGACCAGTCTGGGTATTGATCCTAATGCTACAACGCTACAAATAGTACCACTATCAATTATCAGTGATAAGTATCAAAACTTATTTTGGAAATTCTAGGTTTCGATGGAGACATTTTCGCAAGTATCAAAACAAGTAAGGGACATTTTAATCCCCGACATACCCTACGTGATTTCAAAGTACTCATCGTGCGTACCAGACGCTTGTACCCCTCGAGAAGTCGCCCACTTTTACTGGTACGGTTATTTGTTATCCGATCTTGTACCTTTGATAACATACACGGATTTACCGTGCGAAACTGTTGATTCAAACACGGAGTACGAGGCAGGCGATATAGCTGTAATGTAAGTACCCATTTGTCACTCTTTCCAGTTAGTACTTTCTTCTCGTAGATGTTTCTTCGCAGTGATAGCCGCGTTAATGATTGCAAGTACCATTTACGACGCACTTTGCCAAAACTTCAAAAAAAGTAACGACAGAACTCATTTGAAACGCCAGTCTAAATAAGTACTTTCAGAACCGCACCACCCTCTCCTTCTGGCGTTTTCTGTCCTCTTCAATGGAAAGAAACTTCTCGCTATAAGCAACAACACCACCGAACAAATCCAAGTTTTCAACGGAATGCGTTTCATTAGCATGATGTGGGTACTATCCTTTCACGCGGTCTCAGTTTTCCAAGCTGGTATCATCAGTCTAGAAAACTTCCCGGAAGCGAAAGATTGGGACCAAAGCATCTCGAATCGTTACATAGAAAGCGGTCTTCTTGCAGTCGATACCTTTTTCTTCATGGCGGGTTTTCTTCTAGCTTTTACTTACTTAAAAACCTCGGAAGAGTCAATTGGAGCGCAATTAAAGAAAGTACCGAAGATGTACCTCCACAGGTACTTGCGAGTAACACCCTCTGTTGGTGCCATGTACTTGGTTACGATTACCATTTTCAAATTCATGGGTACAGGGCCCACTTGGACTCTTGTTACGAAGATGTTGAGAGACACCTGTTTAAATAGGTGGTGGAAATTTTTCCTCTACGTTCAGAATTACACCGATCCGGACGACATGGTAAGAACTGTGAGATTTGAAAAGTGGTACTACTTTTGGTAATTTCAGTGTGTGAATCCGACATGGTACCTCTCAGCTGACATGCAGATGTTCATTTTGGCACCTCTAGTACTAATTCCGATGGCCGCCTTTATAAAAAAGAGCTTCAAAGGGGTATTTTACGGCCTGGTAGGTGTGACCCTGCTCGCTGTTATAATACCAATTTTCACAAGATATTTTGGTGATCAAGCGGCCGGAAAGTGGGTACTTGTTTCTAATTTAACACCATTATTAATGTTCCGTTTGTAGTATTTACACCGCTCATGAAAGGTTCAGTGATTTTCTTATCGGACTTACCTTTGGGGCTACCATGAGGATGTACAAACACAAACCTTACATTTTCTCGCCTGTAAGTACTTTAAGTTGACACTTTACTTCACCCAAAATTAAGCTGTGGAATGTTTGTCTTTGGGTTATAGTACTACTGGTGTCACTTGCTTTCAATCTTTTCTGGTTCGACGTCTTGTACCGCTACTATCTTCTAAAATACACACTCTTCATGGCTTTCTACAGACCAGTTTGGTGCTTGTGCCTAGTTTTTATGGTTTATTCTTGCTACCACAACCAAGGGGGAATCATACAGTGGTTCTTGTCAAGGCCATCGTTCCAAATTTTGGGAAGATTATCGTACTCCATGTACGTACTTCACGTTCTTGTGGAGGTTTATGCTGGAGCTACATTAAAAACTAGTAGTTACTTCAGTAACTATTTCTTGGTGAGTTAGCTAAACATTTTTAGCACAGCACTAGTTATTTGTTTTTAGTTCTATAACTGGTGCGGACATTTTATCGTAACGCTGATAGTATCGGTGATTTGGGTTCTGGCCTTCGAATTTCCCATGCTCACTATTGACAAATATATTCTAGGAGATGGTACGTAGTGACTGGTTGATAACAGTCACGTGAAAGATCACGTGTCGTAACCTATAAAATGAAGTAACCAATTATTTGCGTTTCAGACCGAAAATCATCAGCCAAGCGAGAAAATTAAATGAAACAACACAATGTATTTTCTTATTTATTGCACTCAATAAAGTTTTTTACAAAAATCGTAAATCTTCAACCACTTTTAATAAATAAATAATGAGTTATAACGTCGTCTCGGTCAACAATCTCCTATTTTGCTCGATCCGAATTTCCAGAAACACTTCGTTGTTTTTCAAGTATTGCGACTTCGTGAGAGTACCATGTGGTATAAAGATATACGAAAATGAAGATTCTTGTGGTTCTTCATTTTCTTCATCGCCTGTTTGCCTTTTCGCGACGATGTGTTTGGCAAAGTTCTTCGGCTGCAAAAAACCAGATAAAACTAATTTAACCAAAGTTCTTACCAACATTTTCCGAATTTTCTTGGTCGCGTAGCGACACAGTTCCTTCAATATGACACGGCCACTTCAAAAGGGCGTCAAAATCGCCCTTCAGCACGTGAATGGAAACCAAAGCATATCGATCCTTCCACTTCTTCAGACCATTCAAGTACGCTAAGATCTGTTCAATTTTTAAAACGTTGCTCACATTTAGGCGAACTTACCCTGACTTTGTACCCGAAATCGTGCGTGTAGAAAATCGGGCTTTTCAGAACGGAGTTGGATGATTTCGATTTGGACATTTTTGCTTCAAAGTCGGTGATTCTCCAAACGAGGTGGCCTGGTGTCGACGTTCTGGCATCCGCAGACGCCAAATTTTCCAGTATTTCCAAATCGAGTTTAAGTTGGTCAAATTGCTGTCTAAATTTCGCGAACTCTCGGTCCTGTATTTCCAACTTTTCAGCCGTTTCTGACGCGATTTGACTTATAGTTTTAATATCGAAGATGACGCTGACGTTCTTTGCTTTCTGTTCGTCCATGACTTGTTTTAAACCGTCTACATCTTTGCGAATATCATCAATTATGTCCTTTTGCTCGTTCCATAAGGCGTTAACTGAAGCGTTCTCTTGGTCAAACAAGTCCTTAAACTCGTCCAAGTTCTTAGCAAATTCGAGATTAGCTTGTCGGTTGTAGTTCTGCTCTTTTAGGAAAGTGTCCATTGCGATGTCTAGATCCATCCGGAACTTATCCAGCAGACTTAGCTTCTGTTGGAGACTAAGCCAGTGGTACTCGCTCTCACTTCTGGCCTTGTCTAACGACGTCATCGCCTGTTGTAGAGTTTCCAGTTTGTAATCAACGGCTTTTTTCCATTCTAGAAGCATCTGGTTCTGATATTTGATTCTATCTAAGTCCTGGTTGTTCCGGGAATCGATGCTGCTATTCGAGGACGACGATAACTCGTAGTTGGCTAATCGTGTAGACAATTTCTGGAAGTCGCGTTGTAACCGTTCTAGTACGTCTCTTGTTGAAGTATTGTTGAATCGTCTGTCTAGAGAAGCTGTGTTGAGGGCGTCATCGTAGGTTTCTATGGTGTCGGTGGTGGTTGTGAGTCTTGTCATGGATCGTCCAGGTCTGTTGAGGCATTCTTTTTTGTGGTTGGGCATTTCCATGCGGGGGATGTAAGAGCCGCATTTGTTGGGGCAAGGGATAAGGACGTTGCCGCAGACAGAAGTGTGACCCTAAAAACGAAATTCTGAGTTTACAGCACAAAAAATTAATATATTGTGGTGTCCCAGTTCGAACTGAAATTTCGCGCTGAGAAAAAAACGGCGCAAAATCGCGTTTGAATAATTTGAATTTGAAAAATAGTTAATACAATCGTTAAACATAGGCAACTAGGTGCAGAGATCTTCAGCTGGAGTGGGAGACCGTCTAGAGAATTACTGAATGTCAATTTTAAGTTGGTGGTTAATGAGGGTTGGTAACGGGAAAGTCGATTTGTTTTGGGTTTAATGCGTCACTTGTTGTTTCTTTGGTCTGAGTGGAAGTAACCACATGGTGAAAATTAAGGGTAGGTTAAATTTAGTTAGTAGTTTGATAAAATAATGAAAATTTCGCCGAAGTCAACACATGGTGTCAAACGTGTTAGGGAATTCGCTTACTTAGTCTTCACTGTTTTGTTTATCAAGTTATAACTTAACTTAAGAGTTGTATCATAACACACTTCTTAACCACTCTCTCAAGATTGCTAATAACTAATCTGTGGCATTTAAACTGATTTTAAACATTGAGGATCTGAAAAATTACGGTTAAATTCATACCCTCGTGGACTAGAAAAACTGAAGGACTTTAATATTTTCTTCCAGGTTTAACAGTTTGAATTTGAACATTTATTCTCGAAGTATGTTTTTTTTGCATGCGACATGGGGGCTTCGGTTCACGAGATATTCGGACGCAAAAATCAACAACAGAAGCAACAAGATGAAGTCCACCAATTTCGGCAATCTTAGCAGGAGTTCAAGTTTCGCGGGTTTTAAAATTTTGTTCACATGTGAAATTATGGCGGGATATTTCGGTTATCACAATGTCTACTTCACCTTCCTGTATTAAAATAAATCGAAAAAATCCACTCATAGTAAGTAAATTTGATAAGCCGGTTCTGAGATAATCGATAAAATAACTCTGTCCACACATTCATATTTTTAGAAAAGATCCTCCATAAGTAATTTTAAAAAATGAAAATATCACTGAAAGTCAAACAATACCTTTTCGATATTTTCAGGGCAGATGTATTTAATAATTTTAAGGTGACGTCATCAATTTTTAGACGAAAATACCCACACTGATAGGTACAATGAAATACCAAACGCAAAGTTGTGTTCCCAGAATTTTAAAATATTAGATAAAACGTTTCTAAAGTAATCTATAAAGATTCCTACGCAATAGTGAGGAAACACGTAACACTTCGCCCTAAAAGAAAAAATAATTTCGCTGGTATGTTGAATGATGTCTGTAATCTCTAAATCACCATTTTTTTACTATAATTTCAAAGAAGTTCAAAAGTAGACAAAGGAATATTTTAAGGATAAGTCAGGCGAAATTTTGAGATGATATCATCAATTCTTCGAAGCCAGTGATCATATACATTTATCATATTTATAGCAATCGTAAATTACAACGAAAGTAATCGACACACTAGTTTGGAAAATTATTTTTTCAAAATTTTTCAACACATTGACCGAGAGATAAGGGAACCTGGCATTTTTTATTAACGACTGAACACCAGGACATGGAATTCACTCTTTAACTGTCGTTCGTCATATAAGAACTAAAATATCAATTTCATATCATAGCTGTAGGAAGGATATTTGGAGTTGTGATGTAAGCAACGTTTTTTAACACGGGTTGCATGTAATTCCACACTAATACAGCTTTTAAGTAGAATTTTCTTCGCTGCGGTTATTTACTTCTTTGTTTCTATGATCACAATTATTAAAAAATACACCAGTGGCGTACGCGGAAGACAAGTTAGTTGCGTTTCTGACTATTTGTTTTAGTGACTATTTTTCTTCTTGGTGTATGTATTTATGTCGATTTAAATGAAGTTCTTTAATTAGTGTTTAAATGCGTAGCGTTTTGTCTCTTGTTTGAATACTTACCATTTCTGTATCATTTTCGATTTTCTTGTGGCAGAAATAGCACGTAAAGGGGTTTTTGTGACGGTCCATCATCACGGGTCAACACCTCACTGCGGCAAACATTTCACAACACGCCTAAAGATAAGATATGGCAAATGAGCGATAATGAATGTTTGAATAATGTGTAACTCGTAAAATCAGACAAGGTTAATTGTATACCAGCTTTTTATTAATCCAATTAATTATAATCAATTAGAATTAATTTCATAATGAAAGCCAATACTAAAAATTTCCGAAGGTCCTAGTTTCTAGGTAACGATACTGAAAAGGTACAATAGAAAAAGAAGTAAAAACTGAAAATGCCATTCTATGATAAAAAGGTTTAATTACCACAACGCATTGTGCTGTTTAACCATTTTCAATAACACTCTAAATGTTAAAGCATAGATATCCATTGGTCGGAGCCAACCCAAAGCGCGTCCCATATATACACAACCTTCCGTCGAAAACGCAACCAATCACTCCACACTTTGAGTTCACACCCCTCGAAAAAAACCGTTACAATTGACTTTAGTGACTTACAATAAATTTGTTTTAATCATAATTAAATTAAATTAAAAAAAGGACTAATATCGGCTCGTCGGTGAAATCGCTTAGTTATGCCTATTCCCGGGTCTAGGTCCGTTCCTGCTTTGTCTAGGCCTGTTACTGTATCCGTTATTGTTCTGGTAATACGATTGGTTGTTGGGCCGCGGGGGGCGGTTCCCCCCCGCGCTGCCCTGCCCCTTGTGCTCCTCCTTGTGCTCCTCGATCCCGTTGTTGCCCGACACCGGCGGGATGGGCGGTTGCGGTGGCAGATTCGTCGGGATGTTCTGGAAGAGGGGCGGCAGCGGGATCGGGGGCGGCGGCGCGCTGACGAAGCTCTGGTTCGTGAACGTCTGGCTCGGAATCTGTTCGGGCGGAGTGTCGATCTCCGACTCCTGCAAGAAGAAGAAACTCCCCGTCCCCAACATCTCCGTTATCGGCCTGGGGGGCTGCTGCTGTTGTTGCTGTTGGTAGAACAGCTGCTGCTCAGGGTTCAGCGGCTGCTCGAGGGGGGGCTGCTCCGTGGGCGGCTGCGGCATCATCGGAGGAGGCAGCGCGTCGATCGACAGCATCTCCATGGGGGGCAACTGCTGGGGCGGCTCCTGCGGTGCGATCGGCTCGTGGCTGACGGCCGCCTCCGCCGGAGGGACTTCAGGTTGCTCGCCTTCGGTGAAGCTTTCCATCACTTGCACCTGATCGAAATAGCCACTCTCGTGGATTTTTCCGAGAATTTCCTTCACCTGGCTGTACGTGCCGCCGAAGACTTCTTTCGGCTTACCGTCGACGACGGCCAGGAGGTGTTCGGCGGCCGCCTGCACTTCGTTCGTGAACGCCGTAGGGTTGCCGGCTTCATGTTTCGGGGTCACAGCTGGGTATAAGTCGTCGAGTAGTCTGCAATGAAAAAATAAGAAAAGGTTGAAGTACTCGGGGTTCGAAAACGGGAATCTATTGCTACTACTATGATGCGCCTGACCTTCATTTTTATGATACTGCCAGCGATAAAATTATAAGATTTCATAAACCCGGTGTATGTGATTTTTTATTTACCAAACCCGGCTCGTAAAGTGTGAAACAATAGGTACTGAGCAGGAAATTTCGCAAGCAAAATATAGGGCGCCCGTGGAAAACGATCCATACCTCGGAATAATTTACGTATGTGAAAACGTTTTTGTTCCCAATTGAATTTCAACCGCTCAAAACAAACTTTTTATGAGTAATAAATCAAGAGTCCAACTTATTGGCGATCGCGGCTACTACATCCATTATTTATGACTGGATTTTACGAAATGTTATAGCGACTGCCGATTTGACAGGATTTGAGAAATAAAATTAATTTCATTGCGCATTTTTTTGTGACTAGAAAATCCATACATCTCTTGAAGCCGTTTAATAAAGAGGGACTTTAACGTCACGTCGCATGGTAGACCCGCAAGGTCGGCTTGTCATTTAGGTCTTTATGTGCGACCGTCTGCCCATTATCGTGACAATAGCCAGCTACGTGCTATATCAGATCCCATTCCCCCTTCATATAAAATTATTTTTGGATTCGTGTACACATAACCTGCTTAACTGTTTAATTAACAACATGTACGACATGTGTTTATATTTATTGCTCGTATTTGCTTGTAATAAATACTGCTTTCTAATTAATCCTTTAAGCACTAGAAGCTTAGTATACAAATTCGGCTAAATTAGAACTGAGAAAACTTTTACGTAAACACAGTTGTATTAAGCAAATTAAGTCCGGCGTTCGTAACGAATTTGTTTACGACGCATTTATTTGTGTATATGTACTTAGTTTGTTATTCCAGATTAACTAAACATGTAAAGGTGACTGCATTTGACAAGGCTCCTCAAACACGATTCACGTGATAAATCATCGGAATGGAAGTGTTTTTCTTTCTATTTAATAAATGGTTTGTGAAGTAGATGAATTAATTATTAGCCATTCCTGTGAAAATGTTAGTGTGTTCGATATTAAATTACTATTTTACTTGTCAAATATTACACTGTTTTTGTTGGTTTGTGTTGGATAATTTTCGAAATGACTTCTTGCGGCCAATCAAGATTCCAAACATTTCCCCTCCCCACCAATATCGATGGCGTCATCTGAAAAGAATGCTAAACACATCACAAATATATAAGGAAATCTTTATTAAAAAAATACGCTCATATCCTGTATTCTTTGAATGAAAAATAAGAATTTAAAATAATTAGATTACTTCAAATATGGAAAATGTGTTTTTACCCATGGTTTAATAATAGGGTCACATTTTTGCTTGTCAAGCGATAATAAGGGGGCATTATTGCAATAGGGTCATTTTGGCAGATGTTCAAGTAGTTCGGAAATTTTCGGTAAGCGACACAGCCATTCGGTCGCTTGCCGAAAACTCCCGAACCACTCCCAGAATTTGCAAAAAATTTTCGAACAACTCCCGACCGCCGCCGAGGTTCCGGACATCAAGTTAGAGTAGGTAGCAGGTCTGTAATAACGAATTTTTAATAAATGGTTTAGTTTAGGTCCCCGTAAGTGGGTTTTTGTGTTATAATATTCCACGCACCAAAATATCAAAATTATCTTAGAATTCCAATTTCTAGATCTATTTATTGAGCAACTTAAAAATGCAATAATGAATTATTTGGCAACATCCATTGTTGTTAAAAAAAAGTGCACTGTCATCAGAAATCCCAAAAACAAATGACGCCACCTTACTTCCCTTGCCCAAAGTGAATAAACTTTTTTATATTTAGACGCGTAATAAAGCGTATTAAGGGTACTCATAAAAACAAGCCAAGATCCACATGTATTTGTTAGAAAATGGAAAAGTAGAGGCGATAATCCTCAAATTTATCTTTTTAATAATAAAAGCGTGTAAACAATCACACATTTTTGAAGCATTTACTGCGCATTAAAGTACTGAAGCTCTCACATACGTGTTTTAAGTAGAACATAAAGTTTTCGTTGCTGCAGATGTGATACAATGCCACAATAAAATTTGATCAGGGTTTGGCATAAATCTGTATCACCCTTATTGGACCTTTACATATCATCAGAATTGTTCAATAAAGTTTGTAGCCCCTTAAAAAAACCCATTTTGAAAATCTCACAATTTCCGTGCCAACTCACTTGAGATCCGTTTCAGTCAACTGCGCCGCCCCGTTTCTCCCGTGCAGGAAGTCGTCCCTCACCGCCTCGTTCCCCATTTGGTTAAGGGCGTCCTGCACCAGCAGGATCTCCCTTAGCCTCGCCAGCTCCGCTTGGTTCTTCGCCGCGGCCTCCTTCTTCGCCTGCTTCTTGGCCTCCTTCTCCGATACCACAGCAATCCCAAGGAACTGTTTATATATGTCTCGGGCGAACTCCAGCGTCTGCGTCACCTCATTGTACTTCGCTACGGCAGTCTTCTGGTCGGCGTTGAGCTCCTTTCCCGCGTTCTGCAGGTCCCTGTACGACTCCAATTTCGACTGCAAAAGCAACGTCCTCGTGACTGCGGAAAATTACCGCTGATTACTCACTTTTCGCTTTTCGAGGTTCCTAATTTTGTGCTCTACGAGGGTTATGACCTGGCGCAGGGGCGTCGACGTGCCCGAGGACTCCGGCAGAGCGTTTTCGGGGGACACTTGCTTATCAACTTTCACGTTCGCCGCCGAAGGCATCGTTTCAAATGTTTTTGGGGGGCTAACTGAACACTTTTTGCGCTTCCCTACTTTGGGAAGTAGGGCACCTGGCTGCAGAGGAATTTTTTAACGGAAAGTAACACAAGGAAACGTTCGAGATTTGTTGACAGCACAGAGGGGTTCACTCCATCGGAAAGCCGACAGTGCACTGGCGGAAGCCGGCGGCGGCCATTGCTCGCGCGCCATTGGTCCAGGCACCGGAATTCGCGAGGGGCGGGAAATTCAAACGACACCGTAAAAATTTTTACAAAATGTCAAAAACGTTTTATTGAGAGGTGTGCTCGGAAAGATCACCAGTTCTGTAAGAATATAATAAACAATATCACTTTTTTTTACAATCGAAAGTCGAGCACAACGAAATGCACAGCATGACATGGCGAGTAACCATTACTAATAAAAAATTATCTTCCTAGTCTTGGCTAAACTATATTCATTACATAATTAAAACAATACATTTTTTATTTGTATATAAACTCTCATCAAATATAATATACACAATTTTGATATTTCTTAAAAGTCCTTAGATTTAAGTAAGTCTGTTTTTTTACTTAAATTAAAAACATCACTGCGTGTACACTGAATTATTTTTCATTTTTGAACTGTATTCTATACAGTCGATTTCCGCCCATGAAGTACGTACCTCCAAAAACAACTGAAACACAGAAATGAAACACACGACCACGACGACCTCCTAACTTACCTGATTCAACCAATGCTCATCTGCCAACAGTTCATTTAATATACAAGTTGTATCCTTATTTGGATCACTAGTCCGTTTTTCACCTACACGTTTCGCACATTCGATATACATCAAGTATTTTTGATGAGTCACTTTATTCGACAGTTCTACGCGAGCCGCACATATCCGACACATCAAGAAGTTCTGCAAAAAAAAAATACTTCAGTCTTTCATTACACCCATCTAAATCCTAAAACGACAATTTACACAACTCGATAAAGTCCGGTAAACTCGCTGGTTGCTTGGCTACATAGATTTAAAAATAATAATCAGTTGTCGAAAAATTTGGTGGTGCTAGGGTTATCTTTTTCGAGAAATGCGCCGAACGATCGGTTACATTCGTGTAAAGAGTCGATTCGGAAATGGCCACCATTGACGTACCTATATTACAATAAGTTGTACGATAAAACGCAAATACACTGGGGATTTACAAAATTTAATTTAAAAATAGATCATCAAAAGGATTTTAGATGACATTTAACCCGAGATATTATTATTAGAAGTAAAAAAAATTAAAACATGATAAGTTTGTTGTATTCCAAAAACTACTGATAAATTTGTGTTTTAAAAACTACGATTGTAAATAAAAATCTAAAACTGGAACTTTGGCTACCAAAACTTAAGTGATAAACCTACACTTGACCTAGAAATGAATTCGTGTTTCCACGTACAATAAACACTTTTGCCAGAAAAAATATTTCATAATATAATTCGACCTCCAGTGTTCAAAAAGGTGTTGTTTGTTCATTATAGTTGAATTTTCACTCATATATCAATGACTATTAATGACATAAACAAATTAAATAGGCCAAAAAAACAAGTAAATTATAGGCATGATAATAAAGACGATTATCTACGCACGTACAAGGAAACTATAATATTTTTTAATTAACATGAACAGGTTTTGATTTTATGTTTCCAACATAGTAAATGATTTCTATTCTTTCCTTTCTGGAAATCTCTAACAAATCCACCTCCAACTTTTCACAAACAAACTACCAAATTTTTTTACGACTGACCCTACTTACAACTTTATAGTCTAGTAGCCCATTTTAGCTATTCTGCATTAAAAACAAATTTTAGCCCCAGCCAATCAATACAAAAGTTTAGTCCGCGGTCCGCCCAACTCACTTTCTCGTTCATGGCCTTGGGGTCTGGCTGGCACCCCTCCAGCGTCGTCGAGTTGTACGGCTGTCCGTACATCAGCACCCTCACCGCCACCTCCATCCTCCCGCACGCCGCACAGGTCTTTGCGTGGGCATCCGACGGGTTGACTTCTCGTATCACATTGAAGCATGGCCACGTGCACACGGCCGCCTGGACCGCGGGTGGCCACCGCAGAAGCGACAGAAGTTTTTTCTTTTTGCTGTCTGTGATGTCGTCTATCATTTTCACGTTCGACAAGAAGTACTCATCTGTTGAAAAATTGAGTAACGACAATGGCGGCTGACGACTCGATACTACCTTTTTCTTGGAAGATCTCCGTCAAAAAATTGCTATCCAAGGCTTGCGAAATCAACGTTTGTATGTACACTTCGAAATTGTCTTGGTAGCCTTCACAGTCTTTCATGCATTTTTGCTGGTAGTCGGTGTCGATGACGGTCATTTCGTTACGTAAGAACTCGACGATGGTTTCGATCGGGGTCTGGCATTTGTAGCGGACTGGGATCGGGACGTATTGCTTTCTGCTCTCGGGGGTCCAGGACGTATACTGAAAGGCGGCTTATTATAAAATAAGCTAAAGGTAAGTGCAAGTTTTGGGCGGCTTAGAAAGTCTAGAAATAGTTAAAGTGGCTGTGCAACTTATCTCAAGTGTGTAAATAAAGAGTGTTAAAGTACGTGACACACAAATGGTACCAACCGTTGAGATATTTCTGTACAATGTTAGCCCATTCTGCTCGAACGGCTCGTATTTCTGGAGCAAAGTTTTACCATCTACCCTCCAGATAGCAGGCCAGTCTTGACCAAGTTCCGATCTAATTACGACAAACTCACCCGGCTAAAAAAACGCAATCAATACCGTGAGTACAAACAAGAAAAAAAAAATCACCTTGAATGGATTTTCGTCATGCGTAATCAAAGTATTATTAGACAAGGAGGCGGCAATGTTATCTTCTAAAGTTGGAGGTGCGTTCTGTTTATTACTTTTACTACCTGTAATGTGTATGTAATGTAAAAGTAATCAAAATATTTTTGTTACATAACACAGATATAACTAGACTTACTTCTACTTTTCTTGGGGTTCCCATCGCTGACGTAGCCATCAATCTCTTGTATCCCTGCTCCCTGTGCAGCTGCCGTAATAAGATTTCTCTTTTTCTTCGTCCCGGATTTGCGACACTTCTTCGAAATAGGAACAATTTCTTCACCGTCTTCCTTCGTGGCTTGAGGTGTCCACGCAGGATCCGAATCCGAGTCCTGAAACTCCGGCGGCTCTTCAATATCATCATCGGCTTTAATAAGGTGCTGGAAATTAGTCTTTTCTTTCGCCGCTCTCTTCGTCGACTCCCTCCTCGGTATCACCTCTTCCTCCTTCTCTTTACTCTTCTCTTTCGGCGGCTTCTTGATCCTCTTCTTGTCGCCGCTCTTCGTCGACTTTTTCCTACTCTTCTCCTTCCTATCACTACCCTGATTGTTAAATTTTTTATTATTGAAGAAATCATCGTCAGACGTGATCCCATCACTATCACTATCAAAGCTATTCCTTTTCCTCTCTTTCGGCAAAGGAAAGTACCTAGGATCATCCTGGGGGTCCCCCTGGGACAACCTCGTCACAACCGGCGGCGGCGGCGGCGCTATTGCAACCGTCCCGTTACTCTCGGGCTTATCCTCGTTGTTGATCTGCGGCTTCGACCTCGTCCACGTCTGTTTCCTGTTCCCTCTGGAAATCGGAGGCGGCGAACTGTCCCTCTCTCCTTGAAGAAACTTAAGGTAACTACTCATGAACCCGGATCCAGGCCCGTTCGGTTTGTCTTTCGACAGAGAATTCGGTGGCTTGTTCACCACGTTATTGGTCGGTGCTCTCGTTGTTCCATGCGACAAGAAATTCAATTCTTCTTCGATGTTGGGGACTACGACTTTAGGCTGGTCTTCTTGCGGCTGGAATTGCGCGGGGGTCGGTTGAGCATTCTGGTCCGAGTAGTTGTTGATAGGCGGTAATTCGACGGTGCTTGGAAACTCTGCAGGGTGAGGAGGTAAATGAAAAGGTGCGAAATATGGCAACGGCGGCGGCGGATGGTGGCCGTGGGGGTGCGGCACCATCAGACCTTGGTGCTGTTGGTGGATAGTCTGCGTTGTGAAAATTTTCGACGTCGGAGGCGGCAAGTTCCACCTGTTGGGAAAGCGCTACTTGTACTAACAAAAATGAGGATTTCACGAATGTTTCGGACATCTAGTGACCTGTGACGTTTGCCACTTCTTAGTAATAGTGGACATTACTGAAGTTTGAATTAATATCAAAATAATTATGACACTTGAACTATCGTTGCCATTATAGTTACACACTTTGAAAGAGGCGGAACAATCACTGCCTACTTGGATGTAGAAAAAATGTGACGAACTAGTCTAAATATGTTCAGAAATAATGTTAACGAAAACAGGATTGACACAACTGATACCAACTGCATTTACTACTTACCTATCAAAATCGAAGTAGGCCCCGTTTTGTTGTTGGTTCTGCGCCCCCGTGCTATGCGCCGGTGGCGGTACCCTGGGAACGTCCGCCGCCACCGGCGGCTGCGGCTTCTCCGTGCTTTTCCTGCGCTTAACCTGAGGCTTAACTTCCACTTTGACTTCAACTTGTGGCACCTGACAGCTCTGTTGTTGCTGTTGTAGATTTTTTACAATACTCATGGGATCGCCCCGACAACTCGATAAGTCCTGCAGCGTCACCTGGTGCCCGCTATTCGAGTCAAAATACCCCGGTTGTCCCACTCGTTGTTCCGCCACTGCATTGTAACTATTAGGCTGTGCACCGGCCTGAAATTTTCTCGCTTGCTGCCGCTCTTCCCAACAGTTCTGATTATTTTGTTGTCGTTCGTACCTTTCCGGAAAAGTCTTTTCGGAGGTGTTTAACGCACGGGTGATGACCGAAGGATACGCTACGTTCGTCGTTTGGGAGGTGGGGCGCGGAACCGAAACGTCCAACGGAGAAGGAGGTGTCACTTGATTGGAAGTTTGTTGGGGGGAGGAGATTGAGTTCATTGGGCTGTTATACATCGGGTAGGCGGGGCTAGGGGCGTGGCCAAGCGGAGAAGCCTGAGAATGGGCTTGGAGGGGGCTGGGTCTACGCGGTACGACCACGTTACAATCCGGTCCGTTCGAGTTGTAATCCGAACCGCTCTTAGGCCTTTGAAAATCTTGCTCGGTAGAAGCGTTCTGCGGATAGTGGCGATAGTTGGAGTTTTGGAACTGGGGGGTGCGTTTACCCGAGTAGTTAATCCTCCCAGGGGCGTCCATAATGGAAAAACTAATGGGAGAAGACTGGCTCTGAGGCTCTTCGTTGTTTCTCTGTCTGTCATTCTGATTGTTAAGCTCTGAGTAGATTTTCGTTTGCGCTTTCGTCTGTATCTGGGGGGCGGTCTGCTTGATGGGTCTTTGCGCGTTGGGGGAAGTGAGGTAAGCCCTGGGTGCCTGCGGCACCCGGTACTCCTTGGAGACGGCGGAATTCGACGGGGAAGAAACAATGCAAGACTGGATATTAGAATTGGAGGAAGTAAAGGATTTGGTGGTGGCGGTGTCGGCAAAGGTGGCTTGGAAGAACGTGCCCGTGGGTTGCGAGGGCTTGGCGGTGGCGGCGGGGCTCTGCGCCCTGGTGACGGCGGTCTTGGCCGCCGCCAGCTGCGAGTTTATGTGGTTGAGCGTCTGGGCGGCCGCAAAGTGTGCGTTGAAGTTTTCGTACGTCGCCGCCTTCGCCGTTGATGTCGGCACCACGCTCTCGTGCGGCAGAATGCCGAAGGGGCTGTTCTGCTGCCAGCCGGCGCCCTGCTCGAAGAAGGGCTGCTGGTGGTAGTCGCCGTCGGGCTGCTTGGAGGCCAGCGCCCGGTGCTGGGTGACATAGTGGGCGGCGGGCTTGGAGCCCGCGTGGTGGAACAGCGGGCTGAAGACGGTCTCGTAGCCCACCGGCGTGGGGGAGAGGAAACCGCCGGGCAGCAGCTGGGCGGTGGTGGTCGGCGGCGCGCCGCTCGTCGGGAGGTGGTGGTCGCCCTGCACCCCCGCCAGCCGGTTATAGGAGGCGTACGCCGACCATGGCCCCACGGGATCCATGCCTGTCTCCTAACAGTTGCTTAGCCATCCCATCTGCAAACAATCGAAAATTGGGCAATGCTAACCTTGACGGGCGGAAATTCCTGTCTGGGGGCCAATAAGAAGCCGCTATCGTGACCTCTGACATGAGGCTGGCGGTCGCTCGGCGGCCTTCCGCCGCGAGCGCCCGCCGCAGGCGGCCCCGGACCCGCCGAACCGCGCACTTACTTCTCATTGAGAAAATTCCTCCTCAGCAATAACGGCCCTTGTTCGGTCTTGGTAAATATGGCTCCATGTCTTTGAAGTTGCACCAAGCACAAAGTACGAAAACAAACAACACAAAATTAAAACGACGACGCCGGCACAACTCCTGTGCACGAAACACGTGAGTTTAGGGAAGAGAAACTAAAAACATTCATAATTAATTCGGTCATTTGCGTATTTACGACATCGTTTAGCCACCAAACTTTAGTCCGCCATTTTACCAGTTCACCAACAATGGGCCAGCGCCATCTTTGACGACCTTCAAAAACACGCGCGGAAATCAAAACAAACCAAACTTGTTTACATGGAATTTATTATTACAACTTAATTACAATCTCATCTAACGGAATTCACTAGAATTAACGAGTTTTTTATAGGTTGCGAAACTACTTTGGCTTTGTCGGGTTTCGGGGGCGCACTTCACCCCAACACGTATCACAACAATGGGTTAACATCAAAATAATTTCACGTTTCTTACATTATCACAATCAACTCACGAAATTCAACCGTTCCATTCGACGTCATGGCTAAGAAAGCAAAAAGGAAAATTAAACTCTGCTCAAAACACAACTTACGAAAACAACAGTAATAAAATAAAAAGTCGGAAGACGCTCCGTGCACTCGTTTGATCAATACAAAAATAAACATCACTGCTCAAATTATACAAAATACTAGATGTAGCTTTGGCAAGGTTACAGGAATAGTCTTTCTATAAATGATTTAGGCCATTTTAAAGAATATTTACAAACTTACAAAAATATATACACAATATCACTCCAAATAATATCAACGGCAAATTGAAAAGACTAGAAAAATTAGACGTGAGATGAAGGCGATGAAATCCCATGAGTTACTGAATTTTCAAGAACGACATCCAACTCGTCCAGAGGCAATAAAATCTGGCGAAGAAACGTCAACAAACCCCTATTTCGCAGAAACGACCCTTCTTCGTACATTTCCAAAGTCACTTTACATGACGCCATCGGCACCAGCATCCGGTGCAACAAGTGTTCCCTACATAAAAAATCATAAGTCAAACCCCTTCTGGCGCTTAAAGCAAACTACCGCTGTCAAAAGCGTGTACTTAAAAAATGACAGGCGGTACTTCACTTTAAACCCCGCCCCCAATCCAGATCAAGATTGAGCATTCACCTGACACTTAGACAAATGAACAGCTGGAACTTCCCATCCTTCCCCAGCGCTTTACTAGTACACATAATCTCGTCAATTAAATGACAGTAACACCTCCAAACAGCTACAGTTAGCTGATGGTTACGTTCTAAACTGGCAGTGCGACTCCCGGTGCTCTCCTCCATTAGCTCTGTCTCGAATTGTTCCTTTACGCGCACTAAAACACCCAATTAACCAAGTTATATACCACCTAACCTCAATTACCAAAATAATCCCAAACGTAATTTTTCCCCACGAATAACCTCGCCGATTTAAACCCCATAAGAAAAACATTCTCCAAACAATGAACCAAACCGTTCTCCCCACACAGGAGGGCCGTCAGAGTCGTATTTCGTTCGGAGTTTCGCCGGTAGTGCCACTTAACTATGTTATTGACACAATCCCCCAACATGTGTTGAATTTGGGATTGTTTAAGCTCGGTACGGGGCGGTCCTGGAGACCTGCATCGAGGAGGCGTACGCCCTATGCTCCCGGTTTGGTTAAGCTCCTCCCCTTCGACTTGAGTGGGGAGGAGGTTCCCCACCAATAGACGCTCGGTGGAGCTGTCGTCCACGCCTCTTCCTAGCCACCGCCCGCACGGAAATCTACAACACATCCAACACTAATTTATAATACAATTATAACCAAATTTACTTGTATGTGTGGCCAGTGATCTCGTTCCTCACTAGAACGTAGTCAATCATCCACTTCGCGTACAACCCTGAATTGTCATGACCTATCCGTAAAGTCGTCAAAACTCCTAAATTATGATGTTTGTACTCAAAGCTCAAACTGGATTTTGGTACTGGAATGCGAATTGTTTCGGACAGGGTACCCGAAAGCACGACCCATGCGTTGGCCGAAGTCGTTGCTCCTTTTTTATTTGGGGCTATCACAATACGGTAAGGTATCACAGTGGTGGCGTATGTACTGGTGAAACAAAAATAATCCACGGCGTTCAAAGACAACAAGTGGTAGAGAAATTGTTCCTTTTCTTCTTCGCAGCGGAGGAAAGCGGAGCGCTTGTATTGGCTGCGGAGGATCGATTGGTCATAAAGGAGAGAGCGGAGGTGTTTCGAAAGCTGCTTTTTTTCTAAGGCCAGACGCACCCACGCCTTGGCCATGCCGATGCCGGTTTTGACGTCAGTCATCGCTTGTATGTTACTAAAAAGAAAACATATTTATCAAAAACAAGATCAATTTAATTTCTTACCCCACGTCGAACAGAAGCGACTGCGGCAAAAGCGGCAACTCCCCTCTGTGGTCATGCGGGTTCAAATATTTATTTTCGATTTTTTCGAGCTGATGTATCTCTTGATAAATCATCAAGTGGGACCACAAAGCCGACTTGCCTTTTTTACGCTGAAGACCGTGCGACCACACTCTTTCCAAAAATTCACACAGTGAAGCCACTAAAGTGTTTTCTTCGACGGCTCCGAAGTTGTCCGCTGCGTTATTACTAGACAAGGTCACCCCTTCAGCCCCTAGCTTCGCCAAGAGCATCCTCTTCGTCTTAGCCTTACAGTCTTTGAGTAGCTTTTCCACAAAGGTCCAATTAGCTTGCGCTATCAAAGCCGGCGACATATCTTCGCTTTTATTGCTTTTATCAGCGGCTAAATGAGGGTGGCGCGCAAAAGCTAACCCTTTCCGCAACGCGCTAGCTCTCGGAATACTCCCCTTATTCACCACTGGCGTTTTATTCAAAACCTCTTTATCCAGAAGCGGAAAATACCGACTAATATTCGCCCTAACGATCATAATTTCCTTCGGCTGGGGCGACTCAAAGTCCGGATTCGTCAACCTCCGTTCCAGCAGCTTCTGCGTATCATGCGCCGAAGTGCACGGCTCGTAACACAGCGACCTTATCAAATTTTCGCCGCCATACCGCTGCTTGAGAAGCTTAATCCGGTTATCAAAAATAAGCAAATTATTGTCAACCTCGCCCCAAGTCGATAAAATCTTATTGTCGATCAGTGTGGCAAACATCTGCGATTCGAGAAACCGCCACAGGAACAGCCGGTGCTGCTCGGGTTGGTCCGACAAAAACGACGCTTTATCGAAATTCTGCATGGAATCTCTGTTATTGAACCAATCGTCTTTGTCCTGATTCGGGAAAATCACGAAATTCTCGTACGACTGGAAAATGTGCACGAAGCGATTGAGGAAAATCTCGCGGATCGAATTGTTGAAACGCAAGTCCTCGATGTAGGAGTCGGTGGGCTGGGTGGTCTCGTTTTGGTCCAAAGCCACCCCTGTACGTCTTACGATGTCGGCGATTCGTTGGAGGGCTTCGGAACGCGCTGAGCCCGGGGGGGAGGGCGGGCGGTCGCCGTCGAGGGTGTCGTGGATAGAGAGCTTGCGGCGGTTTTGGGGGCGGCCGGGGAGGGTGCAACTACGAGACATGATTTCCTGAAAAAAATTGAAATTAACAATTTTTTTTAGAAATCATCAAATTTCTTACTTGGCTATTCCTAGTGTTTTCCGAATTCGGCACATGCACTCCATATTTGTCCAGAGCTGACCAAATCTCCGCCGTGAACGCCTCCAAGTGCGGAAAAGTAGCGGTCTCTTCAGGTCTTTGAACTTTACACTTGTCTAAGTCAACATAGCAAAGAGACGCTTCAGAAGCGACTTTAATATTTTCAGAAGAGGCGTACAACCCCATTACAAAAGGTACAGGGGCGTCTAAAAAATGGTGAAGCGAGGCAGGCAAAATGGGCACGTAGACGTGGGGCCACGTGAAAGGAAACAACAACGAAGTGATCCCTTCAGCCACCACCATCAACCTCTGGCAATCTGTACTTCTAATCAGAATTTGATTTTCCAAAAGCAGACAGGTGAATATTTGTACAACTATATCGACTCCTAGCCAGAGGAACATCAGTCTTAAGGGATAGTCTAAATGGGGGAGTTCCAGAGGGGGCGCAGGACATTGCAGAACTGCAGTAGTTAGAGGTAAATGGGGGTCACATGGAGGTAGAGAGATCAGTAAGCTTTTGCCAGGAGACGGCAGCTGCATTTCATAGAGAAGATTAAACACATAGCTTTCAATGCTTAAACCAACGGCAGAAGCTGTTCTTTTAGGTACACATCTAAAGAGATTCTCGAGAAAGGTTTTACACGCTTGAACGTACGCAGTCTGGGAGATTATGTTTATACTTTTTGAAACAAAAAGCTTGTCTTTGGATATATCATAATAAGTTAAAGCTGCTCCACTGGGATTGTGTGTACTGAGTTTAAAGTGGCGAGGTAGCGACCTTGATTGAGGTCCCTGGTTCTGCGCATTTTGCACAGCCCTGACTTTTAACCCACTTGATAATTCTGTGATATACATAGCCTACAATAACATTAAATTTAATTTGAGTTTTAAAAAAACTGATAACGTACTTGGAGCGTTTGCATAGCATTGCAGATGTCTCTATTTTTAACTTCTTCATAGAACACTAAACTAAAGCCGTAGCAGCGCTTCCCGTCCTCCCTCGTTATGAGAAACGAATGGAAAATAGGCGCTTGAGTCACTGAGTGTTTCTGAGTACGGAATTTCAACCCTTGTGGCAAGCAAAACTGCAACTTTTGGTTATGACGGTTTCGGGTGTGTTTTCACTCACCATGCAAACTGCTGAAGCGTCGAAAGGGTTATGAGGCACGCTTTCGGGGTAGTGGGCTAAGACTTTGCATTTGTATGATCGTTCCAGAGGGGATACATGTAGGTTGTCCTCTGCAAGAAAACGGGAGCAGGGGGTCACACATCGCTACAACTATACACAATACCTGAGAATTTGTCCGGTTCCAAGCCTGAATTCAAATCCAGGCCACAAATTACGAAATAGTCCGCAAATTTGCTCATTTTGTCGAATCAACTTAACCTAAAATAATCTGAGAAAAACTGCCAAGAGAGTAGGAATTAGTAGTTTTTATCACAAGACATTGTTGCTTAAAATTAACGGTTTGTACTTTATGCGTTTTAAAAAATATGTTACATATTTACGCTCTATTTTCTTTTGGCTGCGGCCATAATGGATTTTTCGCCGACTGACACTTTCTACGACAGCGGGTCTACGACACAAAAACTACTATCACTATTTATTCACAAAAAAAGTGGTCAAGGTTGAAAGGGTTATTTGCACTTCTACAACGCGTCTGTAATTACCCCAAACTGTTTATTTAATCATGATTTTCGTTTGGCAATATTATTCGAAATAGTTCAATGTGCAAATGTCATTCACCCCATCTACTTGTCAAAAGTGTCAAGTGTCAGAAGTTCAAAGTTGTATATAAAATGGCGTAAAGATTTGTTTAGAGGAATATAACTTGGGTGTGGCAATAAACACTAAGAAAAATTAGTAAATAAACATCATAATAAATCGTTATTTATAAAAATTCCGTGTTCCGCACCGCCCCCTGGCTGAGCAATACCCCGGACACACCTCACCTAGGACCTTCAGGTTATACAACTTACTCATCGTTAAACTTTGAACTGACTCACGAAAATGTTAATTTTCTGCTACAAACGAATCTTCGAAAGCACAAACTCTTTGCTCAACCCACGAAATTAAAAAATGTCACGTCTAGCCGACTATTTCGTCGTTGTGGGTTATGATCATGAAAAAGAAAGTAAGTACACGTTTTGCCCCAAATCGCCAATAACCACCGATTTTAAGGAAGCGGCATCAGTAGCGGTATAATCCTGCAGAGATTCCCCGAGAAAGACTGGCCAGACACTCCATTCATAGAAGGAATCGAATGGGTATGTAATGTCATGGATCAGTTTTTTCTGTCACTTTCTGGTTTGTGACGAGATGCAAAACGTTGTATTATTGTAAATAAAGCGAAAGGGTTGACAAGTCTGACAGTCCTGAAAATCTCGTGTCAAATTACAGAAAGAATACCTCCTATGATTTTTTTTCCAGTTTTGCCAACCGCAAGGATGGGCCCTCTCCACCGAGCGTCAAGAGCCAAAATTCTTCGTCTCTGTACTTACCGATATCGACGCAAACCGCCACTACTGCGCCTGTTTGTGTTTCAACGAGACCGTCTCCATCACCCCCAGCAAACCTGTCGATGAGGTTCGCCGCCCCCGCCATTCGTTCATTAATTCATGTCAGGTTTCAGGAGGAAGACACGGTCGAGGGGGAGGCGCCCCTCGTGCGCCCCATCCCGGCGATTTCGCATCACAGCATCATGTATGCCCCCAAATGCTTAGTATTGGTGTCAAGACTGGATTACATAGAAACGTTTAGGAATTGTTTAGGCATAATTTATTCGGTTTACGTGGAGAGCATGGCCGTGCCTCTGGAGAACCTCGTCGGGAATATTCTCGGCTGCATACAGGTGCCGCCACCTGGAGGACCACAAGTTAGGTTTAGCATCGGAGCGGGGGACCGGCAGGCGCTGCAGCCCCCTCTGAGTCCGTCGTTACCGGTTACGCACACTTCCGTGAATCTGTTGTTCCATCAGTTAGGTATGGTCCGGGAAATGCGTTGTGCGTTAAATGAGAAGATATTTTCCAGGAATTCGAAACGTTTTAGTTTTGTTTTGTGCCATAATGACAGAACACAAGATTTTGTTCCATTCAAAGAGTTACAATCGGTTGACTGAGGCGTGCCGAGCGCTGACAGCCCTGATGTACCCCTTTCGGTACTCGCATGTGTATATTCCTCTACTCCCGGCGGCGCTAGTCGAGGTTCTATCAACTCCGACGCCGTTTATCATGGGGGTACACTCGTCACTCAAGTATGAAGTAGCTGAATTGGTGGGTATTTTGTAACTTAATTTTAATTGACAGTGTGACTGTAATTTAAATGTGTATAATTATCACTTCCTGGTGTACTTTGTATGGTAATAGGATCAGGTTTCATTCCACTGCAGAAATTTGATGACGTCATCGTACTGTTTTTCAAGTTTGATCCTTTTTTAGATGGATGTGATAATCGCCGATCTTGACGGCGGCTCTATAACAATCCCAGATGGCATCTCAGTTCCCCTGCTCCCGGAGCCCCTCATCAGCCACACCCAAGAGGCCCTCAGTCTGATCCTGCAACCCGAATTGAGTTGTTCCGACCACGCTTTCCCTCCTCTGGCAGTTCGAGCCCCTCAGGCAGTCATGTTGGACAAAGAAATACGAGCCGTCTTCATGCGTACTTTTGCTCAACTGTTACAAGGCTACAGAAGCTGCCTCACCCTCATTAGAATACACCCTAAACCAGTGATAACGTTCCACAAGGCGGCGTTTTTAGGAGAGCGGAATTTGAAAGAGTGCGAATTTACCACGAGGGTTTTGGATTGTATGTTCTTCACGAGTTTCGTGGCGGAAAGGGGGCCCCCGTGGCGGCCCTGCGACGTCTGGGATGAGCTTTACAGGTAACGTATACGGCGAGCGCAGCGAGCCGTATTTTATTTCGCTTGACTTTAGTAGTTTGGGTGAATTGCTAAAAGCGGAAAACCAGGACCCAAGGCTAGTACTGGTACACATACAGGAATTAGCTCAACAGTTGTATACTAACGAGAATCCGAACCCTCAGTCGTACTCGCAGAAGATTTTAGTGCCCCCGGAAGGGGCGTTCGCGCGTATACATCAGCCAATTTTACCACTAATCAACGGGGATCAAGTTCAAGCCATCATCGACGAAGGTTTATCAAAGAACAATCTCAAATCGAGGTGAGTATTGTTGTTATAAGTGGACGGAATTAATTTTATTTGTGTGTTTTTTGGATTGCGTTAGTGGGGATTACGCTTGGTAAGTTTCGGTGTTGCGTAATTCTTGCTTATGTTGTCTTGTCGCAGAATTCTTAGCTTTGAATGTTACCATGACCTTAGAGGACGGGTCGGTGTCATGCTGCTTTAAATCTCTGTAAAGAAAATCTTTGGAATGTTTCATTTATTTTGTCACTAGTTTTACAGAACATGTTTAGAGGAGCAATTGCAAAAAAATGACACACAAAAAATCTTTATTAATATTTTTTACTCACTCTGTCTTTGCTTTTAAAAAAATTTTACAATCATCCTGTATAAGGTTTCCAAAGACGATTTGCATCAGGCTATATCCCAAATATATAAACTTAACCTTAATTAATACTTTCATTACACCAACAAAGTCTTAGTTTGTCGGTGCAGTTCGTCTTCAAGGTTCCGCTTTCGGTCCCACTTCATTTCGAAAAACCCTTACTGACTCACGTTTCACTCATCGAGCGTTTCTCGCTTAAAGGTTAGCCTCCTTGCGCCCAATCCAACCCCGCATCGTGCCCATGGGACCACACATTTCCAACCTCAACGAGAACAAGAACATCGTCAGCAATTCGGCGCGACGCCTAGAAGTCCTGCGCAATTGCATCAACTGCATCTTCGAGAACAAAATCTCGGACGCCCGGAAGACGTTTCCGGCGGTTTTGCGAGCCCTCCAGTCCAAGCAGGCGCGTTTGGCCCTCTGCAACGAGCTCGCTCAGCACGTCAGCGGCACCAAGGCCATGTTGGAGCACCAACAGTTCGACCTGGTCGTGCGTCTGATGAACTGCGGCCTGCAGGACGACTCCTCGATGGACGAGCACGGGGTTGCCGCCGCCCTGTTGCCTCTGTCCACGATTTTCTGCAGGAAGTTGTGTACAGGTTGGTTTAACTGACGAGTTTTTGGGTGAAGATTTACACGTATTGCGTAGGGATCATTCAATTCGCGTACACCTGCATACAAGAGCACGCGGTGTGGCAGAACCAACAATTTTGGGAGGCGGCGTTTTACCAGGACGTCCAGAAGGACGTGAAGGCGTTGTACACGGCACGGTGCGACGGGGTGAGAGGGGAGTTGTTAGCAAGTCCGACTTCGCCTAGGGACAACAAGGACTACAACTGGACCAATCGCAGATCGATTTTGAACAGGGTGCAGGAGCCGACAGCGCTCGAAATAGCCGCCGAACAAATGCGAATTTGGAATTCGATCGACCCTGACAAGCAGAAGGAGTTGATCACGTGCGAGGAAAACACGATGTATAGTCAAGCTATACATTATGCGAATCGGATGGTTTATTTGTTGATTCCGTTGGATATTGCGAGTAAGACGAGCAAACAGGAGCTGTTCGACGATGAACGAGCGAGCAACAGTATGGCGAACAGGTAAGTCGGTTTTTGTAAAGTCGGGCACCAGTTTTATCATTCGTTTCAGTGTTGCTGAAAGCGACAGCGCTGATGCCGAATCCGGGTTTGAGGACCAAGACCCCGGCGAAACCGGCATGACCGTCATCCGTTTGGTGTCCCGCTTCATCGACAAAGTCTGCAACGAAGGCGGAGTAACGCGCGAGCACATCCGCAACCTCCACCAGATGATCCCGGGGGTGGTCCACATGCACATCGAAACCCTCGAGGCCGTCCACCGCGAGTCCAAACGTCTGCCTCCGATCCAGAAGCCCAAAATCCTCACCCCCAACATGCTGGCCGGCGAAGAGCTCATCATGGAGGGGCTGCGCGTGTACTTGCTCCCCGACGGAAGAGAGGAGAGCAGCCCTGGGTTACTAGGTGGTCCTCCGCTGCTCCCGGCAGAGGGCGCTATTTTCCTCACCAACTACCGCCTAATCTTCAAGGGTACACCGTGCGACTCCTTCGCCTGCGAGCAAGTCGTGGTGCGCTCCTTCCCCGTGACGTCCCTCACGAAGGAGAAAAAGGTGGCGGTGCAGTACTTGGCGCACCTAGACCAATGGCTGCAAGAAGGGTTACAGCTGCGATCGTGCACTTTCCAGTTGATGAAGTTGGCGTTCGACGAAGAGGTTACAGCGGAAAATGTGGAAACGTTGAGGAAGTTTATCCATAAGATAAGGCATCCGCCAGATGTGTTCCACCATTTCGCGTTCACGGGTCAGGTGGTGGTGAGTCAGACTCCGCTTCACAAGGGGAAGGAGAAAAACGCGACGCTACGGGGATTCGCGAAGAAGACGCTGCTGAAGACGGCGAGGAAAGCCGGGTTTAAGCAGAAGTCGTCGTCGAAGAGGCAGAAGTACGTTCTGCCGAACTCCACGATCTACAGCAGCAATAAGTACATGACGAGTCCGGGGAGGATGAGTTTGCCCAATGCGGATGAGTATAGTCACGATGATGATCTGTCTATTGATGATTTCGAGACGGGACCGTCGTCGGTGCCGCCGGCGCCGACGGACGCCAAGACGCTGGAGAGGCTGGTGGAGAGGAGCTACGTCAGGGATTGGCAGAGGTTGGGACTGTGCAATGATAATTCGTCGCCGACGAACGCGAAACCGGCGCCGGATCAGTTCAGGATAACCACGGTGAATTCGATGTATATGATGTGCAGAAGGTAAGCATCATTAATTATAATAGTGTAATAACCCAAATATTCCGGAAAAATCCGGGAGGTGTTCTGATGCAAAATGGTGAACCGCAAAGGTGGAAAAGTAACCTTGAATTAACGGCACAAAAATATGCCGGGATAATTTTATTAAGTTCTTTTCTCTTTTTTTTTGAGCTGTATTTTCCAGTTAAAATCTCGTTCTTTTCTAGTGCAATGTAACAATTTTCGATCACATAAGCACACCTTGTTCTTAAATGTACATAATGCTCTAGTTTGTAATTTTTTATCTGCGGGGGAATGGAAGGCAATGCCCAAATCATTATGGTGGCATGTTAGCAGATTTTTATTAAAACGATTTAACTGTCATGGAACTGTTTCTTTGCACCAACTACAGCTACGTACAACCAAGTCGCAGCAGGTATTAAATCCGCCCACCCACCCTGTCTCAATTGTTATGATTTTTTTATTGGTCGTGAGTCAAGGGGGCGGGGCTTACTCGGAAAATTCTTATTTCTCTACGAGTTATTATAAAAACATGTTTTTCAGTATCGTGTTGGTCACAGAATGCTATGTATATTAAGAAAAATATAAACCTCACCCATATCTGGTCTGATCTAAAAAGTAATGAAGTTTTCATTCGCTGACAGACCTAGGGGCGGAGCCTAATTGCAAAATCCACATTTACCATTTTGAACGTGTTTTAAGTTTCTAAGAATAAAAAAAAATCATCGCAATTGAGATGGGGTAGGTGGGCGGTGTTAATATTTTGCCTTTTTTTCTTAATACATATAAAATTCTTTGAACGACATGATACTCAAAAACATGTTGTTAATTTCTTGTAAAGAAATAAGTATTTTGCAGTTAAGCTCCGCCCTCTTGGTTTATTCCGAATAAAAAAATCATCACAATTGAGACAGGGTGGGTGGGCGGGGCTACATTTTGTCTTTCTTTTCTTAATATGTGTAGACTTATTTGGACAACAAGAAACTTAAAACATGTCTAAAATGGAAAATTTGTATAAGGAAATATCGATTTTGCAATTAGGTTCTGCTCCATAATTACAAAATCCATACTTCCTTGCAAATATGTGCCACTTTAACCATATTCAAAGTTTCTTGTTGCAAAAAGACGGCTATGTATATTAAGAAAAAAAAGGCACAATATAAGCCCCGCCCACCCGCCCTCTCAATTCTGATTGTTTTTTTATTCGTCGTAAGCCGAGGGACGGAGCTTAATTATAAAATCCTTATTTTTCCACGATAAATTACTATGTGAAATAGTTCTTAAGTAATCGTGTTATACAAAGAAAACTAAAAGAGAGCCCCACCGTCTCGATCTCAATCGTGATGAATTTTTCATTCGCTATCAGATCAAGGGGCGAAGCGTAATTGCAAATCGATAGTTCCCTATACAAATTTACCATTTTAAACATGTTTTAAGTTTCTTGTTGTGAAAAGATGACTATGTATAATAAGACAAAAAGGCAAAATATAAGCCCCGCCCACCCGCCCTATCTCAAGTGTGATGATTTTTTTTATCGTCGTGAACCGGAGCTTAAATGCAACCATGAATAGTCAATTGAATGAAAAGAGAAATTTGTCAATCTAGACTTGGGCCGAACTCGTCAACCGAATTCAATAAAGCAAAATTAATGAAACAAAAGTACATCGTGAATCGAATTCCCGAACACATAAATATATAAAACACATGTTAAATATGGTCAAAAACACAAAATATCGTTCCGAACGTACGTCGCTTTGAAAGGTGCGTCGGAGTTTAAACGTTCCAAAATTGGAGTCATAGAACACATAAAACATAACACAAAATTAGCATAAAATCCGATGCCCTTTCGAATCCACTACATTTATTTCGCTGATTATTTCCAAAGGGATTCGATCTTTAAAATTTAAATCTTCAATACTGCCCTATATTGCTACGTTTTTTTTTTTGCAGTTACCCTGCTCTCCTCGTCGTCCCTGCGATCGTCACCGACGAGAGCATCCGCCGCTTCTGCCGCTGCTACCGGCAGGGGCGGATCCCCACCACCACGTGGCGCCACCCCCGCACCAAAGCGCTCCTCCTCCGCGGGGCCGGGCACCACGGCAAGAGCGTGATGGGTATGCTGAAAAGCCACCCCACTCCGAACGCCTCCACCGAAACCACCTCCTCCTTCGAGCAGGAACGTTACCTCTCCGCGCTAGTCGCAGCCACGCCCATCTTCTCGCACCGCCACGGCTCCGCCTGGGGGATGTCCGACAGCTCTCTAAGCGTCAATTCGCTCTTTCTGGCCGCCGACGACCCGCTGGCCGGCGCCACCCTGACGCCAGAGGTGGCTCGACGCTCCAAACCGCTCAAGGCCATGGGAACGCTTGCGTAAATATGCAAACCCCGACTCGTGTTCGTTCTAGATCTTCATTTCAGGGTGTTTCCAAGGTCGTCGGGCGGCAAGGGCCCGAAGAACTTCGGGCGTTGGGGCTCGCTCAAGGACAGGCGACAGAGCTCGCAGGCGTCCTTGGCCAACGTGCAGCAGACAAGGGGCAACATCAGGCACTCGACGGACGCCGAGAGTGCCATATACGGGGTGCACACGCTGCAGAGGGCCGCGCTGTATGTTCTAGGGGAGAAGGCGCAGATGAAGGGGGTGAAGATGGATTCTGCGCCCAAGACTGATTTTATTCCGGTGGAGTACTACGACGTGCGGCACACGAAGGCGGCGTTCAAGAAGTTAATGAGGGCGTGCATACCGAGCTCGGCGAGCGACGCGCCGGAGCAGAGCTTCCACAGGTTGATCGAGAACTCGGAGTGGCTGCAGCAAATCCAGAACATCATGCAGTTGGCGGGCGCCGTCGTCGACCTCCTCGACTTGCAGGGTTCCTCGGTGTCCATTTGTCTGGAGGACGGGTGGGACACCTCCGCTCAGGTCTCGTCGGTGGCTCAACTTTGCCTGGATCCTTATTATCGCACGCTGGAAGGCTTTCGCGTCCTAGTCGAGAAGGAATGGATCGGGTTTGGCCACCGCTTCAGCCACCGCAGCAACCTGAACGCCAACTCGCAAGCGTCGGGCTTCGCCCCCACGTTCCTCCAGTTCCTCGACGTGGTCCACCAGATCCAGAAGCAGTTCCCGATGGCGTTCGAGTTCAGCGACTTCTACCTGAGGTTTCTCGCCTACCACTCCGTGTCCTGTCGGTTTCGCACGTTCCTGTTCGACTGCGAGCTCGAGAGGGTGGAGAGCGGGGTGGCCGCCGTGGAGGACAAGAGGGGGTCGCTGACTTCGCACCACAAGAGCGTGGACACGATCTCCGACGATGAGAATATCTATCCTGGAGGGAGAGTCGCGGGGACCACTTCGGGGACCAACTTAGGGCAGAGCGTGTTCGACTACGTGGAGAAGCAGCACGCGAGGACGCCGCTGTTCTTCAATTTTATGTACACGCCGGATTTCGAACACCCGGTATGTAGCGACTTTTTTGTGTTGTAGCGCTAGAAATTAAGGATAGTATGCGCGCGCACGCCTCACTAATACCACTTGTTGTATCGTCGATAGTTGCTGCCATTTGTGTGCTTTGCTTCAGGTATTGCGACCACAGTCTCATCTTCCGTGTTTAGAAGTGTGGCAGTATTACATTGACGAGAATCTCCACCACGGGCCGGAGTACGACCTTGAGATTATACAATTGGATACTCAGCAGGAAGAAGAGGCGGAAGCTGCAGACGGCATCTCGAATAAGTCGTCGCGAAAAATAATTACTTTAGGGTGGGTAGAGCACACGACGTGGGGTTCACTTTTGGTTATTTTGTGACTTTAGGTACGACTGTGTGAATAAATGTGTCCCGGACGCTTTTAGCCACCTGTTGGAAGAAATCCACAGGCTGGAGACGGAACTGGGACACTTACCTCAGAAGTGGAAGGTCCTGTGGGATAAACTGGAGCTTCCGACAACCGATTCACTCACTGTATGTTTTGAAGTACCAAAAACGTCAAGTATTTTGTCGTTTTGTTTTCCAGAGACACGCGTCGTTTAGTACGGCTCTAGTCCGATCCCACGGCCGGTTAGTCCATAAAAGATCCACCCTAGAGATTCTAATGAGAGGGAAAATGGTGGGGGCCGCCGAAACTTCGTTGGTGTATTCACACCCCCACCGCTTCGAGAAGTACAACTACACGACGCCCACTTATTGTGATTATTGCACGAGCTTACTATGGGGACCAGTGAAAGTACGTATAGTTTCACAAAATGAACAACCTCCTAAAATGAAAAACACTGGTTTTTCCCAAGTGATTTTTGACTTCTCAATGGTAATTAAAGTGAGTCGATTCTTTTGTTTCTAGACGGGGATGCGTTGTATGGACTGCGGGTACAGTTGCCATGAGAAGTGTATAGAGGGCGTACCTAAAAACTGCACAAAATACAAGGCCATCGCCGATAGCAGCGCTTCACAGACCATTTCCGGTACAGGCGGTGATAACGGATCGGTCAGTTCCGGGAGCGCTCGGCAAACGTCTAGTCAACAATACTACGACCAGTTTTCTTCGAATGTGGCGGAGAATCGCACTCATGAAGGGTATTTGTATAAACGGGGGGCTCTGCTCAAGGGTTGGAAACAGAGGTGGTTCGTTTTGGACTCGATTAAGCATCAGCTGAGGTACTACGACGCGATGGAAGATTCGCATTATAAGGGATATATAGGTAAGTAATTTAACCAAGGGTCATTTTCGCTTAAAACTAGATACGTTACTAAATTTTAGATTTGGCGGAAGTGATTACGGTTTCGTCGGCGACCCCAGCGCCAGGTCCGCCCAAGAAGACCGACGATAAGGCGTTCTTTGACGTAAGTGTGGTTGTATTCGTGCGATTTTAGGTTGACTGGTTTTTGCAGCTGCGCACTAGTCGCCGGACGTACAACTTCTGCGCCGCCGACGCCGCGTCAGCACAAGAATGGATCGAGAAGCTGCAAGCTTGTCTTCAGTAATACTCTTACCCAAAGTTACTTTAGTCACGAATCCCTAAATAGGTTGACAATAAATGTTCATTTTTAGTCATTTTATTATTTATATTTTTATAAAGCAAATGTTTATTATTTAACGCACAAAGGTATTTTTAGTTGCTGAGATTTTATAAGTGTACTTTGTAGGTAAATACATTGTGGCTCAAATAGTTAAGTCGGGTCTCGAATGACTTTCTTTCGACATTGATATTCCGTGTTGTGACACTGCGCAGGTCTTACTTTCGATTCGCTCGGGCTCTCTAATATCACGCAAGCATATCAATGTTTTTCTTTTCGAGAAATGTTTGTTGCGTTATTGTTACATATCATTTATTCATGTGTGTACTACATTCCGTGTTATTAACTCGGACATTTGAGAATACGTCCCGTGGGAGTGTTCTTCGATGTCGCTAAATCGCTGTTATATTTGTGATATATTGTTAATTGTTTAGGTTTACTTACGTTAACATGTCTCAAAGTATATTTCCTTAGCTTTTACGCAATGTGAATAACTGCCAAAGTTAATAAATCAACATTTTAAAAAAGTTTATTGTTTCAAACGGGTTGAGCTTGAACTTTTATCAACAACTGGTTATTATCAGTGTAACCTTGACTGAACAATTCCTCGATTAAGGCAAACTCGGTGTAACCGAAACCTTTGGGGTTCATCTCCTGGACGGGCCGTCTAAAGGCTTCTAGCTCAGGGCGTGTCATCATCGTCTCCTTGATATTGCGAAAAGTCTGACTGAAATTTTAATCAACAAGACGCACAAACAAGAGAACAGAACTTACGTCGGATGGATCAAAGTTATGGTCAATCTACCACTAAAAGGCCAGTCCAAGGCATGGTCATGTTCGGTTTTCATTACGTGAATTAAAATTGCCACGTAGTTTGGGTCTTTGGGGGAGAGATTCAGGCGGATACATAGCCTAAAAACAAACAATTATAATTTTCTATTTGAAACAAGAAAACAAAACACCACCTGTATCCATTTGCAGATGTGTAAAACCCCGGGCTATAATGCATAATGCGAGAATCATTCCTCATTGAGTTAATTTTGTTCTTAAACTCATTAAAATACCACAGATAGCATCCATTACAATAACGTAAATGCATCTTTGTCATAGACAAATTAAGAGACGAGATTTGTTCAGACATATTCGCAATAATAATATCTTGTTCACGAGTTTTTTGTTCCAATAAAACAACCTTCTCATACAGCGCCCTAGAAACAAACCATCATTTTTCAAATAAGTTTCAAAATTCAACATACTTTAGCAACCCATTTAGGTTATCATTACTGGGTACAGCCACCTCGTTTTTGGACGGGGGATCCCAGAAATTTGCTTCTTGTGCGATAGCAGACGTGCTAGCCCCACTCTGACTACTAATAGTAAACCTTGAGTACGCTCGTGACAACAGCTGCAATTTCACCATCATCACATGCAACAGAAACAAACATTTTTATTCACCATGAGATGCTTCTGGATCTGCTGGTCCACGTGTCTCTGCAATTCTGGTTCATCCTCAAACTTCTCCTCACACCCGAACTCCACAAAAGTGCACCTCAATTTCTCATTCTCAGGCAACTCAGGTGGTCTGTATTTACAAACAACCAGATGAGTTTCCACGTCGAGAGGCGACAGCTCCTCCAAGCAACCCTTCGCGATATTCGGGCACTTCGTTTTTTGCTGAGAAATCTCCCTCCGAGTGAAATTATCAGGGAAAATATCTACCCCCTTTTGCAGCTTTGTGTTATCTATGGGGCACGACGGATTTTCTTTCCTGGAATGAATTTATCACACTTCTTGCAATAAGTAAAGTAGTGACTTACTCCAACCACAGTTCCATGCAACTGCGGCAAAACCTGTGCCCGCAGGTTGTCAAAACGGGGTCCCGCAACCATGCCAAACAAATCGGGCACTCGAATCGAGACTCCGGCCCTGAAAAATTGTCTGTAATTGAGCTTTCTTGAGCCAGCGTGTTATGACCGGACATTGTTAACAAGGGAGAGTTCTTTGGCACTTAATTAATTAACATTTCAGGTAAGTAATTGAATTTCAGGTTGACAGGTGGTGTGGAACGTCACGTGACCAGGTACACCCACTTACCTGTCATTGCTGGCGCGGGTTGTGGGAAAATAAAAGTGATTTTGCATAATAAGTGGCTTAAAGGATTTTGGGTTACGATTACTTGAGTCTGCTCAAGCAAATTCCGGTTTTTACTGGTTTTTGGCACACACTCAAGGTTGTGGGGTTATGTCATCTGTCATTAATGTCGCAGGTGTCATCAAGTTTTTACACAGGGCCGTACTCGACAATTTCCGTCGATAGTGCTCGATTTTTTTTATTTTTTAAGTGTGCGTAGAAACTGCGGATGTGGTCATTGTACTATTTTTTTTTTAAGAAGAAATGTGTAATAAATATTTGACATTAATATGTTATACATATGTTCATTTTGATGCCAAAAATTTTCTTGGGTGTTTTGATTTTTCATTTTAAATACAAATGTTAATACCAACCGAAAACAAATTAAATACCCGCAATATTTTTTTTTTAATTTAATATAGTTTAATATTTTTTATGCTTTAAACAAATTTAAATACATGTGGCCCACAAAATCTTACTTTTAGGAAATGCGTTCGTAGAATGTTTTCACTTCAGTTTCAATTACGTGTATAATTGTTTGCATATACTATACACTATCTGGTATTGCAATTCAACGTCAAAATCATAGTGTTAATTTTTAAGGTTTTTAAAGCGAATTTATTTCACATATTTCTAAGTGTAAAGAAATAAATACTCAAAATTTTGTTTATTTTTCTTTGCTCTAATTCATGTGTAAAGTTATTTCCCAACCACTTTTGCTGACCATAACTCAATTATCCTTGTTCATTTATTTTCATGTTTTATTTAGATATTTTCACTAATGAAACTTTATAGTACATTGTTCATATTCACTTCGTTAGTAAGCATCGCATTCCCTGATTACATGCAAGGTATGTACCTTATTTTAAAATGTCACGTTAATTATGCTTGATCAACAAATGAAATTGGCTTGTAGGTGTTTAAAAGAAACGAAACTCATAACAGTCTTATCGGCTCGTCCCGCATAACATAAATGTTTATAGATTATTCCTATGTTCATTTATAGGAGAACAAATTTTAATATGAAGTATTATAAGCACGAGTTAGTGTTTTACGCACAAAATTTATGAATCATGTTACACTACTTAATTATTACCTATTCTGAGTGTCACTTGTTGGCGGGTACGTTCTTGGCTGATTTTTTTTTCAGAAAATTTTGGAGGAAGTTTGAAACATGTTCGATGCTTGATTTGAAGATAAAAAACCTGTATTACTATTTACTATTAACTAATACGAAGTTTTGTATTGTCAATGATGGTCGAACTTATGTTTAAGTAACTGTTTTTGAAACAGATCTTACGAATTACTTATTTTTTTTTTTATATTTTATACACTGTATTTTTTATCGACTAAAAATGAAATAAACACTGAAGTGTTTTATATCATTGTATTCATAATTTCACTAACCATCTATCAAAATCCGTTAAAACATACAGGTTAACGTCGCGACGCTACATAAGCATTGTACTAAATTAAGCTGCCCCTTTCAAGCTAAAAACAGCGACGTTCACACAATATCTGGAACATCCTATATTTAAAACACAACCAGTTTTTGTGGTTGCTCGTAAAAAAAAATGTATTTTAGGAATTGACATGTTGCAATATACATTTCTGAGATAAAACGGCAATAAAAATATATTTGCGCACAATGCAAAATTATAATTTATTAATCATCACATATAAAGAACACACTGCTTGAAATTTAACATTACGTGGGATGGGCTCTTGTTTTTTTTTTTCAATAAGATGTACTTATAATTATTGCCGGAATGCGTAGATGGCCGCATTACAATGAATGTTCCATCAGTGTGAACAGTTTAATTTCATAAAATAACAACAACGAAGACCGAAGCTTTTACAGAAATATGTTATTCGAAAAAAAATGTTTACTGACTTTGTTTACTGTTTGTGTGTTTCTCCAAATTGCGGCTAAACTACAAAGTAAGTTTTTTTATCAATAATCATTAATGAACTAGAACCTTTGACTTACAGCACTTTAGCTTGTCTCGTCAGATTTGGTCTTTACATTGTGTCAATTCTCTATAATATTTAATTGTGTAGTTCCTGTGCGAAGTGATCATTGATTTTTATCAACTAAATGCAGAAGATAAATAATCTATGTCCAAGTTAGTCCAAGTTTTCAAAATAGTCTCTTTAAGTTCATTAACTATAGAATACTGATTCCCGCTTTTATACACTTCGCGAACGATATTGCCCCATACGTTTTCAATAGGATTAAGATCAGGACTTTTCGCAAGCCATAGTAACAATTTTATATTTTCATTGGTAAACAATTTGGAGGACTTAGAACTATGAATGAGTGATATCTAGAAGTGATATCATAAATCTGATAAATGTTTTAATTAAATTTAGTTTTAATACAGTTTTTTGAAACCTAGATAACGGAAAAACATCCATCCTTCACTGCTTCTAGCAATATCAAGAACTTTAAGTCGTACTCTTTAAGTTAAAGCAACCTTCTTGCATTTAGTCTAAGGAGGAAACTAACTCTAACCATATCTTGTAGATCTTGTTAAACGACAGCGTCAGCTTACTCTAAAGAACCGCGATTTCAGCACATATCAAACTCGAATTGTTGGTGGTGAAGATATTAACATCTTAGATGTCCCTTACCAAGTGTCAATTCTGGATTCGGGTTCCCATTTTTGCGGAGGCTCGGTGGTTACAGCTAGACATATTGTTACTGCGGCGCATTGTATGGAGACAAGAAATGTTTCTACCTTGAGTATTCGTGCCGGTTCCACCTTCTGGGACGAGGGTGGTGTGAATATCAAAGTACAAAAAGCTTTTACCCATCCTGAATACGACGAACGTTCTGTTGACTACGACGTTGCTGTTTTGAGGCTAGAAAGTTTCCTTCCTTTCAATGAGTTCATTCAGCCTGTTGATTTGGCCTTGGAGATCGACAAATGGCCTGTGAATACTTCGGCCATAACCAGTGGCTGGGGTTTATTGGACGAACAGCATGAAGAAGATATGAGCCCCAAGAGCCTCAAAGCAGTGGTCTTGCATGTCATAGACATGGCCCTCTGTGAACGTGTATACGGTTCGCTAATGATCCAAGTTAGTGCAAATATGTTGTGTGTTGGGACACTGGATGGGTCGAAAGATGCCTGCAAAGGAGACTCGGGAGGACCGCTTGTGATCGACGGAGTCCTGGCAGGAGTTATATCTTTTGGTTTTGGGTGTGCAAGACCTGGGCTACCGGGGATTTATACACTCGTACCAACAGTCGCGGATTTTATTGAAGATATCATTTTCGACATTGATTGAAATTTATCATACACATTTAGTACCCGCTTTGGATGCCGACAATGACGTAAACAAACAGTCATTCTTAAATGTCAGTGCAATATAAAGCTTTTTTTTGTTTAGGTTTAACACTGTTGTTTCATTGAACTTTACTTGGAGTTACTGATGGGTTTTACTAAACTAGATAATAAATTATCGTCTAGGTAATTATATATTACCTGGACTATACAGCTAGACTAACCTTGAACTGGATTTTCTTTTTATGTATGTAGTGTAAAAGTAAATACATTCGAATTTAACCACCATGTTTCTTTTAGTTCCTTCATTTTAATATTATACAGGCAGAAAGGGATATTCATTCATCAATTTTGTTAAACACCATGTATAAACAAGTCCATAAATAAAACTATATACACTTATTGAATACATTTTCTTATTTTCTTCTATCAATAAATTGTATCGTTGTTTTGTGTCCATTTCAAAAAAGAAAAATTGTGATAATTTTTAAAATACGTATAAAAGTTCACAACAATCAGTCGAATAGTTTCGGAGATTATCTGCCAAATTAATTAAGTCACCATGAAGCAACAAGTGGAAACGGGGGCCTACTTTTACTGATGTGGCTTAAGTTTTTTCAAACTTCACAGCTATAGAATGTCAGTCTTTCTTTTCCTCCAACAGTAAATTCCAAGTAGCAATAAATATCCGAGCAATAAGCTTTTGCAATCTTGTGTCATTAAACCAAGTGGATTATTTCTTATTGCCGACTATAATGTCTTTTAAATTTACCGTATCTTATTAACAAGTGGTTAGCAATAAAGTCATCTATAATTTATTACATGTTGACCTATTGCGACATAATTAATGTTACACCTTCAATCCATAGAGTAGGTGTTCTTTTTAAACAAGTTTTGTTTAAAGGTTAACGTGCATCGATTTGAAGTACACCCAAAATACTTAATTAAAATGGCGGTTCCAGTGTAATGCGACATAATTAAAAATTTATGGGTTTTTCTTACGATTTTGACGTATATTTACGAAAATTAAAGATGGGGCAATCGTCGTCAGCAAATTTGCAAAACGAATCAATTTAATCTTTTAACAATAAGATATAAAACCTAGGATTTATATATGTTATTACTTATACCGACATTGCATTGTTATTATTTTACGTTTGATTACACCATGTTATGTTTTAGGCTTTTTTAAATTTCAGTTTTACAAACACAAGGCCAAGACTAAAAACATATTTTTGTAAATGATTTCACATAGACAAATATACGTCAATTTCTAACAAACATCTTTAAACTAGGCACAAATATATATTTTCTACTTATAGTTTTTCATACAATGTTGATTCTTTTTTCTACAATTTGTCTAACTTAACTAATCAAAATTTAACACTGTAGATAAGCACTTTTGTTCAGTACTAGTTTTAAAAATTATATATACCTAGTGTTTGATGCTTCTCTTTAATTATTACCTTAAGAATTCACCTTGGCTATAAAAATAGTTTTCGCTCCCTTGGTATATAATTATTACGTATGATTTTATAATCTCAAAGAAATTTTTTATAATCAAATTTAGCAACTTATTTAAGATTATATCAGACCTAAAATATTGGTAAGGATACAAAAATTACCTCATTAGTGAAGTTATGTTCATCATTCGCCTGATTATTTGCTTCTTCTTCATATCAGTAGTAAGTACTCAGAGGTCTACTTCTCCATGTCAATATTGAAAAATAGTGTAACACATATCAAAACCTTTTGCTTCTCAAAGTGTATTTGATAAAATTGCGAAAAATTTACGTGGTCTAAACCTAGTGGGTTTCATATTAATCACCATAAATTGTTTATAACACTATAACTGAACGGTGTTTGATTACTACTTTCTAGTTCAACACCAGTGATGTTTGATATCACTTTTGCTCTAAGCGTATATGTAAACATATAGTTTTTCTATTAATTTGACACAAAATGATTGCAATTTTTTTGCGTGTGATTACTCTATACTTCTTATGTGGGAGTGTAATAGGCCAGACAGGTGAGTTGCAATATTCCTAGCAAGCAATATTCTATAGTCATTTGAATTCACATGAGTAAACCACGTTCACTTGGAACAGAGCACCAAATTAAACTAGATCTATCCTTTTAGAATCATTTATAAAGCGCATTGGAGATGTAATTTGTCCCGCTAGTCAAGCTAATAAAGGCGCAGAAGACGATAACTACAAATATCGAATCGTTGGTGGTGAAGAAATCCCCATCGTCTATGCTCCTTACCAAGTATCACTTCGAGATAACAATTATCATTTTTGCGGGGGTACCATTATCAATCACAACACCATCGTCACTGCTGCCCATTGTATCGTAGCCGCAAAGGGAGACCTTAGCATTCGTGCTGGATCTAATAAACTTAAAACCGGAGGTATTGTGGTCCCAGTTTTGTGGACAATACATCATCCATTATACAATCCCAACAACTATGACTACGATGTAGCAGTTTTGAAGTTGAGAGGCAACCTTACTTATAGTAGAACTATACAACCCATTCGTCTGGCCAAACACACAACAAAATGGGCTGTAAATACGGCCGCAAAAGCAAGCGGATGGGGAGTGCAACATGAAGACCATCCTTATAGCAAGATGTCTCCTGTATTGCAGGTCGTAGTTCTCTTTATTCTGGACATAAGGGTGTGTCAGAGTGTGTATGGAAGCCAGATGATAACTAGTCGTATGTTGTGCGTTGGTAGAAATGGGAAAGATTCGTGCAAAGGGGATTCTGGAGGACCTTTAGTGATTAATGAAGTTCTTGCTGGAATAATTTCTTTTGGAGCTGGATGTGCTAGACATGGAGTGCCAGGAGTTTATACCAATATTGCAGCAGTTAGAGATTTTATAGAGAAAGCGGCAAAGGCGAATGTGTACTTTACATAAGAGCTAAAACAGCATTTTAGATTTAGATTGCATTAAACGAACTGCTTGATATTTATATTTATACTTCACATTTCTTTTGTGGTTCACTTAAGACACAAAGTCGCATTTCCTTCAAAATATATTTTCTTCCAACTATGTAGTACAAACGTATTTTTATAAACTTTTCGCTAATTCTTATTTATAAACAACCATTCTCTGTCGTGACAACCAAAAGGCAATGAACATTTTCTTTGTTCAAGTCTTGGCCCACACTCCTTGCCACCATTACTAGGAGGAACTACCACAGTTCGTGTTCTAATCTGAACTGCCGAAGTTCCACAATTACTACTACAGGGTGACCAGCCTGACCACTCGCTCAGTTGGCAGTCAACTTCTGATGAAGTTGAAGTTGACACTTTGTGTTTTTTTGAACAAGAAACTTTACAGCGTTTTTCTTTTCGAAGTCTTTTGGGACAAGCGGTTCCACCATTAAGAGGATGAGTTATTATGTGGCGTTCTTTATACTGATACCCTCTGGTGCACGGTTCGGTGGCACTGCAAGGTCCCCAGTCTGACCACAGACTAACTTCACAATCAACAACTGGGTTATACGATGGACCCTCACTTATAACTTGACTGTCCGTAAGTAACGTAGAACGACCCGTACTTGCCGTGTCTTCCTCACAGGCAGGCATCTCACACTCAACTGTTTCTTCGCAAGGGCTAGTTTCTTCAGTTTGTTCATTATTGTTCTCTTCAGAAGAAACTTCGCTCCTGGATTTGAAGCCTCTGCCACAAGTTATATTACAAGGAGTCCACTCAGACCAAGTAACATTTGCACACCTCTAAAACAAAGTTTCAGTCTGTGAATTACTAACTGTCCTTGCGTACCGTAAGTTCGCATTCTGATTCTTCTTCGCAATTGATTGTGTCTTGAAGCAATAAAGGACCCTCTTTAGTACATTCTTCTTCATTTTCGGGTTTGAGTAGCTGACGGTCTCGAGTTTTTACCGAATTACCACATGTGCCACTGCAAGTTGAATATTCAGTCCACTCACTCAACTGACAGGGATCATCTTCTGGTTCAGGCTCTGAAGTCATATTACTGCAAACCTTCTCGTAAAGTTTCTGGCGGGTGATACGAAGTTCGGCAATTGGTTTGATAGGGTCGCCATTACTGTTATAAAAAGGATATTTTTCAAGATCTGAAGTGATTAGCTTTACAGCATCGGGGGGCGATGTTGGTGAATCTGCGGACTATAAAAACATGATAGAAACATCAAATGGTTGTTTTATTTTCTTACTTCGTAAGAAACGCCGTCGTCGGTACCAATGTCCCATGGATAGAGGTTGAGGGTACGTGATTCTATCCAGTCACATTCAGCAGTACATAATTCTAAATTAGCTACACCTACAATCCAGTCTGGTGATGGGGTAATTTTAGACACTAGAGAAATTAAATGATGCTCTTGATCAACTCTGAACACTGTGTAGGACGTTCCGGTAATATTGGGAAAAGGCAGTTCTCTGGCTTTGATAATAGTACGAATATCGTCATTCTAGAATGTAATAGCAGTCACCAAAAAGAATCTAACACTGGACATCTTACTTTAACACGTTCTTTAAGCTCGTCTTCTAGAAGAGAAGTTTCGCCGTCTTCTGCTAGAAGTTTTAATCCGTCACTAGCAGTAGTACTATAATTCCAAAACGAAGAGGAAATTTTATGAGAAGCTCCAATTACTTCCCCCAACTTGGTTGCCCACATGTTAATGGGATAATCTGTAGGATGCGTATTTCTCGTCCATAACCCTCGAAAAGCCACCTAATCCAGTGTTAAATCACCGTAGCACCTTCCAAAAGACTTGGTACTTACTTCATACTTAGCTTCGTTGCAAGTGCAACATTGTTCGAGAACATCGGGTTGCACATCTCTGTTTTCCTCTTCTTCGCACAGTAGCTTAGTCAATCCACCGTCATCAGCGAACCAGCTATCCCCGGATTCGAACACTGTGGCTTTAATATATATACACCCATTTCCAGAGGGTGGAGCCGTCCATAAAACCTGAAATTTTTTTCAAAAATTTGCAAACCAATCTTGATATTTTTGTTCTTACCTCTACTCCCGATTTTGCTAGGGTATTTGTTTGTATAACTGCGCTCGGACATTTCGGAGTAAACTTTACAATGGAGTGATCAACTGGTTTTAGTTCGCCCGTTAAGATATCTTGAAGGGCTTCTGACGGGCTTTGTGGTTCCACCACCAGCATAAACTCAGTGAAATAATTTGTGATAGGGTTTTGTGGGTGTGATTTTAGCACAACTGGAATCGAATTAGTAGGGTTTAAATAACGATGAAGTGGTACTTACTGGTGTAGATTTGTCCAGGTGAGTACGTCGAGGGATTTCCTACAACTTCAATCACATATCTACCGTTATTCGTTTTTGGAATTTTTTCGCCCTTTTTGGGGGTGCGGTCACAAACGTACCCAAGTGAAATGTGTGCGAGAACGAGTAATATTAGGATGATGAAACTATTACGTTTCATTGTATCTCTAGAAGAAGATCGTTAGTTTATCGGTTTATGATAAATAACGCGTCGGACTTATAAAAGAATTTTAATGTCACATGACTTGGAGAGGAGCCAGATGGGATATAATGAGGCATTATTATAATAAGGAAACTTTATAATCTGCGCCTATGTATTTTGTAAATGAGATAAGGTTTTACGAGAAAGATCTGCGACAAATATTCGAGAGTGAAAATAAATATCTTGATCAGTTAACCTTGTCCTCGTAATAATATCAGTACGTTTAATGTAAATCGGGTTTAAAATACTATTTTTATTCAGTTTTCGGCCATATAGGGGTTCTTTTTAACGAAATAAATACACTTTTGTTTTATTTTTATTAATGTTTTAGTGTTTACTTTTTAAACATTATGTTAGCTTCAGTTTAACATCTAAATTAATCATTATTAGAACTTACCTTGTACAATTAATAAACATACATTTGATTTCACTCTTAAGTAATTACTAGACAAGTGTTATTAGATTAAAAAGCGTGCGCAGTTGCAAAAAGTTTCTTCAGTTTATCTCATTCTTGTAAATATTTGTGGCAATACTTTCCCAGTAAATATGAATTACGCACTAAACCTAGAACGCAAAAAGTCAAATTATTAGTTATACTTATTCTCGAGCTTGCCTTCAGCATGTTTTGAAACAACTGGATAAGATAATAACTTTGTCGAAATTAAAAGAAAATAAAAATACTTTTCTAGACTTTTCCACATCAACAACAATGCATTCTTGGATTTAAAATATAATAATTAAAAAGCACCTTTTAAAATATTTCGGTTTGTTAGAACAGGTTTACAGCTGGTGAAATTTAGCTTCGTGGTCAAAATATTAGAATTTCCAATTTTTTAATTTTCTTTTAAAAAAATAACGGTGTAGCTGCTGCCTTCCTAACTTTTCTTCACCTGAAGAAAATGTGTGTCTGTACAGTTTTATTTTTAGTTTTATGTTCCATAGAATGCGGCAGTGTGCCGAATTTTTTTTAGGTACTCAATAACACGTAAATTGAAGAATTGTTATCGAAATTAGTTTACAACTGCCGGATATTATAGGTCGTAATGTGTATAAAATATAATTTCTTATCTCGTTTGGTACATAATTGGTTTTCAGTTTTTGTAGTTTACAAATTTTTGGGCTCCCACGCGGTTATTTGTAAACACGATCATATATGCTGTGTACCTGTATCAAATTTCGTTGCAACAAGTAAAACCGTAATCATACACACCCACACACACAAACACACAATTTAGTAAATGTAAGCAGCAAACTTCAAAGAGTGAAAAATCTGTCCGCCCAATTTTAATAACTTTGCAAAACTGAGGAATTAAAGTAAATATTCGTCGTATATTTTCCAGAGTTTTTTTTAACATCAAAGTTTTATTTCAATGTTTCGTTGGCCCGGCTACTATATGAAAAAAGTTTTATCAACCAACTCGCGTTAGGAGCAGAAATCCTGTGAAGGCAGAGAATTTTTAAATTAATTTTCGAGTAACCTTAAATTAATATCGCCGACCTCTCAGATGCCTACAATCTATATCTTGTCAGTTTAGTGATATTGATCGAAATTCTTTGTTAACGGAGGAGAACAAGTATGCGCTTACTATAGGAAAAAAGACGTGTATATATTTAAATTTTATGAAACGAACATTAAATTCCAAACATTCATATATGGATAGAAATATCACAGATAATTACATTTATGATCGCAAACTAAAGATGATTAAGAATTTCGCCTCATTTCTATAACTTGATATTCTTCGGGAAGCATTTCTGCTCAAAAAGTAGGGTAGTTCATGTTTCAAATCTACGTTCCACCATACCAAAAGGTGACCAGCCTGACCACGGACTCAGTTCACAGTCAATTTCTATTGGTGCTTTTGTGTTTCTCTTTTCAAAGTCTTTTAGGGAAGTTGGTGGTGAAAACATCACCATTTTTACTGCTCCTTATGGAATGAATCTGCTGAATGGGGAGTGCAACATGAAGACCCTGATTATGACAAGATATCTCCTATATTGTAGGGCCTAATTCTTTTTATTGTGGACATAAGGGTGTGTCAGAGTGTCTATGAATCCCAGATGATAACTAGTCGTATGTTGTGCGTTGGTAGAAATGGGAAAAATTCGTGCAAAGGAGATTCTGGGGAACCCTTAATGATAGATGGAGTTCTTGCTGGAATAGCTTCTTTTGGAGCTGGATGTGCTAGACGTGGAGTGCCAGGAGTTTATACCAGTATTGCAGCAGTTAGAGATTTTATAGAGAGAGCGCCAAGGGCGAATTGTACTTTACATAAGAGCTAAAACAGCATTTTAGATTTAGGTTGCATTAAACGAACTGCTTGATATTTATATTTATACTTCACATTTCTTTTGTGATTCACTTAAGACACAAAGTCGCATTTCCTTTAAAATATATTTTCTTCCAACTATGTAGTACAAACGTATTTTTACAAACTTTTCGCTAATTCTTATTTATAAACAACCATTCTCTGTCGTGACAACCAAAAGGCAATGAACATTTTCTTTGTTCAAGTCTTGGCCCACACTCCTTGCCACCATTACTAGGAGGAACTACCACAGTTCATGTTCTAATCTCAACTGCCGAAGTTCCACAATTACTACTACAAGGTGACCAGCCTGACCACGCGCTCAATTGGCAGTCAACTTCTGATGAAGTTGAAGTTGACGCTTTGTGTTTTTTTGAACAAGAAACTTTACAGCGTTTTTCTTTTCGAAGTCTTTTGGGACAAGCGGTTCCACCATTAAGAGGATGAGTTATTATGTAGCGTTCTTTACACTGATACCCTCTGGTGCACGGTTCGGTGGCACTGCATGGTCCCCAGTCTGACCACAGACTAACTTCACAATCAACAACTGGGTTATACGATGGACCCTCACTTATAACTTGACTGTCCGTAAGTAACCTAGAACGACCCGTACTTGCCGTGTCTTCCTCACAGGCAGGCATCTCACACTCAACTGTTTCTTCGCACGGGCTAGTTTCTTCAGTTTGTTCATTATTGTCCTCTTCAGAAGAAAGTTCGCTCCTGGATTTGAAGCGTTTGCCACAAGTTATATTACAAGCAGTCCACTCAGACCAAGTAACATTTGCACACCTCTAAAACAAAGTTTCAGTTTGTGTATGAATAACTGTCCTTGCGTAAGTTATATATAGTGGGGCTCCTAGCTCAATAAATCTGATGACCTGACTTGATCTGACCTTTTTTTTCCATGAAAGAGGAAACCTTCATGGGCACCAGGGACTTAGGTTCGATCATGGTAATGTCTGGATTACCGGCTAAAACATCCCCCCCCCCACCCGAACCGCGTTAGCATTCCATGTAATTCCATGTAATCTTCTTTTGGTTTTTTGATTCTTTGATTTTTCCTAACTTTTGTGATTAGCAGTCGTTGCTTGTCTACTTCTTTCTTCTTCGGTTTTTTTATTCCTAACTTTTCAGATTTGTTTCATCTTTTTTCCCTCTTTTTTTCTTTTTAATCTGTATTTCTTTCGTGCTTATGCTTGTCCTTATTAATTAAATGTGGATACTTCTGTATGCGGTATCCATCAATCCACGCCTCCGCCCCATATAACAAAATCCCATGGACGACACTAAATAACACTTTCTTTTTACTCGCCCTGGGTCCTCCTACATTGGGTAGCACTCTGCCCAGGGCACGACCTGACATGACCCCCAGTTCGCAACATTTAAGTGTAGTCAGGTTGTCCGAGCGGTCTAAGGCGTTAGTTTAAGCTCTGATTCTCGAAAGGGAGCGTGAATTCGAATCCCACACTTGACAGTTTCATTTTCATGTTATGCTATTTATTGAGGAAACACAGAATAAGCCATTTGTAATTTTTTTTAACATTATTTAATGAACCGGAACATTTTTTATTATTAGATTATATGATTATCACAGGCTGGGATTTCTTTGGTCAATTTCAGACAATCTTGTACGGCCGTAAGTTCGCATTCCGATTCTGCTTAGCAGTTGATTGTTTCTTGGAGTAATAAAGAACCCTCTTTAGTACATTTTTCTTTATTTTCGTCTTTGAGAAGCTGACGGTCTCGAATTTTTACCGAATTACCACTTCTGCAACTGCATCTGACCTGACCTGACCTGACCTGACCCCTTGTTCGGATTCGGGTAGTGTCGTGTAGAGCGGTCATTGACCTTTTAAACGTTTCTCCTCGGTCGACATGACCCCGAGCGTTAGATCTAAGCTCTCATTCTCGAACACATTTTAATGTTATATTATTTATTCAAGAAATATAGAAAACAGCCATTTGTAAATATTTTTAACATTATTTGATGAACAGCAACATTTTTAATTATTAGATCATTTCACACATGGCGAAGCTTAACTGCAAAATCTTTATTTCTCAAGAGAAAATTAAAGACAGATTTTTCAGTATCGCATTGTCTATATTAAGAAAAAATAAAGCTAAAGATTAGGCCCCACCCATACCCGCCCCGATCTCAGTTCTCAGTTGTGATGAAATTTTCATTCGTTGTCAGATCGAGGGGCGGGACTTAATTGCAAGATCCACATTTGTCTACAAATCTAAAATATTTTAAGTTTCTTGTTCTGAAAAGACGACTACATATATTAAGAAAAAGGGCAAAATATAAGCCCCGCCCACCCGCCCTATCTCAATTGTGATGAATTTTTTTAATCGTCGAGAGCCAAAGAGCGAAATTTAATTGCAAAATCCTTTTTATTTCTCTACAAGAAATTACCGTGTTAAACATGTTTTTAAGTATCGTGTTATTAAGAAAAAGTTAAACTCAAAGATTAAGTCCCACCCATATCTGCCCTGATCTAAATATCTAACATGAAGTTTTCATTTGTTGGCAGACCTAGGGGTGGAGCCTAATTGCAAAATCCATATTTTCTTACAAAAGTTTACCATTTTGAACGTATTTTAAATTTCTAAGAATAAAAAAAAAATCAGAATTGAGATGGGGTGGGTGGGCGGGGTTTAATATTTTGTCTTGTTTCCTTAATATACATAGTACTTTTTGAGCAACACGTTACTCAAAAACATGTTTTTAATTTTGTCTAAAGAAATAAGTAGTTTGCAGTTAAGCTTCGCCCCCTTGGTTCACGGTGAATAAAAAAAACACCACAATGGAGATAGGGTGGGTGGGCGGGCTTACATTTTCTTCTTTTCACAACGTGAAACTTAAAATATGTTTAAAATGGAAAATTTGAATAAAGAAATATGCTCCGCCCATAATTGCTAAATCCATATTTCCTTTCACAAATGTACCAATTTAACCATGTTCTAAGTTTCTTGTTGTGAAAATATAAGCCCCGCCCACCCGCCCTACCTCAATTGTAATGATTTTTTCGATTCGTCGTAAAGCGAGGGGCGGAGTTTAATTGTAAAATCCTTATTTTTTTACGAGAAAATATATACTATGTGAAATATGTACTTAAGTGTTATACAAAGAAAACTAAATTATTAATTAAAAAAAAAACGCTATAGGGTGCAGAAAATTGTCATTTATAAACTGCCGTCGATAGTAACTTTGACGTTCAACTTTTGACGTATTTAAAGGGGTTGTAGAAGAAAAGTGGTGGATTTAAGTTTCTTGTTGCCGAAATAAGTCTAACGTGTTAAGAAGAAAAGGTAAAATGTAGCCCCGCCCACCCACCCTATCTAAATTGTGATGATTTTTCTTATTCGTCGTGAGCCAAGGGGGCACAGCTTAACTGCAAAATACTTATTTCTGTACGAGAAATAAAAAACATGTTTTTGGGTATCCTGGTGTTCAAAGAATACTACCTATATTAAGAGAAAATTAAAGCCAAAGATTAAGCCCCACCCATACCAGCCCCGATTTAAATAGTAATGAAGTTTTCATTCGTTGGCAGACCTAGAGGTGGAGTCTAATTGCAAAATCCATAGTTCCCTAAAAAAATTACCATTTTAAACATGTTTGAAGTTTTTAAGAATAAAAAAAATCCTCACAAATGAGATGGGGCGGGTGGGCGGGGTTTATATTTTGCCTTTTTTTCTTAATTGTGCTTAGCGGTTGATTGTTTCTTGGAGTAACAAAAAACCCTCTTTAATACATTCTTCTTCATTTTCGGTTTTCTCCAACTGACGGTCTTGGAATTTTTACCGAATTATCACATGTACCTACTATTGCAAGTTGAATGCTCATTCCACTCACTCAATTGACAGGGATCATCTTCTGGTTCAGGTTTTGAAGTCGCATTACTGCAAATCTTTTCGACGAAATTCGATAATTAGCTTGATAGGTTATAAAAGGATATTCTTCAAGATCTGAAGTGATTAACTTCACAGGGTTCGCGATGTAGGTGAATTTGGGGACCTTACCAACATGATGTAAACATCGAATGGTTGTTTTCATTTGAAAAGCTTAAAAATTGGAAATCGGTAACTTGAAAAATTAAAGGAACGAAAAATTTTAAAATCGAAAATATATTAAATTTTCCTTTTTCAATTGTACGATTTTAGAATAATTTCTCGATTTTACAATTTTTTGGCTTTCCAATTTTTTAATTCGATTCATTTTTTCTTCTTTACAGTTTTTCGATAAATTTATATTTTAGATCTTAAAGTTTTCGATTTGTAGTTTTTGACTTCTTCGATTCTGAATTTTTCATTTTTCCAGTTTTTCAACTTTTCAATTTTTTCTGATTTTTTTAACTTTTCCGTTTTTAATTTTTCGTTTTTTAAAAAAGTATAAAAAAAATTTTTAAAAATCAAAAAATTGGAAATCAAGAACGTGAAAAATTAAAGAGACGAAAAATTTAAAAATCGATAAATTAAAAACTCCGAAACATCAAAATCGAAAAAGTGCAAAATCTAAAAAGAAAGTATTGAAAAATCTAAATATTGAAAATTAAAGAAAATGGAAAACAAATAATTGAGAAATTCTTAAAAAACTCAAGAAACAAAAAATCAAAAACTGAAAATTTTAAAAAATGAATAAATGAAAAAATATAAAATCCTAAGAAAGTACTGAAAAAAAGGAAACCAAAAACAAAAAATTGTATTATAAAATCGAGAAAATGAAGATTAACAAAATTGAGAAAATAAAAATCAAGAAGGTGAAAAATTGTAGAAACCAAATATTTAAAAAACTAAAAATTGAGAAACTGAAAAATCGAAAAAAACGGAAAAGCATAAATCGAAAACTCTGAAATAACTAAAAATCGGAAATCAAAAACCTGAAAAATTGAAGAAACGGAAAATTCAAAAATAGAAAGATTAAAAATTGAGAAACTTAGAAGTCGAAAAAGTGCCAAATCGAAAAAACGAAATATTGTAATTTCGGAACATTGAAAATTAAAGAAATCGGAAAATCCGATTGATTGAAAATCGGAAAATTGAAATTTTAAAAAATGGAAGAAACAAAAAATTATTTAATCGAAAAGAACACGAAAAAAATAAAGAAATCGAAAAAACGAAAGAATAAAACATCCGAAAATCGGATAATTGAGAAATCACAAAATTGCAAAAATTGAAAATTTGAAATATTAAATAAACGAAAAGTTATAAACTAGAAAAAGCATTGAAAAAATAAAAGAAATAAAAAATTATGGTACAAAATCGAGAAAATGAAAATAAAAAAAATCAGGAAATTGAAAAATAAAAATCAAGAACATGGAAAATTCAGAAAACGAAAAATTAAAAAAATCGATAAATTAAAAATTGAGAAACTGAAAACACGAAAAAAAAATTGTAATATCATAAAATTGCAAACTTGAAAAAATGCAATTCTTAAAACTGAAGCAACGAAAAATTGAAAATTTTGGAAGTTAAGAAATTGAAAAACTGAAAAAATTTAAGTTGAAAAAACGAAAAATTATGAAACCAAAACAAGCAAAATGGAAAAATTGAAAATACGAAGGAAAAGAAACAACTTAAAATTACGGTATGGTAATCGAAGAAAAAAGAAAAATGAAAAATTGTGATATGGAAAAATTTAAAAATCGAACTATTAATAATTGAGAAATTTAAAAATCGAAAATCTGCAAAATCGGATAATTGAGAAATCCAAAAATTGCAAAATTGAGAATTTTCAAAATTGGGAAATCTAGGAATTGAAACGCCAATGACTGAAAATTTCAAAAATTGAGAAAAGAAAAATGATTAAATCGAAAAAAATGTTGAGAATATAAAAAAAACGAAAACACGAAAAATTGTGCTATAAAATCGAGAAAATGAAGATTAAAAAAATGGACAAAATGAAAGATAAAAATGAAGAACTTTCAATAATTAAGGAACCGAAAAATTAAAAAATCGAAAAATAATACCTTGAGAAAGCGAAAAATCGAAAAATGAAAAATTGAAGAAACGAGAAATTAAAAAATTTAGAAGTCCAGAAATTAAAGTCGTAAAAACGAATTTTCACACTTTCTAATGTTTCAATTTTAGATTTAACAATTTTTCCGTCTGCAGTTTGACGAGTTTTCAATTTCTGCATTTTTCAATCTTCATTTCTTCAATTTTTCGATTTGAAGTTCTTCGTTTCGGTTTTTTATTTTCCAAATTTTTTTCAATTTTTCGGTTTTCTTTGTTATGATATAATTATTTTTTTTTTAATGTGAAATTTTTTAGCTTGCGGATTTTTCGATTCTTCGTGTTTCAATTCTTCGATTTTTCAACTTTTAGAATCGGTTTTCAGAAGCTCATTTAAATATTTGCTTGCGACTAAATTTTTAATGCGACATTAAATCACCACGTGACCCACTCTATGCCAATCAGATGTCGCTAAATGCATCATTAAAGGCACCATTAACGTAATCTCAACTAAAATATTCTATAAACTGGCGCCAAGATTTTTAAATTTTTGGTTTTTTCAATTATAAATTTTTCAGTTTCTCGATTTTTCAGTTTTTCATTTCGTACGTAAAATTATGATTTGAAAAATTGTAAAATCGAAGGAACAGAAAAAACGAAAAATTGTGATATCGAAAAATTTAAGAATGGAAAAACTGCAAAATCGGATAACTGAGAAATCCAAAAATTGCAAGATTGAGTCGTTTCAAAATAGGGAAATCGAGGAATTCACAAATCGAAAAATAAGAACTTGAGAAACTGAAAAATCGAAAAATGAAAAATTGTAACATCGAAAAATTGCAAAATTGAAAAAATGCAATTCGAAAAATTGAAGTAACGGAAAATTAAAAAATTTAGTAGAGAAATTTAGAGAAATAAAGTTGTAAAAACGAAAAATTATCAAATCGAAACAATGAAAAATGGCTACACTGAAAATAAGAGAAAATGAAAAAGACGAAAAATTGGGATATCAAAAAATCAGTCTAAATTTGATTTTGCGAATTTTATTTTTTCTGCTAATCCTTATAAGTTAAAATAAAGATATGTATGTAATGTGCACTCATAAACCACAAGTACAGAGTTTCAGAGAGGATTTATTAGGTAAAATTTTGAGATGACGTCATCAATTTTTTTGGAGGGAATAAACGAATAACTTTTGATTAACGATTTACCATGATTACGAAAACCTTACAACGTTTGCAAGATTTCAGAACATTCGGCAGTATATATTTTTTTTTTTCCAAAAATCTGAATGTGTAAGGTGAAAGCTCAACACGAATCTTATTTTATAAACTTCCTAAGAAACGCCGAACTTACACAGCTATACCTTGAAAATCGTCGACCCACCAAGTTACCATTAATTCTGTTCCCCGCAAACGACTACCACGCGGAAAAAAAACACTTACACATTTATTTAAATTTTATTAAACGAACATTAAATTCCAATAATTCATACACAACTTAGACTTACAACAGTAATAGTTAAATTTAGAAAAGTAACGTTAACTCTCCAATCTACAGATAGGTATGTGTGTAGATTACGATAGAAAACCACAAACAGCCTCACAAGTTAGACTTATTGTCACAAATTCAATTTTCGTAAATAAATAAGTGTTACGAAAGTGAGCTACATATGCTACTATTTTTAGATACTCCTATGTAGAATACTCGCTTCGTTGCTTTCATACATCAGATTAGTCGATATGAGTTAAAAAAGTTACTGACGACACAAACATGGTTTTTTCTCAATTTTGCTCGGACACGGCGTTCCATTGGGTGTCGGATGGACCACCACATGTCTGTACCTTTCTTGATATAGCCCTTTAGTACATTTCCCGTCGCACTTGGTCCAGTTTGACCAAGCCGACATGACACAATCAACTCTTATATTATCAAAAGTGTGCAAGCTATACTGGATTTTCCCCACTTCGTTCGTACAAGGAATGTGGCACTTTTTCCTTTTCGTCAACTTTTTGGAGCACGGTTTTCCCCCGTTGCTTGGAAGCACCTACAACCACTAGCTCATTTCCTTCCCTGATTTTAACACCTCCTCACCTTAATTTCTCTATATTTAGACTTATATCCACTCCCACACCGCCCCATCGCACTACAGTGGCTCCAGCTAGACCACTTGGTGAGCTCGCAGTCAGTGACGTTCGGCGTTTGCAGCTGTATCTGGCTGTAAGGTCGATACGAGGGCGCTGAAACTGTCCGAAGGAATTATTTTCGCTTAAAAATTAAGCTCTACGTTAAAAAATAATTACCACAGTTATTACCATTGATAGCGTCGTTTTGGATGTTGTAGGAGAGGACGCCAGAAATCGTTACGTCGAGCTGTCGTTTATGAGCCGTAAGGTTCGCGATTAATTCCTCTGGAATGAAAAAAATAATTTTGTTTGTTTTTATAGGCCGTAAAAATTACAACACGCGGAGAACATAACTTACTCTGGTAGTCGGCGCAAATTTTCTGACACTGTTCGAGAGTTCGGAAATTGTTCGAATTGCCGTCGCAACCGCTGTAGCTGAATATCTCGCAGTTTCCCTTAATGTTGTCGAAGAACCAGCGGTCGATGTTGCTTTTGCAGGAGCCGACGTCCTTGGGGAGGCTGCAGACGTAGCCTACAATCAATCGGGCAAACAAATAACAATCACTTAATTTTTTTGATATTTTAGTTTGAAATACTGGCTCTATCGCATTTTTATATGTACCGAAGTCAGATATAAAGTAAAATGGACGAAACAGTAAATGCTATGCAAAGTTTGAACTGAATCTTGACAGATAGTGTGGGTGCTATCGTTTAAAAAAATAATGTCTTTTGGTCTTATCAAGTCGGCCTTTAAAGCGTCGTCGTTAATAACAGCCCTCAGGGAAGCGATCCTTCGGAAACATATAATAAGTAGCTTTGACTCGAGGCGTCTTGTATGTCGTGGGAGGACATCCCTAGGGAATGACCTTGGTGCCCGCTAAATTTAACAGTGTTCCGGTGTGTCACGGTTTTGGTGTTGAATTAAATGCGGTGTCACTTCCCACAACGCAAGTTGTTATTTTTGAACGCCGCAACGATTATTAATCTGTTGAAAGATTATTTACAAAAAAACTGTACTTAATATTATTTCTGGTGTGTAAAGAATGCGGGTTTTTGCAGCTGTATTCGAGATATAGAAAACAACATGTTTCAGTAGTTTCCATAAGTAAATTAGACGTATGTTTGGGCTTTATTAAGCTTGTGTGTAGAAAGTTCCACTTACCTTTTTCGGGAACCTGACCCTCTTCCTCGATACACACTTTCTGGAAACACTCGACCGTCTCTTTGAGTTTTTGGTGGCTGCAAGGGTCATCCTCGTCGAATTCCTCGGTTTCATCGTAATTTGTTTCAGCATTGGGAATAAACGGCCAGTTCTGGGACTGCAGTGAAAGCCTGTACCGCACTTTGAAACCCTTTCCACAAGTTACGGAACAGGGCGACCACTCAGTCCAGGGCTTTTCCGGGCAGTTTTTCAGCAGTTCATCAACTTCTAAATCATCGCATTTACCTGGGGGATGTATGCAAAAAAACTTTATTGGCTATGTGAAAGGGAGAAAATGTGAGTATTTGATTATTGTACGACTGATAATATTAGTGAATTAGTGTCCAAACTGTTGATAGTCAAAAATCACTAGTTTTTTAAGTTTATTGAGAAAAGCTCGTTTAAAGTTGAAAATTAACGTGTCGTGTTCGAATAAATCGCCGCATTGTTTAATTTGTTATAATTTTACAAAGAAAAGAAAAGAAGATTTTCAAAATTTAAGTTATTTTGTTGTAGATTTAGATCTCCAAAAGTTACGTTCGGCCTCATTTTTTCGACCATTTTTCCAGAATCCTGTACTGAAATTATTGAAATCTGTGTTTATCCTAGATTTTTTAAAGAATAGTTTGGCAACTTCTTCAAAAGCAACATTTTTCAGTATGAAAGATGAAAATTTTGGCCCATTTTTGCCCACCTTCGAAACTAAACTACAGACATTTTCTTGTAAATTTCGATCTCCTCAAGGTACTTTCGGCCTCATTTTTTCGGTAACTTCTATTATTTTTTCAAAATCGCTCACTGAAATATGGCAATTTAAATTTTTTTTGAAAATAATTGAACTTTATAAAAATATTTCGGAAATCTTGCCCCGGGGCCAAACAAATGTTATATTTTCGGAATCAACACGACAAAATCTATGTCTCAGATTTTTTTTCGAATTTTTTGGAAACTTTTTCAAAAGCAAAATGTTTCAAAATTGTTTCGCTTATGAAAATTTTGGCCTATTTTCATCCATCTTCGAAACTTAACAAAAGACATTTTCATGAAGATTTCATTCTCCTGAAGTTACTTTCGGCCTCATTTTTTGGATAACTTCCACCATTTTTCCAAAATCGCCCACTGAAATAAGGCAATATTTCAAATTTTTCAAACTAATTGAATTTTACAACGAATATTTCTGAAATCTTGCGTCGGAATCCTAAAAACGTTATATTTGCAGCATTCACACGTCGAAATCTGTAACCCAGGTTTTTTTTTGAGAATTATTTGGCAACTTTAAAAAACAAAATTTTTAGCTTCGAAACTTAACTAAAGGCATTTTCTTGTTAAATTCGACCTCCAGAAATTTCTTTCGGCCTCATTTTTTCTAGAACTGCCACCATTTTGCAAAATTGCCCACTGAAAAATTGCAGTTTTTCTGAATTTTGAAAATAACTGAATTTTACAACGAATATTTCGGAAATCTTACCCCGAGACTAAACAAACACCATATTTTCAAAATCTACATGACAAAATCTATGTTCGAGATTTTTTTGACAATTTTTTGGAAACTTTTTCAAAAGCAAAATTTTTGAATATCTTTTATGAAAATTTTGGCCTATTTTCGTCCATCGTCGAAACTTAACAAAAGACATTTTCTATAAGATTTCAATCTCCTGAAGTTACTTCCGCCCTCATTTTTTCGATAACTTCCACCATTTTCTAGAATTTCTCAATGAAATTTGGCAATTTTTTGGATTTTTGAAAATAGTTGATTTTCACAACAGATATTTCGAAAATGCTCTCTCGGGGCGAGAAAAAACGCTATATTTTCGGGATCAGCACATCGAAATCTACGTGCCAAATTTTTTTGAAAATTTTTTGGAAACTTTTAAATACAAAATTTTTCGGTGCCCTTCCCTTACGAAAATTTCGGCCCGTTTTTACCTTCCCTCGAAATTTAACTAAAGAAATTTTCTTGTAGATTTGAATCTACTAAAATTATTTTTGACTCTTTTTTTTATATTTTTTCAGAATTGCTCACTAAAATATGGCAATTTTTCGGTTTGATAGTAATTGAATTTCACAACGAATATTTCTGAGATCTTGCCCTGGGATTCTAAAAACGCTATATTTTCGGAATGATCACTTCGAAATCCATGTCTTAGAATTTTTTGGAAATTTTCGGCAACTTTTTCAAAAGCAAACATTTTTTAATATCCCTCACTACGAAAATTTCGGTCCATTTTCGTCCACCTTCGAAACTTAACAGAAGACACTTCCTTGTCAATTTCGATTTTCTGAAGTTATTTTCATCCTCATTTTTTCGATAACTTTCGCAATTTTGCCAGAATCGCCCACTGAAATATGGCAATTTTTTGTATTTTTGATAATAATTGTATTTTAAAACGAATATTTATGAAATCTGGTATATTTTTGGAATCAGCACATCGAAATTTATATCTCAGACATGTTTGGAAATTTTTTGGCAACTTTTTCAAAAGCAAAATTTCGGAAAATTTCCACCTATTTTCGTCCACCTTCCATATTTAACCAAAGATATTTTTTCTAGATTTCTATCTTCACAAGTTACTTTCGACCTCATTTTTTTATAACTTCCACCATTCTTCTAGAATCGCCTACTGAAATTTTTCCAATTTTTGAAAATAATTGAATTTCACAACGAAAACTTCCTAAATCTGGCCCCGGGATCATAAAAATCCTATATTTTCGGAATCAGCACGTCGAAATCTGTGTCCTCGATTTTATGAGAATTTTTTGGCAATTTTTTCAAAAATAAAATTTTTGTATAATAAAATTTTTCGATACACTAAGTCAAGAAAATTTAGGCCCATTTTCGTCCATCTTCGCAACTTAATAAAGGATATTTTCCTGTAAATTTAGAACTCCTGAAGTTTCTTTCGGCCGCATTTTTTTCGACAACTTCCACCATTTTCCAAAATCGCCGACCGAAATATGAAAATTTTTCGGACTTTTGAAAATAATAATTGAATTTCGCAACAAATATTTCTGAACTCTTGCCGCGGAATCATAAATACTTGTAGACTATATTTTCAGAATCAGCACGTCGAAATCTTATATCCCTGATTTATTTTTTGGCAACATTTTCAAAGTCAAAATTTTTCTGACCCCCCCCCTTGAAAATTTCGCCCATTTTCGTCGATCTTCGCAACTTAACAAAAGAGATTTTCTTGAAGATTTCGATCTCCTGAAGTTAGTTTCGGTCTCATTTTTTCGATATCTTCAACCATTTTTCCAAAGTGGCTCAACGAAATATGGCAATTTTTCAAATTTTTGAAAATAATTTAATTTCACAACGAATATTTCGGAAATCTTACCCGTGACCTTACAGACACAATATTTTTGGAATTAGCACGTCGAAAACTATGTCCTCGATTTTTTCAGGACTTTTAGGCAACTTTTCCAAAACCATAATTTTTTAATATCCCTCCCTTGCCAAAATTTTGGCTTATTTTCGTACATTTTCGAAACTTAGCAAAAGATATTTGCTTGTAAATTTCGATTTCCTAAATTTACTTTCCGCCTCATTTTCTGGATAATTTCCACAATTTTTCCAGAATCCCCCACTGACGTATGGCAATTTTTCGGATTTTTGATAATCCTTGAATTTCACAGCGAATGTATATGAAATCATGTCCCGAGATTCTAAAAGCGCTGTATTTTAGGAATCAACACGTCGACATTTATATCTCAGAATTTTTTGAGAATTTTTTGGTAACTTTTTCGAAAGTAAAATTTAGGAAAATTTTGACAAATTTTCGTCTACTTTCCATAATAAACCAAACATTTTCATGCAAATTTCGATCTCCTGAATATTTTTTAGTTATCTTCCACCATTTTTTCAGGATCGTCTATTGGATTTTTTTTTTTTTTTGGATTTTTGAAAAGAATTCAATTTCAAGGCGAATATTTCTGAAATCTTGCCACGCAATCATAACATCTATATATTCTTGGAATCAGCTCATCGAAATCTACATTCTAGATTTTTTTAGAATTTTTGTCAACTTTTTTCAAAAGCAAAATTTACGAAAATTTCGATCTACTTTCCTCTACCTTCAATACATAACCAAAGATATTTTCTTGTAGATTTCGATCTTCATAAGGTATTTTCGGCTTCATTTTTTTTTAACTTCCACCATTCTTCTAGATTGGCCTACTCAAATATGGCAATTTTTCGAATTTTTTTAAATAATTGATTTTCACAATAAATATTTCGAGAATCTTGGCCTGGGACCATACAAACGCTATATTTTCAGAATCAGGACGTCGAAATCTACAACCCAGATTTTTTTGAATTATTTGGCAACTTTTTCAAAATCAAAATTTTTCAATTCGCTTGTGAAAATTTTGACCCAGTTTTGTCCACCTTCGGAACTTAACCAAAGATATTTTTTTGTAGATTTCGGTGTTCACAAGTTACTTTTGGCCTCATTTTTTTATAACGTCCACCATTCTTCTAGAAGCGCCTACTGAAATATGGCAATTGTTCGAATTTTTGAAAATAATAGAATTTTGCAACGAAAATTTCCTAAATCTGACCCCGGGCTCATAAAAATCCTGTATTTCGGAATCAGCACGTTGAAATCTGTGTCCCCGATTTTTTTGAGAATTTTTTGGTAACTTTTTCAAAAACAAAATTTTTCAATTACGAAAATTTGGCCCGTTTTCGTCCACCTTCAGAATTTAACTAAATACATTTTCTTATTGAATTCGACCTCCAGAAGTTACTTTTGGCCTTAACTTCCACGCAGAATTCGCCAATGAAATATGTCAATTTTTCGGATTTTTGAAAATAATTGAATTTAACAACGAATATTTTCGAAATCTGGTCCCGGAATCATAAAACCCTATATTTTCAGAATCAGCACGTCGAAATCTAGATCCCAGTTCTATTTGAGAACTTTTTGGCAACTTTTTCAAAATTATTATCTTTTAATATCCCTCCTTATAAAAATTTTCTTGAAGATTTCAATTTCCGGAAGTTAGTTTCGGCCTCATTTTTTCGATAACTCCTACAATTGTTCCAGAATCGCTGACTAAAGTATAGCAATTTTTCGTATGTTTGAAAATAATTCAATTTCACAACAAATATTTCTGAAATCTTGCCCCGGGATTATAAAAACACTATATTTTCGGAATCAACATGTCGAAATCTGTATGCTATATATTTCTTGAGAATTTTTTCGTCCACCTTCGAAACTTAACAAAAGACATTTTCTGGCAGATTTCGACCTCTTGAAGATACTTTTGGCCTCGTTTTTTCGATAAGTTCAACAATTTTTTCAGAATCACCTACTGAAATATGGCAATTTTTTGAATTTTGAAAATAATTATTGAATTTCACAACAAATATTTCTGAAATCTTGCCCCAGGATCACAAAAACGCTATACTTTCGGAATTATCACTTCATCATCCTACATCCCTGATTTTTTTTGAGACTTATTTGGCAACTTTTTGAAAAACAAGAATTTTCAGCACTCCTGAAAATTTCGGCCCATTTTCGTCTACCTTCGACACTTCACCAAAGATATTGTCATGCACATTTCGATCTGTTGAAGTTACTTTCACCCTCATTTTTTTTTGTAACTTCGACCGTTTTTCCAGAATCGAAGTATGGCAATTTTTCGGATTTTTAAAAATAATTCAATTTGACAACGAATGTTTCTGAAACTTTGCCCCGGGATTACAAAACACTATATTGCCAGAATCAGCATGTCGAAACCTATATACAAATTTTTTTTTGAGAATAATTGACAACTTTTTCAAAAGCAACATTTTTCAATACTCTTCCTCTACGAAAATTTCGGCCGATGTTCGTCTAGTTCGATACTTAACGAAAGACATTTTCAAGCACATTTCGATCTGCTGAAGTTACTTTCGGCCTCATTTTTTTGATTAACTTCCATTTTTCCAGAATCGCCCACTGAAATATGGGAATTTTTCGAATCTTTGAAAATGTTATTATTAAATTTTATTAATTTTTATTTCACAACGAATATCTATGAAATCTGGCCCCGAGATCATAAAAACCCTATATTTTCGGAATAAGCAAGTCAAAATTTCCTTGAATTTTTTGAGGATTTTTTGATAACTTTTTTAATAACAAAATTTTTCTGCACCCCTCCCTTACAAAAATTTCGACTCATTTTCGTTCTCCTTTGAAACTTAACCAACGACACTTTTTTGTAGATTTCGATGTTCTGAAGTTACTTTCGGCCACAATTTTTTTTCGATACTTCTGGAAAAGTATGACACTTTTTCGAATTTTTGAAATTAATTGAATTTCACAACGAATATTTCTGAAATGTTGCAACTGCATCACATAAACGCTATATTTTCGGAATCAACACGTCGAAATCTATATACCTGATTTTTTTGAGGATTTTTTGCTAACTTTTTCAAAAATAAAATTTTTCGGATTCCTTCCTTATAAAAATTTCAGCCCATTTTCGTCGCCCTTCGAAACTTAACTAAAGACATTTTCTTGTAGATTTCGATTGACTGAAGTTACTTTCGGCGTCATTTTTTCAAAAACTTCTACACTTTTCCAGAATCGCCCACTGAAATATGTCAATTTTTTGTATTTTTGAAAATAATTCAATTTCATGACGAATATTTCTGAAACCTTGCCCCGGGATTATAGAAACGCTATATTTTAGAATCTCTTTTATTTCAAAGTTTACCTTCCCCAAAACACTCCAAGTTCTCCTGTAGCTTCGGCGGATTAACCTTTGGCGCAGAACAACTCTTCGCCGCCAACCTGTTCTTGTACTTCCTATCCCTCGTCTTCGTTCCTCTTCCACACGTAACACTGCAACTCGACCACTCGCTCCACACCCCCAGCACACACATGGGGTCCTCCACCTCCCTGGCAGGCAGATGAGGACAATACTTCTGCACAGCTTCGCAGCCCGCTCTCTCCGTCAGTCTCTTATGACAAATATACTTGCTCTCTTCGTTCTTGTACCTCCTCTGCTTGTACTTGACACCCCTGCCACACGTGGCCGAGCACGGGGACCAGTCCGACCATGGCTCGGTTTCGCAGGAGTCGTTCTCGTCGTAGTTTTCATCTCCACTAGAGGGGTCGCAGATTTTCTCGTACAGACGTTGTCTGGACAAGTAGAGTCTGGCTAAGGGTTTCATTTCGGCACCACTTTTGTCGTAAAATGGGGAACGAGGGTCGTTGGGGTTGTTCGACTTGATGCGTTTTATGGGTTGGCGAGGCGAAGATGGCTGATTAGGGGACTGCAACATGAAAGGAAAGTGAAATGAGTAATTGTTGGTTGTGGTGACTTGTTGATGCGAAGCGGATAATTAAAGGGTTGAAGTGCCGCGTATGAGGGTTTGGATTTGGGTTTGGAAAGCAGAGGAGACGTTTCAGCGAGTTTGGTGTGGTGGAGAAAGACAGGTCTGCTGCTACTTTTCAAAAGGAACACAATGTTTTTAAACGACTGGGTGTTAAAGTGAACTGAACACGTTGTAAATTTTTTATAACTTAATAAACCTACTTGAGACTGTGAAATTATAAAATTGGATTTATTCGGAAGTCGTGAGAGAATCGAGACAGCAATGGCTCAACTCTAAAAGCTAATACTGACGGTTTAGTATTGCAGTTAATGAAAGTCTGAAGTAAGAAGTCGTGTAAAGCTTATTAGCGGCAGTTCGGTGCCCTATGATTGGTATTGATCACTAGCCACGTCCTCACTTCTGGTAGTCGTAGATTCGTAAACTTTTAAACGTTATTTCGTGTTTCTAATTACAGTTTGACTTTGTTTTCACTTTTTATTTCCCGGGCGTAAGCTAAGGATGTATTGTAATCGAGTCCATCTCCGTCTGTCTGTCTGTTGTTAGACAGATAATCTCTGAAATTGCCGATTGTTGCCGAATTTTGTATGAATAATAGAAAAGATGGAAAATTTGTCTGTCCATTCCCACCAACATTGGAGTTACGTCATCCATAAATTTTACAATAGTAAATATTACTTAAATTTTATAAAATAACGTACTCCTCTACTTGTGGTTTATGAATTCGTTTTGAGTTTTTAACTTAGGCATCCAGATTTTGGGAAAAAAAATCACACAATGAAACTTTGAAATCTTGCAAAAGTTTAAAGGTTTTCGGAAGCATGGGATCTTACAATTTTGTCCAATGTTATTTAAATGTTAAACAGTAACATAGTCCTGAAATTGTGGTTTATGAATCCGTGTTGGATTTTTTCCTCGACAGCCAGATTTTTGAAAAAAAATCCAAATGTATTATAACAATTTTTCGAATTTTAGATTTTTCGTCTTTTCGATTTCTCGATTTTTCAACTTTCAATTTCTCAGTTTTGGAATTTTTGTAGTTTTTGATTCTTGAATTTTTCGATTTTTTAAATTCCCCATTTTCAATTTTTCAATTTCCCGATTTTCAGTTTTTCGATTACTCAATTTGTCGATATTTCAGTGTTGGGATTTTTATTTTCGGTTGTTCAATTTCTCGATTCTTCAAAATTTCCATTTCTCGGTTTTTTCATTTTTCGATTGCTCAGTTTCCCGATGTTTTTATTTTACGAATTTTTAACTTTTCGATTTGTCAATTCTTCGATTTTCCAATTTTTCTTCCACTTTTCAATTTTTGACGTTTCTAAATTTTCGATTTTTCAATTTCTCAGTTAATCAATTTTTTAGTTTTTCGACTTTTAGATTTCTCGAAATTTCAATTATTCAGTTTTTCAATTTTGCATTTTTCCATCCGATCATTGGACTTCGATTCTTCGACTTTTTGATTTCTCGATTTTTTAATTTTTCAATTTCTCAAATTACCGATGTTTCAGTTTTGGGTTTTTCGACTCTTCAATTTTTCCTCGATTTTTTAATTTTTCGGTGTTTTAGTTTTGGAGTTTTCCAGTACTATAATTCTTCGATTTCTTATTTTTTCGATCTTTCAGTTTTTCAATTTTTTAAATTTTAAATTTTTTAATTTTTCGCTTCTTCAATTTTTCGATTTTGATGGATTTTGGTCTTTTGAGAATTTGAGGATTTTGGTGCTGTATTTGGGGATTTTGTGTTTTGAAGATTTGAGGAATTTGGTGGTTTGAGGGTTTGAGGATTTTGGTGTTTTGAGGATTTGAGGACTTTGGCGTTTTGAGGATTTTGGTGGTTGGAGGATTTGAGGATTTTGGTGTTTTGAAGAATTGATGATTATGGTGTTTTGAGGATTTGGGGATTTTGGCCTTTTAAGGATTTGAGGATATGAGGATTTTAGTGTTTTCAGGATTTGAGAATTTTGGTGTTTTGAAGAACTGAGGATTTTGCTGTTTTGAGGATTTGGGGATCTGAGGATTTTCGGGTTTTAAGGATTTAAAGATTTTGGTGTTTTGAAGATTTTGACGTTTTGGGGATTGCAGGATTTTCACGTTTTGAGGAATTGAGGATTTTGGTGTTTTGACGATTTGAGGATTTTGTTGTTATGCGGATTTGAGGATTTTGGCGTTTGGAGGATTTCAAGATTTTGGTGTTTTACGGATTTGAGGATTTTGCTGTTTTGAGGATTTCGGCGTTTTGAGGATTTGAGGATTTCGTTGTTTGAGGATTTGAGGATTTTGATGTTTTGAGGATTTTAGTGTATTGAGAATATGAGGATTTTGATGTTCTAAGGATTTGAATAAGAATAAGAATAAGAATAAGTTTATTGCACAACTAGAGCAGCGTACAAAAAGTTAGAATGCAGGCTAACCCTGATACTAAAACGTTTCTAACTCATACCAGGAGGATTTTAGTGCTTTGAAGACTTGAGGGTTTTGGTGTTTTGAAGATTTGAGGATGTTGATGTTTTGAGAATTTGAGGATTCTGATGTTTTGAGAATTTGAGGATTGTTTTGAGGATTTGAGGATTTTAGTATATTGAGGATTTGAGGATTTCTTCGTTTTGAGGATTTGTGGATTTTGGTGTTTCGAGGATTTAGGGATTCTGATGTTTCGAGGATTGAGGATTTTAGTGTTTGAGGATTCTGATGTTTTGAGAATTTTAGCGTTTTGACGATTTGAAGATTTTGTTGTTTTGAGGATTTCAGGATTTTGATATTTAGTGTTTAATTTAGTGTTTAGTGTATTTATTACGCCAAAAAAAAATCTGATGATTCTGATGTTTTGAGGATTTTAGTATATTGAGAATTTTAGGATTTTGATGTACTGAGGACTTGAGGATTTTAGTGCCTTGAAGATTTGAGGTTTTGGGTGTTTTGAGGATTTGAAGATGTTGATGTTTTGAGAATTCGAGTATTTTGATGTTTGAGAATTTGATGATTAGTATATTGAGGATTTGAGGATTTTTGCGTTTTGAGGATTTGTGGATTTTGGTATTTTGAGGATTTAGGTATTCTGATGTTTTGAGACTTTGAGGATTTTAGTGTATTGAGGATATGAGGATTCTGATGTTGTGAGAAATTTGGTGTTTTGAGGATTTGAGGATTTTGTCGTAATGTGGATTTGAGGACTATGGTGTTTTGAGGATTTATGAATTTTGATGTTTTGAGGAGTTGAGGATATTAGTATATTGAGGATCTGAGGATTTTAATGTTTTGAGGGTTTCAGCATTTTTGGTTTTTCGATTCTTCAATTTTTCTTCAATTTTTTAATTTTTCGATATCTCAGTTTTTGGGTTTTCCAGTAGGACTATAATTCTTCGATTCCTTATTTTTTCGACTTTTCAATTTTTCGATTTTTTAAATTTTAGATCTTTAATTTTCAGAATTGTTTCGATTCTCAATTTTTCAACTTTTCGATTCTTCAATTTTTTGATTTTGCAAGATTTTGGTCTTTTGAGGATTTGAGAATTTTGGTGTTCTGAGGATTTGAGTATTTTATGTTTCGAGGATTTGAGGATTCTGATGTTTTGAGGATTTGAAGATTTTAGTGTTTGAGGATTTAAGGATTCTAATGTTTTGAGGATTTGAGGATTTTGGTGTTTTGAGGATTTGAGGACTTTGGTGTTTTGAGGATTTGCGAATTTTAATGTTTTGGGGATTTGAGGATTTTGGTGTTTTGAGTGATTGAGGATTCTAACATTTTGAGGATTTGAGGATATTAGTGTATTGAGGATTCGAGGATCTTGGAGTTTGGAAGATTTTTAAGGATTTGAAGGTTTTGGTGTTTTAAGGATTTGAGGATTCTGATGTCTTTTGGAATTTGGAGAATTTCGATGTTTTGAGGATTTGAGAACTTTGTTGTTTTGAGGATTTGCGGATTTTGGTGTTTTGAGGATTTTGGAATTTTGGTGTTTTAAAGATTTGAGGATTCTGATGTCTTGGAATTTGGAGATTTTGGTGATTAGAGTATTTTGTGATTTTGGTGTTTTGGGGATTTGGAGACTTTGTTGTTTTGAAGATTTAAAAATTTTGGCGTTTTGAAGATTTAAGCATTCTTAAAATTTGGACATTTGAGGATTTTTGTGTTTTGAGGATTTGAGGACTTTGGTGTTTTGAGGTTTTGAAGATTTTGCTCTTTTAACGATTTGAAGATTGTGATGTCTTTTGTAATTTAGAGATTTTGGTGATTAGAGTATTTTGGGATTTTGGTGTTTTGGGGATTTGGAGATTTTGTTGTTTTGAAGATTTAAAAATTTTGGCGTTTTGAAGATTTGTACTGTTGTGCAATAAACTTATCTATCTAAGATTTAAGGATTCTTAAAATTTGGACATTTGAGGATTTTTGTGTTTTGAGGATTTGAGGACTTTGGTGTTTTGAGGATCTGCGTATTTTGATGTTTTGACAATTTGCGGATTTAGGTGTTTTGAGGATTTGAGAATTTTAGTGTTTTGGAGGATTTGAGGACTTTGGTGTTTTGAGGATCTGCGTATTTTGATGTTTTGACAATTTGCGGATTTAGGTGTTTTGAGGATTTGAGAATTTTGGTGTTTTGGAGGATTTGAGGGTTTTGGTGTTTTGAAGGTTTGAGGATTTTGGTGTTTTGGGGATTTGAATATTCTGATGTTTTGAGAATTTGGAGATTTTGATGTTTTGAGGATTTGAAGATTTAAGGATTTTGATGTTTTGAGGATTTGACAATTTCAGTGTTTTGGAGATTTGAGGACTTTGGTGTTTTGAGGATTTTGGTGGTTGGAGGATTTGAGGATTTTGGTGTTTCGAGGATTTGATGATTATGATGTTTTGAGGATTTGGGGAATTTGGCCTTTTAAGGATTTGAGGATATGAGGATTTTAGTGTTTTCAGGATTTGAGAATTTTGGTGTTTTGAGGAACTGAGGATTTTGCTGTTTTGAGGATTTGGGGATCTGAGGATTTTAGCGTTTTAAGGATTTAAAGATTTTGGTGTTTTGAAGATTTTGACGTTTTGGGGATTGCAGGATTTTCACGTTTTGAGGAATTGAGAATTTTGTTGTTATGCGGATTTGAGGATTTTGGCGTTTGGAGGATTTCAAGATTTTGGTGTTTTACGGATTTGAGGATTTTGGTGTTTTGAGAATTTCGGAGTTTTGAGGATTTAGGGTTTCGTTGTTTTGAGGATTTGAGGATTTTGATGTTTTGAGGATTTTAGTGTATTGACAGTTTGAGGATTTTGATGTTCTGAGGACTTGAGGATTTTACTGCTTTGAAGACCTGAGGGTTTTGTTGTTTTGAAGATTTGAGGATGTTGATGTTTTGAGAATTTGAGGATTCTGATGTTTTGAGAATTTGAGGATTGTTTTGAGGATTTGAGGATTTTAGTATATTGAGGATTTGAGGATTTCTTCGTTTTGAGGATTTGTGGATTTTGGTGTTTCGAGGATTTAGGGATTCTGATGTTTCGAGAATTTGAGGATTTTAGTGTTTGAGGATTCTGATGTTTTGAGAAATTTGGTGTTTTGAGAATTTTGGCGTTTTGAGGATTTGAAGATTTTGTTGTTTTGAGGATTTGAGGATTTTGATGTTTAGTGTTTACTTTAGTGTTTAGTGTATTTATTACGCCAAAAAAATCTGATGATTCTGATGTTTTGAGAATTTTAGTATATTGAGAATTTCAGGATTTTGATGTTCTGAGGACTTGAGGATTTTAGTGCCTTGAAGATTTGAGGGTTTGGGTGTTTTGAGAATTTGAAGATGTTGATGTTTTGAGAATTTGAGTATTCTGATGTTTGAGAATTTGATGATTAGTATATTGAGGATTTGAGGATTTTTGCGTTTTGAGGATTTGTGGATTTTGGTATTTTGAGGAATTAGGTATTCTGATGTTTTGAGGATTTGAGGATTTTAGTGTATTGAGGATATGAGGATTCTGATGTTGTGAGAAATTTGGTGTTTTGAGGATTTGAGGATTTTGTCGTAATGTGGATTTGAGGACTATGGTGTTTTGAGGATTTATGAATTTTGATGTTTTGAGGAGTTGAGAATTTTAGTATATTGAGGATCTGAGGATTTTAATGTTTTGAGGGTTTCAGCATTTTTGGTTTTTCGATTCTTCAATTTTTCTTCAATTTTTTAATTTTTCGATATCTCAGTTTCTGGGTTTTCCAGTAGGACTATAATTCTTCGATTCCTTATTTTTTCAACTTTTCAATTTTTCGATTTTTTAAATTTTAGATCTTTAATTTTCAGAATTGTTTCGATTCTCAATTTTTCAACTTTTCGATTCTTCAATTTTTTGATTTTGCAGGATTTTGGTCTTTTGAGGATTTGAGAATTTTGGTGTTCTGAGGATTTGAGTTTTTTGTGTTTCGAGGATTTGAGGATTCTGATGTTTTGAGGATTTGAGGATTTTAGTGTATTGAGGATATGAGGATTCTGATGTTGTGAGAAATTTGGTGTTTTGAGGATTTGAGGATTTTGTCGTAATGTGGATTTGAGGACTATGGTGTTTTGAGGATTTATGAATTTTGATGTTTTGAGGATTTAAGAATTTCAGTGTTTTGGAGATTTGAGGACTTTGGTGTTTCGAAGATTTGAGGATTTTGGTGTTTTTAGGATTTGAGGATTTTGGTGTTTTGATGAATAAAATTCTGATGTTTCGAGGATTTGGGATTTTGGTGTTTTGAGTATTTGAGGATTTTGTGTGATTTTGTGTTTTGGGGATTTTGGTGTTTTGAGAATTTAAGGATTTTAGGGTTTTGAGGATTTGACAACTTTGGTGTTTTGAGGATTTGAAGATTTTGCTGTTTTAACGACTAGAAGATTGTGATGTCTTTTGGAATTTGGAGATTTTGGTGTTTTGAAGATTTGAAAATTTTAGTATTTTGAGAATTTGAGTATTTTGACGTTTTGAGGATTTGGTGATTTTGGTGTTTTGGGGATTTGAGGATTCTGATGTTTTGAGGGTTTGATTATCAATTTTTCGACTTTTGAATTTCAGATTTTGCAATTTTTTTTGGATTTCTCGATTTTTCAGTTTTTTGATTCTTCTCTTTTTCGATATTTTAATTTTTCAATTTGTAAAATTTTAGGTTTTTCTAGTTCTCTAGTTACAATTAGAGTTTTGAATTTTTTTGTTTTTGAATGTTTCGATTTTTTAGTTTCCCGATTTTTTAATTTTTCAGTTTCTCGATTTTGATATTGCGATTTTTCGAAATTTCGGTTGTTTATTTTATCAATTTTGAAATGTTTCATTCAAATTTCGATTTCTCCATTTTTTCATCATTTCAGTTTTGGAATTTTTCGCTTTATCGAATTTTCAGTTTTTACAGTTTTCGAATTTTCAATTTTTCCATTTTGCGATTATTTTATTCGATTTCTTGGCATATAGATTTTTCGAATTTTAAAACTTTTCGACTCTTCGTTTTTAAGATTCCTCGATTTTTCAAGTTTTCGATTTCCCAATTTTTCAACATTCATATCAGTTTCTAGATTCAATTCTTCCATATTTTAATTTTTTAATTCTGTTTTGCTCCCCGCAGGGCTGCGGGAGGATTATTTACACCACTGATTTTGCGAGGGAAGTTCTTCGAAACAACCTTCAACCGATTTTTTTGTCACTATCGCACCTTCAAGTCCACTGAAAGATAGTTTAAGTCGGAACCGAGTTTCCCCCGAATATCCTCGTCAAACTACAGCAAAGTTGTTTATTCATCAAGTTTAACTAAGTTTGCAAATCATTTAGGACGACAAGTCATTTGTCTGTGAATGCAGTCAGCGCATTCGTATCTATAATTAGATTCTGTTATTTGCTAACTTGAGAATTCTGTTTGAGAGCTATTAACGGAAAAAGTTGATTAGAAAGCAGTAAGGTAAATGTTCTTAAGGTGAACACGTTCAGTTTTTGACAAATTAATGACTAATTTGCCAAAATGTTAAAAGAAATTATGTTAATATAAGTTTTTCAATAAAATGTAGGTATTGTGCTGCGGTAAATCGTAAAAAAACTCAAATTTTATTCAAAAACTAGAAAAAAAAAACACTAACAATAATAATAAGAGAAAATGACTGTAGTGCTAAAAAGAAAGACTCCGTTATACTCACGATGTAGGTGATTCCATCGTCAGTCCCGGCATCCCACGGGTACAAATTAAGCACCTTCGATTCCACCCAGGAGCAGTTCCTGAGGCACAGTTCTAGACTCGAAACCCCCACAATCCAGTCAGGCGAGGGATCGATCATCGAGACAATGGACATCAGATGGTGGCGATTGTCCACCCGGAACACAGCGAAGGTTTTTCCGGTGATATTGGGATAGCTGATGCCTCTCGCTTTAATGATGGTCCTTATGTGATCGCTCTACTTGAAAAAAATGAGGAAATTAAACTAAGCTAATTAATCAGGACGGCATTCTTTCAAGTGGGACTGTTTCCAACTTTAATTACTTGCCTTTGCTTTCAGTTCGCTTTCGAGCATTCTCGTGTTTCCGTTCTCCGCCAGTTGACGGAGTCCTTCACTGGCGATGTCGCCGTATTTCCAAAAAGTGTAATTTACAGTGTGCGAAGCCCCGATGATGTCGCTAAAGCGGGTTAGTCATCCGTTGGCGGGGAAGTCCTTCGGGTGGGTGTTGCGGGACCAGAGGCCCTCGAAGGTGACCTGCAAGGAGTGGAGATGATGGGAAACGAGAAGACGGTTTTTCGATAAGTCTGGCAGGTGTCAAAAAAATAAGCCGATGAAAATTATCGATTGGCTCGGGTTGTGGTCGCTTGTTGAGGGGCAATTCGCTCGGAAAATACACTTTTAAGTACTTAATGAAAGTGGGGGAGGTTATTTTATGAAGTAGGGAGTGTTTATTCTTAAAATATTAAAGAGTAAACGGGCAAATAATCCGTTTTAAGTAACTATTACTTCCTGAGAGTAAGCTAAGTTTTCGTCTGTCTGTCTGCGTCAAATTTTGTATTACCACTATGACCTCATGTCCAAAATTTACAATAGTAAATTAGTTCTTATTTTTATAAAATAAAATACTCCTGTACTTGTGGTGCATGAATCCGTGTTGAATTTTCGTTTATCTATACTAGTGGTTTATCAGGTTTATCAATGCACTCACAGTTTTTAGAATTACTTATTCAGGCAATTTATTTTATTTATTAAGTTAAGAATGACTCACTCCATTGTCCTGAAAATTTGGAAATATAATACTCTACTAAAATGTTGATGACATCATTACAACTTTGTAATGGAAAAACTCACTCGAAACAAACGCATAGCACGCTTCTTTACATTTATATTAACATTACGTACATATCTTTATTTTAACTATAAGGATTGATTGATCATAAAAAAAATCGCATAATCAAAGCTTATAATTTTTAGAAAAATCCGAATCGATCAATTTTTTGATACCATAGTTTTTCGTTTTTCATTTTCTTTTATTTTTAATTTTTCCATTTTGCAATTTTTCTATACTGCAATTTTTCATTTTTTCATTTTTCAGTTTCTCAGATTTTACCTTTTCGATTTTTCAGTGTTTTGATTTTTTAATTTTTTAATTTTTCGATATTTCGATTTTGGTTTTTCGACTTCGATTTTTCAATTTTTCGATTTCTCAAGTTACCGATGTTTCCGTTTTGGAATTTTCGTTACTACGATTCTTCAGCTTTTCGAATTTTCAATTTTAGATTTTTGATGTTTCGATTTCTCAATTTTCCAACTTTACGAATCTTCAGTTTTTCGATTTTGTAGGATTTTGGTGTTTTGAGGATTTGAGAATTTTGATGTTTTGAAGATTTGGGGATTTTTGATATTTTGAGGATTTAAGGATTTTGGTGTTTTAAGGATCTGAAGATGTTGGTGTTTTGAGGATTTGAGGGTTTTGGTGTTTTGAGGATCTGGGGATTTTGGTGTTTTGAACATTTGACAATTTTTCATGTTTTAATTTTTTAGTTTCTCGGATTATAACTTTTCGATTTTTAAGGTTTTTGAGTTTTTAATTTTTCGATTTTTGTTTTTCGACTTTTCGATTTCTTGTCAATTTTTCAGTTTTTCCATTTATGAAATTACCGATGTTTCAGTTCTGGGTTTCTCGATTCTTCAATTTTTTTTCATTTTTGGGATTTTCGGTAATACGATTCTTCGGTTTTTCAATTTTTCCATTTTAGACTTTAATGTTTCGATTTCTCAATTTTCAGGCTTCAAATTCTTCAATTTTTCGATTTTTCAGGATTTTGGTGTTTTGAGCATTTGAGAATTTTGATGTTTTGAAAATTTGGGAATTTTGTGTGTTGATGATTTGAGGATTTTGGTCTTTTGAAGATTTAGGGATTTTGATATTTTGAGGAATTAAGAATTTTGGTGTTTTAAGGATTATTATTTAAGCATATTGATGTTTTGAGGATTTGAGGACTTTGGTGTTTTGTGGATCTGAGGATTTTGGTGTTTTGAGCATTTGACAATTTTTCATTTTTTGATTTTTCAGTTTCTCAGATTTTAACTTTTTAATTTTTCAATTCTTCTTTTTCTCAACTATTCAAGTTGTTAATTTTTATTTTTCACTTTCCCAATTTTTTAGTTTTCATTTTCTAGATTTTATATAGCAATTTTTTTGTTTTTCCATTTCCTTTATTTTTTCAATGTTTCTTTCGATTTTATAATTTTCCATCTATTCAATTTTTAGTTTTCGGTAATTCTGTTTTCCAATTTTAAAATTTTTCAGATTTGCAATTTTTAGATTTCTCGATTTTCCGATTTCCTTAATTTTTAATGTTTCGATTTTACAATATTTCGTTTTTTTGTGCTTTGCACTTTTTCAATTTTTAAGTTTCTCAATTTTTGAACCTTCGATTTTTCAATTTATCTTTCTTCAATTTTGCAAATTCTTGATTTCCAATTTTTAGATTTTTCAAAGTTTTTATTTTATACTTTTTCATTTTTGATTTTTTAAATTTTCCATTTTTTTATTGGAAAAGTTGAAAAATCGAAAAACGGAAATATCGAAAAATTAAAAATAAAAAAACTAAAAAATTAAACATTGAAAAACTAAAAGTCGAGAAACTTAAATATTAAAAAAATTAATCAATCGATAATTTAGAAAAGACTAAAAACGAATGAAATGGAAAAATTAGAAAACCCAAAAATTGTATAATCTAAAAATTCTAGAAACGTCAAAACTGTAAAGTTCGAGGACTATAACACTGAAAGATCAAAAAAATGAAAAATTAAATATCGAGAAATCGAGAAATTGAAAAATCCAAAAATTGAAAAATTTCACATTGAAAAAAAAAAAGATAAAATCAGAACATTGCAGAACCGAAAAATTGGAAAAATAAAGAAAATAAAACATGGAAACGAAATATTGCAAGTCGAAAGACTGAAGAAATGAAAACTTGAAAAATCGAAAAATTGCAAAACCTAAAAACTGAAACATCCATAACTTGGAAAATCGAAAAACTCAAAAATTTAAAAATGAAAAAATTAAAAAGTGTTGTATGTCATAAAACTGAAGACAACAAAAAAAAACTGAAAAATTGCAAATCGAAAAAATGAAGAAATGAAAAATTGAAAAAATTGAAATAAAAAAAAAAATCATAAAATCGGAACATTGAAAAATCGAAAAACTACAATAATAAGGAAATGAAAGACCGATATGAAAATTTACGGATCGAAAAATTTAAAATTAAAAATTGAAAACTCGAAAAAACCAAGTGTCAAGAAATCGAAAAAAAAAACGTAAAATCCAAAATTTGAAAAATCGAAAAATATAAAATTTAGAATATCGAAAAATTGAAGAATCGAAAAATTGAAAAGTCGATAAATTGAAAAATTGCAAAACTGAAATGACGGAAAATGCCGAAATCGAAATTTGAAAAATCGAAAAATTGAAACGCCCAGAAGTTGAAAAACTCAAATATTGATACATCGAAATAGTTCAAAATCGGAAAATGGAAAAATTGCACAATTTAAAAATTAAAAATATCGAAAAACCGAGTGTCAAGAAATCGAATAAAAGAATCATAAAATCGAAAAATTGAAAAATCGAAAAATGTAAAGTTGAAAAATTCTAGAAACGTCAAAATTGTAAAGTCGAAAAACTATAACACTGAAAGATCGAAAAAGTGAAAAATTAAATATCGAGAAATCGAAAAATTGAAAAATCCGAAAATTGAAAAATTTCACATTGAAAAAAGAAAAATGATAAAATCAAAACATTGCAAAACCGAAAAATTGGAAAAATAAAGAAAATAAAACACGGAAACGAAATACTGCACGTCGAAAAACTGAAGAAATGAAAACTTGAAAAATCGAAAAACTCAAAAATTTAAAAATCAAAAAAAGAAAAAAGAGTTGTATGTCATACAATTGAAGAAAACAAAAAAATCTGAAAAATTGCAACTCGAAAAAATGAAGAAACCAAAAATTGAAAAAATTGAAATAAAAAAAGAACAAAATCATAAAATCGAAACACTGAAAAATCGAAAAACTACAATAATAAAGAAATGAAAAACTGATATGAAAAATTAGAAGTCGAAAATTTGAAGGAATGAAAAACTTAAGGATCGAAAAATTGAAAACTCGAAAAAACCGAGTGTCAAGAAATCGAATAAGAGAATCGTAAAATCAAAAATTTGAAAAATCAAAAAATATAAAATTTAGAATATCGAAAAATTGAAGAATTGAAAAATTGAAAAGTCGATAAATTGAAGAATTCCAAAACTGAATTGACGAAAAATGCGGAAATCGAAATTTGAAATTTCGAAAAATTGAAATGCCCAGAAGTTCAAAAATCCAAATATTGACACATCAAAATAGTTCAAAATCGGAAAATCGAAAAGTTAAAAATAGAAAAATTGAAATATTTAAAAATTAAAAAAATCGAAAAACCGAGTGTCAAGAAATCGAATAAAAGAATCAGAAAATCAAAAAATTGAAAAATGTAAAATTTAAAACATCGGAAGATTGAAGAATCTGAATATTGAAAAATTGATAAATTGAAAAATTCCAAAACTGAAATAACGAAAAATGGGGAAATCAAAATTTTAAAAACCGAAAAATCGAATAATCGAGAAATCGAGAAATTGAAATGTCCTGAAGTTGAAAAATCCAAAAATTAGTAATAAGTCAAAATCGGAAAATGGAAAAATTAAAAACATTAAAATAGAAAAATTTTAAAATTAAAGAAACATCTACAAATTGAATCATTTAAACATTGAGAAATTGCACACTGATCTAGATCGAAAAATCTAGAAACGGAAAAATTGCAAAATCAAAATTGAAAATTTTGAAAGGTGGAAAATCGGAAAACCGAGAAATTTAAAAATAAAAACTCGAAGAGTTGCATGTCGTAAAATTGAAAAAACGAACAATGTAAAATTTAAATTATCGAAAGTTTGAAGAATAGGAAAATTAAAGTTGATAAATTGAAAAAGCCCAAAACGGAAATGACGAAAAATGAAAGAATCATAAAATCGAAAAATCGAATCATCGAAAAATTGAAAAACTAAAACATCGAGAAACGAAACATCAAAAAATCGATAAATCGAGGAATCGAAATGTCGAGAAGTCCGAAAATTCCGAAAATCGAAATAGTTCAAAATCGGAAATCGAAAAATTAAAAATAAGAATTTAAAAAAAAAACATAAATTGTAATTTAAAAATTGGGAAATTGAACAATCGAGACCTTGAAAAATCGAGGAATGGAAAAACTGCAAAATCTAAAAATTGAAACATCCAAAAGTTGGAAAATCGGGAAATTTAAAAATTTTAAAATAAAAAATCGTAAAATTTAGAAATTAAAAATTGACGACTTGAGAAAACAAAAATGAAAAACTGACAAATCGCAAATCGAAAAATTGAATAATTGAAAAATTGAATCGAAAAATCTGCGGCAGTGTTATTTACGCGATTGTTTTTTATTTTATAGAGGTTATCAGAAAACAAAAACTTAAACAATTTTCTTTATTTTTCAAAGAAGCCAGATTTGTTGAGCTGCACTTCAGGGGCGAGGGAAGTCCTGCCGAAATAGCCTTCGAGCAATTTTTTTATACATATATATTCTTCTGATTTATGTCGTGAATTGTTAAAAAGCTCGCTCTCAAGGCTTGAAAGTGAATCTTCCTCAAAACATTTCATGTTCATTGTTCATCTCTCCATAAAAAATTTCCTCTTCATCGGTAATGTGGTTGAAGTTCATATTTAAGGATGGGTTATTGGGTGTAAAGTTCAGCCATTGGGTCACCGTGTGAATCGAACTCTAAACACTAAAATACAGATATTTTATAGGTTTATAATGCAATTTGTTTGTAGATAAAATGTAATTAAATTTTTAAAATAACGTTTGAATAAATTCATTTGATTTAAAATCTAGCTGTACAATTTCAGCAAATGTAGTATAATCCAATTGACAAGTTAATACCGCGGTTTTCCAAAAGCACTGAAATTAATTATTTTTATCTTTAACCCCACTTTTAGCAGAATTAAAAAACACATTTTTTGATAAAATAGTTACTTTAAAAGAATTACAACAATAAATTATATATATTATAACAAATTCCACTGATTATTATTCACATATTGAGACCCACAAGCGTTTCAATACGTGTGTTTAAATTCCAAGTATTGGGTATTGTTACATTACTGTGAAAAGCCTGCTTTTGTTCCTACGTCACAACTTCTTTTGTCGTCATGTTACATTTAGATATCCGAGTAAAGCTCTGTTTTAATAAAGTTGGAAGCTATTGTTTTCTATTCTAGTTATGAGGAAAATACAGTGTAAGGAAAACGCATCTGCCAAATTTTACCTTTTCGAAGTATTGTAATACTTACAAATAAAATGTTTAACACAGTCGACGTCTTTTTTGTACATATAAAATATGACTCCCAAGTTTACAAGACTCAGTTACTCGCACAACTCCCTAGAAATTTTTATCAAATTAAACTTCTCCACCACGATGCAATTAGATTATTTAAAGAAGAATGCACTTTTCCAGCGCCGACTATTTTTAAAAAATATGCTCTCTGCACTTGAATTTTGACTTTTTTTAATAAGCTTTCCAACTTCTCGCGCCGCTAGAATGCCCGCCGGAGCGAAAACTCTAAACTAAGCTACTCCCAACTAAAAATCTCCCCAACTTACTTCGTATTTCGCTTCGTCGCATGCACAACAATGCTTGAGAATATTGGGCTGGATGTCGTCGGTATCCTGAGAGTCCTCGCAAAGGACCTTGGTCAGCGGCCCGTCCTCCCCGTACCAGAGCCCATCGGTCACCACCACGGCTCCCTTGAAGGACACGCATCCGTTCCCGCTGGCGGGAGCCAGCCACAAGACCTGGTGGCAAAAACCATTTTATGCACGAGTGAGAAGTCACGCTGCGAGCGGACCGAGCGTCTGATAGTGTCTCGGATAGATAATGTTTTCGGAATTTAATTGGGATTTCGGATCTTCACGCAAGACCAGCCCATAATGACACATTTTAACTCATCTGTGTAATAAAAATGTGTAAAAAAAAGTTATTTGGAAGTTTTTTGGGTAACCCTCAGGGAGGGACTTTTTGCAAGATTCTTCAAAGGATGAAGCAAATTCTATTACGCAACTAGTAGTAAACTGGGTTTATAAAATATTTAAAACAAATATGTCAAAAAAGAAATCTCAAAAACTTGTTATTATTATCTATAAGTAGAAGTCAACGCAACCCATAGATCTGTGTCCTATGTGTATATGCAATATAACAATGTGCTATTAATTTATATTCAGGTTTTTTTGTTCCACACTTCACTTCCAGTTAATTGATCACAATGATGTTTTCCATGTTTTTGTCCGAGTCAGAAAATGGTTCATTATTTTATACAATGTCCAGAAGGCGATAAAATAAACACCAATAAAAATCAAATTATTGACGTAACACAAAAAATATTCTTAATGGTTTATATAAAATAAGATCGCACCAGCCAATTCATTAAAATTTATCTTTGAACATAATTTGATTAGACTTGATCTCACCTGACTCAAAACTCAAAAATTGTAAATTCTAGTCGCAGTTTCCAGAAATTTGTGTGTGTCTCTCTCTGTGTGTGTGTTGTGAAATTAATGACTTTCTTACTGTAATTAGAATTTCTCCCTTTTTACAGATGAGGCGTAATTTTCGTATTGTCTACAAGTGCTCGTTTTCACTCAGGTTCAAACGCACCCCTTCGGGCGCGGTTCCGATTAACGCGGACCCGAAGGATCGTAAACATTATTATTATCCTGTAATATTCACCTGGATCTCGGATTTGGGCTGGGAGTCGGCTGAAGTGACTGCATTGGGGCATTCCTGGCTGAACTTGGTTGAAGAGTCGCCGTACAGCTGGATGGAGGGCGGTGGTGAGGACTTCTTCTGGCTCTCGAACGTGAGGATGAATTCGACGAACTTTTCCTCGACGGGTTGCTGAATGTTTCGCAAGAATACTGAAAAACTCTTTATGCTTACATAATTAATAATTATTGAAGATTAAAGGGACGCCGCCTTTTGACTTGCTAATTAAGGGAAGTCGGGCTTTTTTCGAGGCGGTGAATGAAAGTCGCAAGAAACGGAAGTATCTCCAATTTGCTTGATAGATGATGGCGAAACAATGAATTTTCAGGGGGATTTCGTTAAGGACGGGATTTAATAACGTGTATTTGGCCTCTGTAATTTTAATTTAACGGAATGTAATAAGCCTTTTAATAACAACTTGTGCAGTAATTATTACAGGTCTTAATTACATTGATGGAGTTAAGTAAGTTACGCCAGTCATTATTATTATTATTATATATTCTATATAAGTCATGGTATGAATTTTCTTGTGTGCTTTGTTGAAAAACTGCACAAGCAGACGAAGCGGAAAGATTTAGAAGCTACTTTTAAGATTTCAACATTAACGAATAGGTTTCTCATTTTTTCAATCCTCCCATTCTTCAAATGCGACTTTCCCGCTTCCTTAGGTAATTAAGAAAAACCACCCATTCTTCCCCGATCAGTGAACGAGGTTCCCGAAAATCTCGAGTTTCCCATGATAGATGATGACAAGACAATGGATTATAATAGCTCGTTCCACGTACGCGAGGGCCATTTCACTTTCGGGAGTCTTAACGACTCGCTTAAGTAAATCTCTGTATGGATGTGGTGGCATGGTAACGGGGGCAGACGGTCAAGAATGATTACCCGCTGCTCGTGACACTTGACATAAACGCGAACCAGCCCGCGGTGACGTATCCAACAGATAAATTTAGGGATGATGCAAAACCAAGACAAATTTGACGCCGCCGCCGGTGCGGTTTACGATCAACTGCTAAAAAGTGCAAACCGCCAGAAGCTCACAAATTATGTACATAATTATTAATACTTGCTAAGCACGCCGCCCCCGAACAACACGAAAATGAAATAATAAATTGCGGCCAGGAGGGTGCAGGTGGAGTGGGGCAATTTTAGAATTTAGGTTTCGAGAGATGGAGATTTTTATATAATTACGTCAGTTTATTCGTGTCAAGGGGGTTGAAAGGAGGCTACAAAGCGGAACAAAGACTGTCAGTTACTGTCAAAGTTTTGCGGTTGAGAGTGACGATAATGTGCAAGCTGCATCCAAACGATGGTACACTTATACAGGGTGATTTACGAGTGACAATGAATGAAATTGCCTTGTAGGTGTTTACAGTCTCTAAAAGAAACAATACTCATATATCAGTGTTATCGACTCGGCCCGCTTAAAACATAAATGTTTCTAGATTATTCCTGGGTTCATTTGTAGGACAACAGACTTTAGTATTAATTATCTCCAAGACTCAGCGGCTTACACCACAAAATTCATGATTCATGTTTTAATTAGATAAAGGCGATGTCAACAGAGAGAATATACAGGAATTACACTTTCAGGTTCGTGCGAAAATTGTCCTTAATTATTATTAACCGTCGCGACCGCTACTTTAAATTTGGAAGTCAATATTACACCGTTAAATACCCTTTATGCTGATTTTTTTATAGAAAATTTGCAACAATGTTTCAAACACGTGGTCATTTTTTTTTTGGACTCAGAGAGGGTGATAATGAGTAATAATAAGCCCGATATAATTGGAAACGCAAGCCAGAACAAACAAAAATTTATTTAGTTAATATAACAACTTTTTAAAATGCTATCTATCTGAAAATGTGCTTTATTTCTCTCTTCCAAAAGCTCAACTTTCCATTGTAAAAATTTCGAACTTTTTTTAGACTATATACCGTCGAAATTACCTAAAGATATTTTTTTTTTGTAGATTTGAACCTCCAAAAGTTACTATCGGCTTAACTCCTACGACTTTTCCAGAATCGTCCAACAAAATATACATAGCGAGTTTGAAAATTTTCTCAAAAATTTTGTTTCCAACCCACCATTTCTAAAATCTTGCTCCAGTCAATAAACACCTAGGTTTTTCGAATCAGTACGTCGCTACTTACTATATCACAGATTTTTGTAGATTTTTAGACAACTTTTCCAAAAGCTCAGTTTTTTAATACGACAGTTATGAAAATTTCGACATTTTTATGACCATCTTCGAAAATTACGTTGGTTGGAGTTGTCGATAATTGTGTTAGTCATTTTTCCTCCTCGCTACTAGAGGACTAATGGCTAAAAGTACCTGTAAGATTTTCCCGCGTGGAAGAAAATCATTGGTTGATACCGCTTACACCACTTGATTAATGTTTAGATGTCACCGCAAAAAGCTGTGCTTCTAATAGTAAAAGGCCAAATAGAAGTAAGGTTAGGTTAATCAGCGCATATTTCACGTAATTTCTTGCATCGGGTGTAATTCTGAGACAGATATGTCAATCATGACATGTGATAAATTTAAGTTATGTTTTAGATACATTTTGAAAACTAAGAAAACATCATAATACCAATTTCAACTAAAAATCCAGGATTGCCAACAGATTCAGTAATTTTTTGACCAATCGGTAACAGGAGGTTCCCGAAATTCTTTCAAATTGCTTAAAAAACAGGACAAGAGGTCCTCGAGTTTTTTCAAACTACTTCAAATTAAAAAAAAAGAGGGTCCTTGAGAGGTTTCTGAGATTATTTCAAATTACTTCAAAGACAAGACAAGGAATCCCTGAGATTTTTTCAAACTACTTCAAATTCAAAACAAAAGAGGCCCTTGAGATTCTTCTAAACCACTTCAAAAACAGAACACAAGGGGCCCCAGAGATTCGTCCCCACTTCAAAAACAGAACAAAAGGTTCCTGATATACTTTCAAATTACTTTAAAAACAAGACAAGGGATCCCTGAGATTATTTCAAACTACATATTTCAAATTCAAAACAAAAGGGGTCCTTGAGATCCTTCTAAACCACTTCAAAAACAAAACCCAAGGGACCACAGGGATTCTATCAAGCCACTTCAAAAACAACAAGAGGTTCCCGACATTCTTTCAAATTGCTTCAAAAACAAGACAAGCGACCACTTCAAAAACATAACGCAAGAAGTGTCCAAGATTCTTTCAAACTACTTCAAATTCAAAACAAAAGGGGTCCTTGAGATACTTCTAAACCACTTCAAAAACAAAACAAAAAGGGTCCCCGAGATTCTATAAAACCACTTCAAAACCAACACAAAAATGGTCCTCGAGATTCTTTAAAACCACTTCAAGATGAAAACAAAAAGGGTCCCAGGGATTCCTTAAAACCACTTTAAAACTAAAACGAAAAGGGTCCTCGAGATTCTTTCAAACTGCTTCAAAAATAAAACAAAAGGGATCCCCGAGGTTGTTTCAAACCACTTTAAAAACCAGACACAAGAGACACCGGAGATTTTTTAAAACTACTTTAAAACTAAAACAAAAGTGGTCCCCGAAATCCTTTCAAACTACTTCAAAACCGAAACAAAAGTGATCCCCGAGATTTTTTTCCAACCACTTCAAAAACCATACACAAGAAGTCTCGGAGATTCTTTTAAACTATACTTCAAAAATAAAACAAAAGGGGTCCCCGAGTTTCTTTCAAACCACTTCAAAACCAAAAAAAATGGTCCCCGAGATTCTTTCAAACCACTTCAAAATAAAACAAAAGGGGTCCCCGAGATTCTTTCAGACCACTTTAAGAACCAGACACAAGAGACGCCCGAGATTCTTTCAAACTACTTTAAAACTAAAACAAAAGTGCTCCCCGAGATCCTTTCAAACTACTTCAAAACCAGACACACAGGAGTCCCCGAGATTCTTTCAAATTACTTTGAAAATAAAACTTTAGCCAGTTTTTTGGGTTTCAGAGAAAGTCTTGCAGGCGCCTAGTGTTTTTTTTTTAATAAAATTAAAAAAAATCTTCGGAACCTCTTGCGTTTTGTTTTTAAGATACTTTTAAAAAATCTCGAAGATCCGTACAGTTCTTTATTTGGAAAGAATTTTATAGAATCTTAGGGGCTCCTAGCGTTTTTTTTTTTTTTTTAATATGTGATGTTTCGTTTTGAAGGAGAAATCAAAATATTGTCGAAACCGGAAAATTGGAAAATCAAGAATTTTAAAACTCTAAATAATCCAAAAATCCAAAAATTAAACTATCGTAAAAACTCGCAAAATTTTGAAAAATCGAGTAAGTAAAAAATAAAAAAAAAACAGAAAGTCGAACAATCTAAAAATTTAAAAATCAAAATCTTCAAAAATCCCAAAATTGAAAAATTCTAAAACCTAAACAGAGAAATCGAAAAATCGGAAAATTAAAAAATCGATTAATCGAGAAATTGAGAAATCGGGAAATTCAAAAATTTGGAAACGCCTAAAATTGAAAAATCTAAAAATTTAAATACATAGATTCCAAAACTAAAACGTCAAGAAACTTAAAACATGTCTAAAATAGTAAATTTTTGTAGGAATCAACTTAAATCCTACATAAATCCCAAAACTTAAACGTTAATTGGAAAATCGAAAAATCAAAAAGATGAATTATCGAAAAACTAAAAAAATCGAGAAATCGAAATCATGTTTTCATGTTTTTTGTTTTTTACTTATTCGATTTTTCACAACATTGCCACTTTTTAAATCTTACATTTTTAGATTTTTCAGTTTTTTGATTTTTCGATTTTTCAATTTTTCGGAATTAATTTTTCAGTTTTTCGATATTTCTAGATCATCACATTTTGTACCAATATACGACGACGGGTTTGTGGAGGACGACGGGGCTTGAAGATTTTAAAATACAGTAATGTTGCGCCCGCCTATATTTAATAATGATAAAATAAAAATTGTAATAATATCGACTTACCCAAAAAAATATTAAGAACGTTTTGCAGCATTGTAGCTTAGTTTGCTGCGTGCTTAATTTTCGCATTCTTCCAATGTATAAACATAAACATTTGAAATTAAGCATGTACTGATAATATATTTTTACTTCAGAGGCGAGGAAGATTTGTCTAACTAACTTTAAACCAGTTTTTTGCGTTTAAGAGAAAGTCTTGCAGGC